TATGATAGATGTTAGTTAATTAGTTATGAATTTAGATGAATTTGTTTAGTTTTCTCATGATAGATCAATTACATGCGTTTGTTTATGGGTTTGGATGATATTGTTTTTGTATCCCTAATGTACTAATTATATACTATACTTAATTATTATAAATTGCAGACATGATTAAATTTAAGAAGTTTCGGCTTATTATTCGGTGGAATGGTCGGGTGACAAACTCGAACATTGGCATCGACTATGAAAATGGCGAATCCACTATGCTAAAAATTGAGTCGAGATTCTCGTGGCAAGAACTCCATGACATTTGTGCAGAAAGGACTTGTACGAGCGGGCAAAGGAGAGTTGGTCAAATTGCCTACCGCTATCCAAACATGAGTGCTGGCGGAGTCATGTACGAAAAAGTTGTCATAAATGATGATGACTCGGTGAACATGATGATACAATTCCTATCTGACAACGGGTTGCGGCTTGCAGAGGTGTATGTCGAGACCGAGCCGGTCGGTGAAACTCATTCTCACCAGTATTCTTGTGATGATGGTTTTGTAGGAGGGTATGGCTGGGGTGGTAGTTCAAGTAACTACGGAGGAGGTACTTCTGCAGGAGGGTATGGCTGGGGTGGTACTTCAAGCAACTACGGAGGAGGTAGTTATGAAGGAGGTGTTGGGTGGGAAGAATACCCGCAACATGGTGAGACTGCCGTCAATATCGTTCAGCCCGACGGTGATCAATGGCCTGCTTGGGGTCCAGAGTGGGCTGACATTGAGAACAACCTTCGATCTGGGCGTTCTTCGCATGACCAACAAGACGATGTTGGTTATGCTGGTAACGATGACCATCCTGAGTCGAGCTATCCATTCGCCTCTAGTGACGATGAAAGTGAGGAAGATTTGAGATCAGTCAGTGAGGAGGAAGATACGGACGATATCGACGATATCGATGACAGAGAGGTGGCATTCCGTCAGGCACCAACGCCTTACTACACAGAGGTTCCTGATCAATTTTTATATGGTCAGAATGATGCCCCTGACTATCGGCCCATGCCTGTGTATAATCTGACTGCTCCTTTGTAAGTGGGTATGGCGTTCACTTCGAAAGCCGATGTGCAAGATGCTTTTAGCGAAGAAGCCATGCGCCGTAACTTCGAATGGAAGGTAAAATATTCTGACACCAAACAATTGCATGTCATTTGTAAGAATGCTGGAGAGGGTTGTGAGTGGCAACTTCGGGCTGCATATATGAAGAGAAAGGGCGTCTGGGTCATGCGAACAGTAGAGAACAACCACAGATGCTCCTCAACCATACTTTCACAGGATCACCGGCAACTGAAAGCAAAAAAGGTGGCGAGAACCATTAAGCACCTAATCGAGGCACAACCGGATATCAAGATAAAAGCTATTATGACCGAGGTGAAGGATCGACATTCCTACACCATAAGGTATAAGAAGGCGTGGCATGGGAAGCAGAAGGCAATGGCTGAGGTCTACGGTGATTGGGATGACTCGTATGCTTTACTCCCTCGACTAATGTCCGCAATGGAGGAGTCCAACCCTGGGACGGTTTTCGTGCCGTGGTACAACAACGTGCAAACTGAAGATCAAGTTCGAGTACAGAACGAGTTGATGTTTCATCGTCTGTTCTGGACATTCAAGCCATGCATTGACGGGTTTCCCTTCTGCATGCCAGTGATTCAGGTATATTACGGACTCAAAATATTGTACTAGTTCATTACCTTACTAAGTTAAATTTTTACTAACTAATTATTCATTTTTAACAGGTTGATGGAACTTTCCTTACTGGGAAGTATAAAGGAACTCTTCTCATTGCAACTGGGGTTGATGGAAATTTAAGTATTTTCCCCTTAGCATTTGCATTAGTTGAAGGGGAGAACAACTTAAGTTGGACATGGTTCTTTGACCAGCTACACGCCCACGTCACACAAAGAATGGGCATTACAATTATATCGGATCGACATGCCAGGATTAAACACGCCGTCAATGGTTTTCCCGACGAATGGGGATGGACATGGCGCTGGTGTATTCGTCACTTCCTTGCCAATTTCCAACACAAATTTGGCAAGAAGAAAGACATAAGAGATCAATTGTGGAGTGCAGGTAGTAATGTAGTTCAGTCGATTCTTCATGGTTTATTGTTGAAATGAAATTTCTTATGGCTTAATTATTTATTCTCCGGTCTTGTAGCGGTTGCACATCAACCAAAGAAGTACGAGCAGAAGATGAAGACGATCCGTCAGATACACCGGGCGGGAGCAATATGGGCAGAAGGTCAAGATCGGCACATGTGGACATTTCACATGGACAACGGGGCTAGATTCGGCATTGCAACTACCAACCATGGCGAGAGCATAAATGGAGTCTACAAGGGCATTAGGGCAATGCCTGTATCTGTCCTAGTGGAGATGACATACTGGAAGGTAAACGAGTGGTTTGTGAAAAGACGGGATCTCGCTATAGGGAGGGAGCGTGCTGGTCATTCAATAGCACGTCATATATTTGATGGCATGCAGAAGATCGAGGAGAAATAAAGTAAGCACAGAGTTGTTCTGTTCAACCGCAATGAAGGTATTTTTGCTGTGCAAACAGGTATATGGGGTGGAGGAAGACGTGGGCATAATCGTCAATCCGTTACTCTACACGTAGAAACTCGCACCGGAGAGTGTACATGCCAAAAGTATCAAAACAGAAGAGTACCTTGTTCACATGCAATGGCAGTAGCTAAGTCGATAACCCTCAGCGCTTACAGTTTGGTTAGTCCTTACTACACGGAACAGGCGATCAGGAACTCCTACTCGTCAAGTTTCAGCCCCCTGCCGGATGAAGCTTATTGGCATGTAGACAATGGGAAGTTGATTATACCACCGTTGCACTTAAAGCGCACCAAAGGTCGTCCTAGGACCGAAAGGATTCACAATGAAATGGATCAATCACAACTTGCCCGACGAGGTCCAAAGCGTTGCTCAAAGTGCAGACAACCGGGTCATGACAAGAGGCGTTGTCCAGGTCCACCTCTAGAGCAAGATTCGGGGCCAAGTACAAACCAACCTTGAGTACTCGTTTGTTCACTTCCTTTTCATTTTCGTTGTTGTGATGTTTAAGTTGGACTTCTTGTTTTAATCTTGTTGAGTGATTGTAATGAATGGTGTCTGTTGTTTACTTTGGTACAACATGGGGGAAAATCAACACAATCCCAAACTAAATTAAGACGACATAGATAGTTCATGGAAAACAACACAATCCCAAACTAAATTAAGACGACATAGATAGTTCATGGAAAACAACACAATCCCAAACCAAATTAAGACGACATAGATAGTTCATGGAAAAACAACACAAGACCAAACATAATTAAGACGACATAGATAGTTCATGGAAAAACAACACAAGACCAAACATAATTAAGACGACATAGATAGTTCACTGGTTCTCTTCATTTCCCTCTTCCTCCACTTCCCCTTCTCTTCCTCTTCCTCTTCCTCCACGACCTCCTCGACCCCTTCTTCCGCCTTCTCTACCTCCTCATTCTTCACGAGCCCGCTGGACAACTCCTCGCGGATTCCTCTTAACCCGACCACCCACCGGAGTGTAGACAGGTGGTGGGGGTTGAACAGGCTGAGATGAACCAGAAGCGTGGTGGAAAGTCGATGATGTGTGTTGTTGAAGTGGGGTCTGATACTGAGCAGTTTGTTGCTGATGGTGGAAGTGAGGGGTGCCTTGGGCGAACATGTCATGTTCTTGAGTCGGGGCATAGCTTGACGACCCTCCGGTGCCCTCAGTACTAGTTGCCCACTCACAATGTGGCCATGGTTCAGGAAGTTGAGTTTGTTGAGACGGACGAAGCTCTTCAATGTTTTCTCTCACCCTTCTTCTGCTCCTCCGTGGGGGCTCTTGTGGGGGCACGATCCTCTCATCAGCACGGAATGACGGTCGGGGCGGTGCAGGCATTGGAGGGTATAATACGACATCCCTCCTTTGCTCTCGGGTACAACAGAGCAGGTTGTTGAAAAGCCTGCGCAAAAAAGAGGTCTTCCGCTCATCCATGGTGGGTGCACTCTCGACAGTGTGCTTGGCATGTTCCAAACCGTCAACCTAATAAATTGTTGTACAAAATTAACTAACATTAAGACAAAGAGGCATCCTTAAATCTAACAAAGGCATGTAATCATACTTCCAAAAATTTAGACATGTAATCATACTTCCAAAAATTTAGACATGTAATCATACAAAAATTTAGACATTGTTGTACAAAATTAACTAACATAGGCATGTAATCATACTTTCAAAAATTAACTAATTAATTAACATTCTAGCTAATATAGGCATGTAATCATACTTCCAAAAATTTAGACAAAGAGGCCAAAATGGAATTCACTTACCACTGCGCCCCAAATAGCACCTTGCTTTGACACCCATCTGAGCGTGAAATTTCTATACCACCGCATGTAGCCATCGTGGTACCCCATTGGCCTTGTCTCCGGCATCCCTTGGACCACCCACTGATTTCGATTCTCCCATATGTTGATGTAGAATTCATGCTTCTTTTGCCAATCCTTTTTGGTGTGGCGTAGGTCAATGACGTGGAGCTCCCTGAACCCTTGAGGTGGGGATGCTGGAATTGGTTGCTCCAATCGATATTGCCTCAAAGATCGATCGGGCAGGTGCCATTCCACCATGTGGAAGCAGATTAAGGGCACCTTGCACAACCATGTCTCTTCATCCTCGGGATGTCTAAGACGATGCAACTCAACCACTTCATTTGGATATGGATCTCATACCGCCTACAATCATTATAGTTCATGGAATTAGTACAAATTATATCCACTCCACCTAAAAAATTGAAAATGATGAAATTTAAGTATTTTTACCTGGTTCCACCAAGGCTTATCGAATTCAGCACGATAAAACAGCAAAGAGTGTTCGGGCTGGTGGTCGTTTATATTTGCTCCGATCCACCTAATTAAGCAAAAGTACGTATATAAGCAATTTTTATGGCATAGATGTTTACTTGTTAAGTATGATTGTATGGAATCATCTAAATTGAACTAAAATTCCTTACTTGGCAATAATCTAAATTAGCTGAATACGATTTGGTTAGAAAAATTCTAAATTTGCTAACTTGGAAGATATCTAAATTCACTAAAATACTATAATTGCAGACCTAAAATGTCACTTAATTTGCTTACTTGAAAGATATCTAAGTTCACTAAAATTCACTAAATTCGCTTACTTGGAATAGATCTAAATTCACTAAAATTCACTAAATTCGCTTACTTGGAATAGATCTAAATTCACTAAAATACTACCATTGCATATCTAAAATAAATTAAACTTAAATTAAACTTACTTGAAACCATATGGGGGATTTGCTACAAATCGTAGCTCATCATCTGGCAACCAGAATTCCCGAGGGTCTCGAGGTGCTAAAAACGGAAGATGCTCCCATGCCCAGAGTTGGAGTATGAACATCGCACCACAAGCTTGTTTCGCTCCCAACCTCGAGCAAGTACACAACTCTCGGTAGATCCCAGCCAAGACGGCCGACCCCCAACTTTTTTTCCCGATCTCGTCCCAGTCACCGAGGAGCATATTTAACCACATGCCTTGTATCCACCGGTTTGACTTGTCGGGGAACAGAAACCCACCAACCAAACCAATTAGGTAGACACGTGCATACCGCTCCACCTGATCTTCAGGAGTGTCGGGGCCTATATTAACCTCCATTTGGATGTGGTCAACAAGCCACGGGACCGATACTTGCCCCGCATTCAGTGGTGGATGCCCAACCCCGTCGACGGGCGTGGTGGTCGGCATGTTGAACCCCAAACGCTCTAGAATCAACGGCCCCCAACCATCTTTCGGTTTTTTCGAGCTGTCGATGATGGCATCTCCGGTGATCGGGAGCCCGGTGAGGATGGCAACATCTTTGAGGGTGATCGTCATTTCACCCTCGGGAAAGTGGAAGGTATGCAGCTCGGGGCGCCATCGCTCTGCCATTGCCGTCAGCAGATCGTTGTCAATATCAAGCCTCGTAAAGTGCCTCAGCATGTGCAATCCCGTCCTCTCTATATAGGGCTGCAGTCGATCATGCCAACGGGGCAATCGACATGTCCCTCGATGAGCGATGGGAATAAGTGATTCCTACAAAATAAAAAACACAATATTATCAGTCAATAGAAAGCAAAATAAAAACTTTAAAACTATTGAAATAAATTTAGTGTGTCTACCGGATTATTGTTCCAAATTGAAAGGGAGCGATGTTGATCTTGCCCGGTTAAATACCTTCGATCCCTTGGGCCAGGATCGATATACAATCGAGGGTCGTATATCTCAGCACCCATCTATAAAAAAATATAAAATCAAATCAATTTAAATTTTAGCACCCATGTAAAAAAAATCACAAAAGAATAAAATTAATTTACGTACTCTCAAAGCCTCTTCGTCCATTTTTTTTCGAAAAACTAGCGAGAGTATCGACAAAACAAAAACTCTAGTAATTCTTTCTGATGCGGAAGATCGGACTTAGCCGCAACCACAGAGCATACTTAGAACGAAACTAGAGGAAAGTAAAGGAGGGAGAAAGAAGTATAAGATTTTGGTGTGGTTTGGAATGAGGGGGAGGGGGGGGGGGGGAGTGGTATTTATAGGGAAAAGGGGCGCTGGAAATTTTACCAGGGACCAATCACCGCCTCTGATGAAGGCAGTGAAATCACCGCCTTAAAGGAACGCGGTGAAGGCGTGGATAGCTGACGTGGCGCGGCGTGAGGCGTCGGATCGTGGAGAAAAACCACAATCCGTGCCTCACTGCATCTAACGGCAGCGGTGAAGGCGCGGGTGGCGCGGATCGCTGACGTGGAAAGCGGGGCTATCACCGCTTTAGTCATCAGCGGTGAAGTGCCCGCGCGCGTCCACGTCAGCGATCCGCCCCACTTCACCGCTTTTTATTTCAACGGTGAAGATCCATTCATCGCGTCACAAATCAACGGTGAAATTAATCACCGTCATTAACCACAGCGATGATATCATCACTGTTGTTGTCCACAGCGATGATGCTATCACCGTTTTGGACAAAAACGGTGATAGCATCATCGCTTTGGACCAAAACAGTGATGCTATCACCGTTTTGGTCAAAAACGGTGATTGCTATCACTGTCTTGGTTTGCAGCAGTGATAACCAAACTGCTGTATTTTGGGAAATATTTTTATAAGTACTGTATTTTGGGAATTTTTTTTAATAATTAGAGTATTTTGAGATTTTTTCCCAATTTATGGGTCTCTTTTGTCAGGTTAGGTGATAAGTGTTTCTATTTGAAATGTCATTTTCTCGTAAAATATATTTAAATTTAATAATCGACTGCCATCACCATCCTAACACAATCCATTTGATGAATTTCAAACAACAATGCACCCAAAAAATCCATCTTCCAAATGTCTCATCATTAACTATTACAAACTGACCATCACTCACTTGATTCACATTTGCCTTCTTCAAGAAATTCTACAATGGATATTCACGAATTATCATTAATGCCCTTTTGAATATTACAGGTACCAGTACTATCCGTCCACCCAAATTATATACGTCCAACTTTACTAGTTCAAGTTGGACGATGCACCACATATTTTATTCTCGCTCTTAATCAACATGGGTACGCGCACAGCTGTGTGATTTAACTCTAATTCATTTATGTTAAAAAAAATATACATATTCTCTAACTTTAAATAATTCCACCAAGTGCCAAGTAAAAGCTATGACTAAGAAAGGAAAAGGGGGCCAATACGAGATCAAAATTGAAATGGGGAACTTTCTGGCCTTTCCACACCATAAGTTCCATAACTATAAATTTTTCTCTACAGCTAAATTACAATTACAGCTGAACTACAGCTAAAAACACACAAAAAAAAAAAAAAAAAACTTCCGTTTGTTCCCCTTTTCAACACTAGCACCAAATAAATTGCACAGGGAGATAAAACTAAAAACTAAAAAGGAAAACTTCAGCCCGAAAGAAGCCTTACTACTAGACTGCTTGAATGGGGCTTCCCTTTCCCTTGCCAATATCTGAGCCCCTGACCGGAGTGGAATTGTTAGCATGAAACGCCGACTGCCTGGATGCCTCAGACGTCAATTTCAGAGACAGCGGCATAGGATTTGCCTCCTTGGAATCTACGAGGCTCAAGTGAGATATCCCAACGAGTTCATCCACATTGACTGGCTCCTTGGGAACAGCTGCAACTGGCCTCAGCACCCGATGATGATTGGATGTTTCCCCAACCATGGCTTCTTCAACAGGGATCACATTAGCAGTCCAGAATGGATAAGGGACCGGAACAAATGCTGGGATGAATCCAAATTGCGTGAATTCACTTGATTGAGTTGGTCTTGGAACAGTTATAGTAGTCTCATTGGATTCCTCGTCCTTAGGAGGAGGTTCTTCGGACGTGGTTTCCATCGGTTCATACTCCGACTTCAGAGAGAGATTCAGCGAAGGAAGCGAGTCTGCATTATTGTTATAATTGCTCTCCCTTTCCTGCAAAGAGGGTAGTAACTCTTCATCTTCGGGCACTGACTGTGGATCAGATACCTGATTTACGAGTTAAGAACACGGGAATGAGGGAAAATATGGGATCATGCATATGGAAGGGATTAAGAGAATGGATCATACCAAGTCTGGCACCATGTCGAAAAGGCTTGATCTTCTCTTTCTTCGAGTAGCGTTGGTCTGACGAATGAAATACTTCTGGGCATGACTAGCCACCTGAGTAGGGGTTCTAGACACAACATAATTCCGAGCTATTCCACGCCAATCTCCTTTTCCTTGTTTTTGAAGACCAATTAGGAATAGACGATGCTCCTCTTCTGTCCAGGGGACACCTAAATCCAGATCAGAAATACAAGGTGAGCTGCATGGGGCGGACAGCAAAATTTACTTCAGAGATTAACAAAGCCATCGAAAGAATAACTACCATATATGTGAATAACAAGATGGAAGAGGGAATCACAAGCATCCATTCGAAAGAATAACTACTGAAAACTGTCTTCATGCAAACAGAAACTTGATGATTAAAGATGAAGAGGGTATCATTGGAAAGAATAACTACTGTAAATGTTCCTTCAATGGAAACCAAAACTTGATAACTCAGTTTGACAACTTCAGAGTCGGACACCATTCCGACAGCACAAATATAAAATGGGCTAGTAAGAAACATACGAAGCACAACTCAAAAGAATGTAACACATAAACAAGAACATGGTTGTGCATCGTGTCATTGCATCACATCACCGGTACCAAAACCAACCATTTCCCTCTCTATCAAGCCCACCACTGCAAAGACAGCCAATTTGGCAACGATGAAATCAATAAGGAAAAGGAAGCCTTCGGCGTTCTTCTATTCTCTGCAGAGGATTAACCAGAGCATGTGGAGGATGATATATTGGTCATTCTTCCTAACACAATGAACTGTAATAAAACTATCATGCCCCTCCAGTATGCAAACATTCCATTGCTTGCACCGTCAATCACTTAACCAACATCATTCTCCAAACCTACAACTATCTCATACCATAACGCAATTTGGAAGTAACTGACAAAAACCCAACATTACTTCGCAACTCCCAGAAAACCAGTAGCCAGAAAATACTACTGAAACAATGCCTCACACGAGTCACATCGCTTCCAATCAACTAATGGACAGGACAAAGCATCTGAAACAGCTCTAGCAAAATGACTTGATGTATCACCCCCCCAATAACAACATCAAGGCACTGAATTGATATATAATTTCACCAAAATGACATCACTATATCCTGAAACTTCCATTCCTAGAATAAGACCAACAGAATTTTACTTATCAATGGCGGCGGTAGAACAAAACAGAGGATATTGATTTTGTTTCTTTTGTTTTGTACCTTTCTTTCTCTCTCCGCGTTGGTTTGAAGAGCTTCCGTGGGCCGGGTCATCCGACAGGTACCCGTCGGCCACGAGACCCGAATCGCGGAGATGATCGGAGACGGGAGAGCCCGGGTTAGGTGAAGCGGCAGCTGAAGACGAGGAATGGTAGTGCGCGGACAAGTTCCCCATACTGGCGCTCTTCTTAATAATCGAGCCATCGATTAGCCTAACGCCGAACAGCCTCACGCCGGGAGACGAAAGAGAGGAAGACGAAGCGCCGCCGCCGGTAACCGACGAGCGCGTGGGACAGGTCCTGGAGTTGTGCCCGTTATTGCTGCAATGCGAGCACCGCCGAGTCATCTCATTCGCGACTCGGCCCGAAAACAAAGAATTTAACCCCGCGAAACCCAAAGGCTCGCCGGAGGGAATACCACACAGAGCGAATTGGTGATCTGAAGGGAGAACTGCGCAAATCGCCGCTGTTGGAAGGAAACGGCGGAGGTTGTCGAGGGTTAGAGAGAGAAACGGCAGCCTAGAGCGAGAGTAGCTTTGATGGAAGAAGGGAAAAGGAGAAAGATGCATTTGGCCTATTCGGATATAAAGGAAGGGTAACGGAGTAATTTCCTTGCGTGTGAGCGTGGGAGATTAGATTATTGAAACTAGTCAACATGAAATTCTTTGGTTCAAATTTCATGAATGGTGTTTATTTTTGGACGAGATGTGTGAAATATTGAAATTCGGTTTTTCGTATAACTGGAAATATTTTTTAATTTGATTGGATTTAATCAAGGCCTAATACAGGCTTCTTTCTAGATCGGTATCAGTTGAACACACAGATAGGAAGTGGGCGTGACAAACAAGATCGTTACTCGTTAACTTATGGGGAAGTGTGAGATGCCTCGATGAAATGAGTTAGGATGGTTATTATTTTTCTTAGTAACCATGGTGGCTACCTACATCTGTACCATTCATTTTCAATATTATTAAACTAATTGCTAGGATTTAATTAGGGAAAATTTTGAAATAATAATAATAATTATTATACTAGATTACTATCCTTTAAATGACTTTCTATATATTATTCCAAATGCTAAATAATTATTCTAACCGTCAACCCCTTCATCCATCTCCCTCTCCAACAACTCACCACCAGCCTGCCCCCAACTTCCTTCCTCCCTCTCCCTCTCCGACGACTCCCCGCCAGCCCGCCCACCATATCTCCCCTCCCTCCCCACCGCAACCCACCACCTCCCCTCCCCACCCATCTCTCTCACTCCCTCCGCAACCCACCGTCTCCCTTCACCACCACAACCCGCCAGCCTGCTTGCGCCGACCAACCTTCCACCCACCAGCTTGTGTCGGCCATACCTCACCCTTCCTCTCTCTCCGAACCTGCTGATCCCCCCTTCTATCTATCTTCCCTTCCGTTCTTTTTCCGCAGGTTTCGATTTTGATTTGTTATTGGGCCGCTACGGCGGCAACAGGGAGGAGGAGGTTCAATTTCTTTTTAATAGGTTTGTGGCGTACGGAGATACGAGGGTGGAGATTGGTATGTATTTTTTTGGGATTAGTATCTATTTTTGGTTTGGTATTGTTTTGTTTTGTATTGGTACTTTTTGTATTGATATTGATTATCATAGCAATGGTATTGTTTTTGTCGCATTGGTATTATTTTTTGACACAATGGTATTGGTGTTTTGTGAAATGGTAGCGTTTTTATTTCTCGAATGATATTGGTGTTTTGTGCAATGGTAGTGTTTTGCGAAGTGGTAGTGGTTGTCTAATGGATTGGTATTGATTTCTTGTTTTTTGTATTAATGTTATTGGTGTTTTTCGAAGTGGTAGTGATTGACTAATGGATTGATAGTGATTTTTTTTTTTTGCAGAAAGATTGAGAAAAATAAGGAGAGTTTCCTTTAGGGGAACTTCTGGTTAAGTATCTGGGGGTTCTGCTCCTATCCACTAAACTTTCACGAAGGGACTGCGAAACTCTTGTTGATAGAATAACGAAGAGAGTTCATAGTTGGCGATCTAGAAGCTTGAGTTTGGCAGGTAAATTACAATTGATCTCTTATGTGCTTGTTCGTATTCTGCAACACTGGATGTCATTGTTCCTCTTGCTAAAGTATGTTATCATGGAGGTAGAGAGAATTTGCAATAAGTTTTTGTGAGATATAGGAGAACATATTCACAGAACTAGACCGATTATGGCTTGAAAATTAGTGGTTGTCCCAAAGAAAGAGGGGGGTCTCGGATTACGTTACAATATGTAATATAGATTGCGTAGTTCATCATCACTGGCATATCATGTCCTTAAGCGGGTCGCTATGGGTAGCATGGATTTATCGGTACAAAGTGAAGAATCAATCAGTATGAGATATGAAGGTCGGCACCTCTAGCTCTTGGATTTGGCGAAAGGTGTTGAAGTGTCGAGAGGGGGTTCGACCCTTCATCTCAGGTCAGGGTCCTAATCTGAAATGGAATGGGGTGAGCATATAATGATTCTATGTGAAACTAGTTTGGGATTCGCTTCGAGTTAAAAGTCCTCTTGTACCTTGGTGTCCACTAGTCTGGAGCAGGGAGCTTATTCCAAGGCATAGCTTTATCTTATGGATGGTTATTCAGGATCGAATTCAAACGCAGGATATGCTGAAGGCTTGGGGTAAAATTGTTACTGGTTGTTGTTTACTTTGCGAGCGGCGGCCGCCCGGGGGGGGGGGGGGGGGGCGTTGAAAATAGTTTCTCCTTTTCTATCCTTGCCCTTTTTTATCCAGCATGTGCTTGGCTACATTTTAAAGCAGGACTGTCACAGTGATGAATTTGCAGGACTGGGAGGAAGTTGTTCAATGGTGTGTTTGTAAATGGCGGGGGGGGGGGGGGGGGGGGGGGGGGGGGGGGGGGGGAGGATGTTGTTGGAGTGTTTGGGAGAGTAGTGTGGACCTTGGCGATTAGCTTTGTGTGGCGGGAAAGATGCGCTAGATTGTATGGTTCTAACAAGGCCAAGTCTGTTTTGAGATTGAGCGGGTGCTTCAAGATAGAGCAGACTGCTTCCCAAATTTGCAGAAAATCCTTATAGACGGAATGAATGATAGATAGTGATAGATAGTTTATACGAGATAGAGATTGGTTTTTTCTGTCTTTGATGGTTGTAAACAGTTGAGAGGTGCTCAAGAGTTCTTGGGATCACCCGTTCTTAATGCATTTTTTTATTTAACCATGAATATATATATATATATATATCAAATATGTTGAACGATTATATCACGTGGTGTGGGTGAATAAGTAAGTCCACTTATCACATAACATTGAAAAGTGTATACATATCAAGATTTGATGTTATTGGATACAAATAAAAAATTAATTAAGGGTATTTTCATTACAAGTTTTACTGAAAATTTAATGTTTTGAATCTCAAAATATAAAAACAATAGTAGAACCAGGCAAATTTTCCAGCAAAACATGAACTTCGCCAAGAATGGTTCCAAAATGATTATCTTGTGAACCAGACAAATTTATCTTATCAATGACCACTTTTGTGTCTCTTTCAAATCGAGCCTGTGAGAGACCATAATCCATACACCATTGGATGGCCTCGCGGAGCACTAAAAGTTTTACTGTAAGCGGGTCATCAATATCCGCAATATGAATTCCCCGAGCCAAGACAATTGAACCACTATGATCCTTGATAATTATTCCCTCGGCCGAGTGAGAGCCCTTCGTTCTGACACTGTCCCACATGCAAGTGGCCAAGACTGGGGTTGAAGCATTCGCATTTGCAACCGAGGGATTGGTGAATGAAGTCTCTCTGTCCGCTGGTCAACCCATCCATTCCTGGACTAGTTGATGATACTGTCACATCAAAGATATAACACAAAATCGTTTCCCTTTAAAGACAACTCAATTCCTGGATTTCCAAATCCGTCATAGTGCCGCAACAACAACCATGCTCTGATGTGGTTGATTGAGCAGTAACATCAACTTCTTATGAAAGAGGGGGAACTTTTGGCGATGGAACCCTACGCCTACAGATTTTAGGCCAGCATGATCCCATATTGCCCTTGCCACCGGGCACTCCAGAAAGATGTTCCACAGTCTCCACATCAGCCCAGCAAACCGGATATCGAGGTAAAACTTGGACCTCCTTCTCAATCAATACTTCCATGGTTGCTAAAATGTGATTGAAAATTTGCCAAAGAAAGACCTTATGCTTTAAAGGGATAGGGAGCCCCCAAATCCGAATCCAGCTTGATCGATCCATCCAACTGACAGTCTCCCGCCATCTACCTTGTCCACGACTAAGCTGGACCGCTAAGTGATAGGCAGATTTAACTGCGAAAATGTCAACATTGGTATCTGTTAGAAATCCACCTTATGTGGGATCTTATTATTTATGGTATGATAATTATTAGGGCAAATACAATATATTAGCCATAACTATTAAGCAGCGGGGAATTATAGCCACAACTAACGAAATACAAATTATTAGCCAATCGTTAAGTTTTCGTTAACACTTCTGTTAGTAATGATGACTAAGCTTTTACGATGCCGAGCTGGCTCCCACGTGGCAGTCATCATATTATATTTTTTACGATGCTGACATGGTCTTCTACGTTAAAAATTTGAAAACAGTAATGGGTTGTTAGCCAAATCTTGACCCACAACAATAGTTATGGCTAATAATTTGTATTTCGATAGTTGTGACTATAATTATCCGCTACTTAATAGTTATGGTTAATATATTGTATTTACCCTAATTATTAAGAATATTAGTAACTTGGGGGTTAAGTTTAGGGTTAGTATCAGGTTTATTCCGGTATTTACTATAAATATGTATTCGGCCGTTCATTTACGATGAAGCAAAGATTAATAGAAGAATTATCTCCTCAAACCCTAAGCTCTCTCTATCTTATAATTTCTATCTTTCCCTAATCCAAGGCTTCGGCCGATTCTTATTCTCTTCTTCTTTCCCAAATTCTCAATCTTAATCCCCAATTCTATCTTCAAATCCCTAAATTCCCAATCACTCAACAACACCGATAGAACCCTAAAATTAGGATTCTATCATTTGGTATCAGAGCTAGGATGAGATCCTCAAAACTCATCGATCCGGCATGGGCTCGCATACGACATAAGATCGAGTTCACGCTAGCTGAGCTCAAGCAGGAGGCTCGTGACCGAGGGTGGGCTGCCGCCGAAGAAGAAGATCATGAGGCCACAGTCACGCCACCACCTGAAAAGGTCCCGACAATGGAGGCCACCACCCCAAACATCATCATCACCGAGCGGTCGAGGAAAGAGGCGGCATCATCTTCACCAACACTCGTTGCCATACTGTGTACCGCCACGCCACCAACGAAAGAAGGATCACTGTCGCTACTACCATGCGCTGGTGACAATGAAGCCGTCACTGTCGTTGCTACGGTGGGGTTTGAAATCAAGGATCTGCCGACTTCTAGAAGAGCAGCCACCGCCATTCCATCAGTTGTTGTCCATAATGAAGGTCTGGCTGCAGAAATCCCAGGCGAACAGAAGCCAATTCCGGCGAATACCACAACACTTGCTCGCGTCGTCTCAACCTCGGAACCAACCACCAACTTTGCAGGCCCAAAGGTCGCAATCTCCGTGCTCGGGGTGGAAGAATCGCACATTGAGAAGCCGGAAGCAGATCAGAAGGAGGACGAGCTATGGCTGGGCGCGATAAAAGGAAGAGGAGCCGCTGCGCCCACTCCCATTGCATCACCCACGTCATCACCATTGAAGGAACAGCTCGTCTTTGTCGAGGGTAGGGATGCCATCCTCAACCAGTTCTCGGGCAAAGATTCCACTGCATCTTTAGCTGCCGCATCCCCATCAACGGCCCTTGCTGTCAAGAAGAGCGCCACCGCTGCCGATAGAACTCGATTGCGCTTTCAAACCGCCCTATTGTCGATCGTCACGGTTGGCTCCCGGGACCACACAGAAGGAGAGTCGAATCAGCCGGGAAACGGAGCCGCTAACGCGCCCAGGCTGCGGTTCACCTCACCACCGTGGCCGCCGCCATTCGCAGACGACCTTCGACCCGCCCTGCTCAAGTCAACGTCATCGTCGGTGGTGGGAGGAATCAAGAAATTGCAGCTGTTGGGCAACACTAGCCCTTCCACCGAGACGACCGTCGCCGCTTCAAGTTCCAAGGTATTCTCGATTGATGAATTTGGAAGCTCCTTTCCGCGTATTGCCTTGACTCACATAGAAGGAAAAAAGAGGGGTTTAATGAATTACAATAAGCCTTATGGAAGCCAAGCAGGGTGTGAATGTGAGAATGAGTTATTCGGAGGGGTACGACTACAATTGTCCTCGTCGAGTACTGTTGGTGCACACAACGGTACGGGCTCGAGAGCGAGAAAGTCAGAGCTGATTCTTAAGAGCAAGTTTCATGGAAGAAAAAACCAGCAGCTACCAGTCCGCACTATCCTTACAGGCATGAGTCTCGTCGTCGAGCTCTCCAGCTGCAGCAGCGGCATTCTCATCGGAGAATTTAGGGGATGTGTCTACATCGTCAAAAATCATCTGCCTGCACAGCTGCGTGCAAGGAAAAGTGGCAAGAGCAAGCTGCTGCTCAAGACATTCAGGTGGACGGATTCATGTAATGGTTGGGAGGAGCTTCCCGTGGCAGCTTTGGAATGAGTAGGAGAGGAAGGGACCCGAATGCTGCTGGGTCGACAAGCTGGTTGCTTCCTATCTCAGCTCCAGCTTTGGGGCAGCGACCAGGAGAGTTACTCATTGGGCACAAGGACATTTTCTAGGGTATTCAATTGGAAGAAAATGAAGGAGCAGCTGAGTGTACTCGTCACTTTTGTTGGCTGTGTAAAACGGCCAGGAGGGGTACTACGGATGAGCTATGCCAAGGAAGCAGGTTGGTCTCACTTTCTTCATTGGGAATGGAAATGGCAGCCGAGGGATGCAGGGAGAAGGCCACTGGATGATGGTGGGATTATTGTTATTGTAATTATGAAATGGAAGGCATATGGGGTAAAAGAAGAGTTGTTAGGTGGTTATGCTTATGGGGAGTTTGTCTACTGGAGAAAGTTTGCATGGGAGGAATTGATGACTATGAGAATCATGGAGGGAAGGTGGGGAAGGAAGATTGAAGGGCACGAGATCCGTGGCCATTGGGAGGGAACGAAGCTGGACTCCATTTTCTTGGCACTGGCAATGAGGAAGGGATGGAAGTGTGGAATAATTGGGAAAATATTGGAGGAGCGCCATCTGATTGTAATTAACGTGAGAGAGGGAAGAAGTGTTATGCGAGGAGTGAGGGAAGACTTGATACGGAGTCGAGCTTCAAACTGGGGCAGAAGAGCAACAAGGGAGTAAAGGCTTTGATCGTTAGAGAAGGGCAGTTCCCGGAGCCATATCTCGTGGAGTTTAAAAGGGAGGACGAAATTTCACTTGACCAAGAACACGGTACTGGTATGTGTCATGGGGTTGGCAAAGGATCAGGAGATGTTGGAGCTGTTGGAGTTGGGGTCGTTCGTGAGCGGGAGCGCAATTGGAAGCGAAGGAAACGGACGGTCAAGATAGTGGAGGTTGACTGCGACCTTGAGGACAAGGTCGTTTTTAAGGGGGATGGATTGTTAGAAATCCACCTTATGTGGGATTCTCTTATTATTTATGGTAGGATAATTATTAAGAATATTAGTAACTTGGGGGTTAAGTTCAGGGTTAGTATCAGGTTTATTCCGGTATTTCCTATAAATATGTATTCAGCCGTTCATTTACGATGAAGCAAAGATTAATAGAAGAATTATCTCCTCAAACCCTAAGCTCTCTCTATCTTCTAATTTCTATCTTTCTCTAATCCAAGGCTTCGGCCGATTCTTATTCTCTTCTTCTTTCCCAAATTTTTAATCTTAATCCCCAATTCTATCTTCAAATCCCTAAATTCCCAATCACTCAACAACACCGATAGAACCCTAGAATTAGGATTCTATCAGTATCATGCCAGATTAGAGAATCCTCGACATCCTAACGTGGCAGTGGGATTGCTCTGATAGCACGTGCTACCTCTGGCGGAAACAAGTGATTAAGTATTTCCACATTCCATCCTCCTTCCCCTGGCCATATCAAATATGCAGCTTTTGGTTCACTTCCTTCGGGAATCACCTGAGGGTAGCAGGTGGGAGGATGCACTCTCGGGACCCAACTGGAATTCTGAATGGATACAATCCGACCGTTACCAATCTGCCAGCACAATCCCTACTGAAGGAAGTGGCGCCCATAGACTATACTCTGCCAGCCCCATGAAGGACAGGACCGCACTGCTGTCGTGAGAAAGGACCCAATTGAGAAATATTTTTTCTTTATGGAACTGGGCGAAGAGGGATTGGGATTCTTTAAGGATTTGCCACACAATTTGGGTAAAAAATGCATTAATTATAGTGTTCAAGTCTACGAAAACTCATCATCATCATACTTGATCCGACACATTGCGTCAGGACATTCATCGGATGCGTGTTTCACAAGTCACAACGCACTTGTGGAACCATAGACATCACTCTTTGTTCGAAGGATGACGTATTGACCAATGATGAGTCGAAAGGAGTTAAAATAAAAGAAAATTTTGATTTCAAGTTTGATGTATTAATAAGCTCACCCAACCACTCTTTTTCTTAAAAAAAAAAAAAATCTGTTCCTATGCACTATGAAGTCTCACAAATCAAAAGAACAAACTTGCTGAAGGCTAAATTGACCAACTACTACCACCTATCTTAAAGGTCTTCCCTTTTTCTCTCTTCCTTCCTACCCAACCAAATCTGCAGATGTTATGATCAAAGTAACAATCAAATTAACTAAAAACGAAAAAGAAAAAAAAGGCAAAACCCACCATCTGATATTTCCCCTTTATGATCAAAAGTAAACCTTTCTTAATCACTAAAGTTAACCAACTTGAATGAGAGACATAACAAAAAATAGAGATCCAACTAGGCTGCCCTCGCTCCTGCTTCTTCTGTTGAGAACTCATCCTTTCACCGGTAGTTTCTGTAAGAAGGGCTGTACATACAGCTCTCAGCATATGCCACCAGATCCTTCGGTCGTGGAAGTCGCGTTGCCAAACCTTAATTGTCAATGTCAAAACGAGAAACGAATCAACTACAATGCAAAGGAGATTCCTAATTTCCTTTGTCAAATGATGGGAGTTGAAATTTGTACTTACCAAGTTCATAAGCCTTGGCAGCCACCTTGGCAGCAATTTGAGCCGAGATCTTCCTAATATTAGTGAAGGGTGGGTATATCAGTCCGTTATCCAGGTTCTCTTGAGTAACCTGAGCAGCCAAAGCTTCCGCTGGACCAGATAAATACAAACTGATTGAGAACCAAGCACTCTAAAACTGATTAAGAAACCAAAGCTTCCTCGTCCACTTACATGCTGCAAGAAGCATATCATCATGAACGCGGATTGTACCAGACATGATCAAGCCTAGACCCAACCCAGGGAAAATATATGCATTGTTTGCCTGTCAAGAACCCGAGAAGATGTGACTCAAGTCAGTCATTAAAGTAAAACGCAGAAAAGAGGGGGGAAATTTGACAACGTCATTCAATTTAACTTCCTTGCCTGCCCGGGGACATATGTTTGGCCCTCATATTCAACTGGGGGAAATGGACTGCCACTAGCATATATCGCGCGGCCCTACATTAATGGAAAGAGAGACTTGTGAAAGGCACACGTTAAGCCAAAACCTCAACAAGCAGCTCTTTCAAGTCCTACATTACCTTAGTCCATGTATATGCTTGTTCAGCTGTGCACTCGGACTGTGAGGTGGGATTGGAGAGTGCAAGAATCAGAGGTTTCTGCATGAAGCAAACAAAAATGATGAGTTAGTATTCATCTATTTGATTTTTTTGAGGTTGCAGGTGCAATTTCAAATGCAGAGCTTCAAAAGTGTCGATAGAAAACTATATATTCGTCCGACTAGAGTCTATTTGCAATAACACTCTCTCAAATACACCCACCAAAAAACCTGAACGTTCTTCCTACCTCGTTAAAGGTGGCCATGGCCTCAACCACTTCTTGAGTGAACGTTCTACCTACTCCGGACGTTCCAATCAATACCGTTGGCTTAATATCCTGTCGAATAACAAAAAGAAAGTTAAAGGCACAAAGCAATCTTGGCATCCTGCAGATGATTTAAGTGGGCACAAAATAGATGGAGATACAATCTCACGTTAACAGCTTCAAGAAGTGTTTCGATAGGCTCGTGGTCATGAGCCCATGGTTTCTTGAAGTGCTGCAGTGACTCCCTGCGGGATTCTACAATCAAACCCTGCATAACAGTCACCAAGAAAGACACTCAAAAAATCGAAATGACGTAACTTCGAAAACGGGAAACAGGTACATGGTTTTCTTTCAACCTTTGAGTCCACAAGCCAAATATTCTTACGAGCCTCGTCTAGTGGCATTTGTGTCTGCAAAAAAGAAAAACATGAATTCCTTTGTTAAAACTTTCTCTTGTACATTTGTTATTTACAGCAATAACAATAATCAGGATACTGAACCTGTTTGGATATCTCAAGGGCAATCAGTTCTGCAATTCCAGTTCCAGCCTGCCATCATGATTCAAACAAAAGAATTTATAGTTGTTTCCATTTCCTTGCTAACCACCAAATTGAAAAAGGCCATCTTCACTCAACACCATGAAAATGTCAACGGACAACAATCTGACTTCAACTCACCTCTCCAGCCCCAAGAAATAGGAATCTGTGATCGGCTAAAGTTCCACCAAGCAATTTCAATGCTGCCATGAGCCCAGAAAGGACCACAGATGCTGTGCCCTGAATTATCGAGAACAAAAGGCATTAGATCATCTATCTTAAGTTTTTAGAACACAGTAAGGGAAAAGAACAAATACCTGAATGTCATCATTGAATACAAGATGTGTTGTACCATATTTTGCCAGAAGATCAAATGCATTGTGATTGGCAAAGTCTTCGAACTGCAAATAGCGTAGAAATGTATGTTTGGACTGTCAAGAACGAATATAGAATGCAGTAACTAGCTTGACATTATCTTTTTTTCCAGTTTCCAGTACCTGAACGAGGACTCTCTCACCATAGTTCTGCTTCACTGCCGTCATGAATTCATGTAGCAATTCAGCATATTCCTAGGGAGTCAAAATAGGAAAACGTTGCATTCAGAATCACATATTTAGAATGGAAACCAAATGCATACAGACAAAAAATGCAAGGCAGCAGACAAACACTTTGTATACCTGTCCAGTTGCCCGTCTTTGCCTGAGCCCTATGTAGAACTCATCATCCAACAACTTCTCATTGTTCGTACCCACGTCAATAGTGATCGGCAAGCACTAAAAAAAGAAGCCATATAGCCTTTTCTATGAATACTGAGTAAGAGGATATAAAAAAAAATTAAAATTTTATTTTCCATGTTGCTTACAGCTGAAGGACGAACTCCACCTAGAGCGGTATATAGTGAGAGCTTACCAACTGGTATTCCCATTCCCTGTGACATTAAGTGAATAGGTCAAGTGAATGTCTACATGAGTGTTCATGAGAGCCAAGGCGCGATAGAGACCACCCTAATGCACTAAGTACAGAGAGCTAACCAACCTGGCATCCAAGGTCCCCCAGCCCCAAAATCCGTTGACCATCAGTGACAACAATAACTTGAATATTCTTCTCAGGCCAGTTCCTTAGAACCTCGAGGATCCTACCCCTGAAAAAAGGAGAAGATATCTATCAGACTATCACCTTCATATGGATGACATGACATAATAAAAAAAGAAAAAGAAAATCTAACTTGATACTGGTAGTAGCTATTGCCGACAGAATAAAATTTATCTTACTTCTCTTTCAAGCTGATGTAAAGACCCTGAGGACGGCTAAAGATGCTACCATATTTCTGACAAGCTTCTCCCACAGTCGGCGTGTAGACAATTGGGAGCATCTCCTCGACATGGTCAATGAGAAGCTTGTAGAACAAGCGCTCATTTCTTTCCTGGAGATCCATCATATACATGTACTTCTGTAGTGGCACTTGATACTGCCGAATAATGTGCATCAATTTCTTTACCTGTAAGAAACTTGAAGATATTAGCCAACATAAGAACATAGGGAATAATAAGTAGAAAGACTGCAAAATATGGTCAATGACCTGGAGTTCCTGAGAAGGAACTGATGGCGGGAGAAGACCAAGCAGGTAGTGGGCATCTCGCTCTTTGTCAGTGAAGGCAAGACCTTTGTTGTGACGAGGATCTCTCAACAATGAGTAGCCGCTGCAGTTATTAAGGACGCATCATGAAAAACCATTTCCATTCATTTCAGTGATGGAAAGGAGACACAAAGTTCAAAGCAAGAAACAACTGAGGAAGGCTAACATAATCACCCGCCCACTGTAGCTAATCGAATAACCAAAAGAAGGTATCATCAACAACATGTTTTACATCAGGAAACCTCATGATGTTTCGATAAATCTATTCCGTGTGCCTCAGTAATTAGCAATTTGATATAGCTCACACAATAACTAACATATCCCTAACATATCGCTAATCGACCTGCATTTGGAGCAACTCCAGCTAACCAATCACGCCAACAAACATCATAGAAACCAAACTTTGACAAAGAAACCTCCTTCGATTATACCAATGACCCCAAAATGATGTCAGCAAGCAACGTGCCAAAACTGCATTTCATAGAAGAGATCGAAAAAGTAAACCTTAGTTATATTATACCTAGCAACTGAGAGGGACCAAGGGGTCACAGGCTGGTCCTCCGTGGCCGTATCCTCACCGTACGCATCCCGAATTCCACCGACGACGGTGGGCTGAGATTCCTCGACCAAGGATTCTGCTTCAGCCGTCTCTTTTGCCACCGTCTCGACTGACAATACGGTGCCGTTTCGATCACGGTTGGAAGCCGCCACCGCCGCGATTTTCAACGAGCAAGGAGCTCTACGGACAATTCCTCTCTGCCTATCTGACAAGGGGCTGGACAAGCCTGCGATGCTCGCCTTATTCTGCATCAGAAAGCAACGTCCAAATCGTCATTTCGTCATCAGAAGATCAGGGGAGATTAAACACACGATCGCAGAACTAGATTTTCAAGGGAACGAAGAAAACATAGTTGGATTCGAATTGCGCGACGAAGCATTGGAGGGGCAGTAAAAGCACAATTGTGTTCTTCTCATAACGGAGGGGGCGAAATAAAAATAAAAACTTTGCCCGATTTTGCTGCAAATCAAACAAGAGAAACTGAAACACAAAAAACCCCCAAATGAGATGCCATCGATAAGCAAGACGTACCCAGAAACGAAAATCAGGAAATCAAAACTAGCAGAGGAGCCAAGAGAACAATCGAAGGTTTCGGGAACGTAGGCGTGGAAAACAAAGCTCATTCTAGATTCGAGCAAAGAGGAAATGGAGGGAAATGAGAGAAAGAGGCTTAAGAGAAGAAGGGGAAGACGAATAGTATACCAGAAAACAGCTTCGGCTGAGGGAGATCATGGCGGCGAAACGTGGAGAGATCCAGAAAATATTTTAATTGTTTTCTTCTTTTATGTTGGGAATGAAGGAAAGACTGATTCTTCCGGAGGCCAGAGGGCTTCTGATTTGTGAGTGCGCCACAGAGAGCGTGTGAGAAAACAGAGGAATGACGGCTGAATTTCTCTTCTATGATCTCCCCCTCTCTTATAATTATCACACCATTCAATTGTTGATCTCTAACAGCACAAACTTCTCTGCTCTATTTCTCTTTTTCCCCTCCCCTTTTTTTTTTCCTATCTTTCTCTCTCCCTCTCTCAGTCTCTCTCCTCTCGCCGTGTGTGCTTATGAGGCCAAATATCCAGGTGGGAGAGAAGAGGAGAAGAAGGAAAGGGGAGAGATGAAGAAGGTGCAGAGAAGGAAAGGAAGGCTGCTTTAAAAACAAACAGACGTGGCTTGTCCTTCGCTTAGTTCCTTCTTCCTGTAATTTTAATTCTTTTTTAGAGTAAATGCCAAGTTTGATCACTATGTTTATTAAAAAGTGCATGTTTAGTCACTGAAAATGATTAATATCAACTTTGGCCATTTATATTATTGAAACCGTTCACGTTTAGTTACTCTCCGTTAGTCTCCGTTAACGGTGTTAGTTTTTTGTTGATGTGGCTAACAAAATTGTCAAATCAGCCGGCCTATTTTTAAAAAAAATCATACCTCACATGCTACGTCATCAAACCACCCTACCCCAACTCGTGACCCGACCCATCCTCTTGTTCCTCTATTTGATCCGGCCGACCCTTCCTCTTCTTCTTCACCGAACCGGAATCGATTTTTCAACCTATCAAAATCTTCTCCCCTGTCACTAAATCCCCGGAACTCCGACGCCCTCTCCCATTTCCTTCACTTCATCGACCAACTCATCCCCGCCGTCACCTCTCTTCCTCACCGTCCACCCAATCTTCAGTCATCTCGTCTCGTCATCCTCAATTGGTCTCACCACAATCCTCGCGACGGCGGTGGACATGGTTCCATTTCCTCGAGAGAGAAGCAGGATATAACGCCGCTATTTTCAACTCCGGTGGTGATGGTGAATCTTTCCCCTCGGACTGAGTAGTCGAGTTCTAGGTCGAAATTGCTAGATCCCTTTCCTGCGACGGAGAAGTCGAAATCGCTACATCCAAACTAGGGTGGCAGAACGGTTTTCTGTTAGCAGTTAACCGGACGGTTTCGACCAAACCGACTAGTTTTTGGCTAACCTAAAACCGTCCTCTAGCCGATTAATCGTGGTTGGTAACCGGCGGTTAACCGGCTAACCGACCTCTTCTTTACTCCAAAATGACCCGCACTTCGCTCAAAACGACCCTGCACCATCCCGCCCAAAACGACCCCAACAGCCAAAACCCTAACGGCCGCCTAACCTGCTTCTCCGTCCTCCCTCCCCAAACTCCTACCTTCTCGCTCGGCGCCGCCCGCAGTCACCCTTTCCCTCCTTCTCGCCGCTGCCAGATACCAAAGCTAGCTGCCGCCGGTCCTGCGTGCTGCGACTGCTCCTCCATCTCCCTCGTCGGGTCGCGAATCGCGACCTTGGCGCCCTCACCAGCCATCCTCGCCGCCGCCTTCCTTTTCAATCGTCACCCCTCCACCACCCACCCCGCCGCCTCCAATCGCGCGACTCCTCCCTCCCCCGCCGGCGATAGGCTAGCAGCATCTCCCGTTGAGTTGTCGTCCGCCATTTTCCTTTCCATTGGAAAATCAATTATGTAAGTTTATTATAATGATGATTTAGAGTTTTGATGATTGATTATGCGTGATGATTTTGGTGGATTAATGATGATTTTGAATGATTGATGGGGAAAAAATGATGTCGGTTAGGCGGTTACATCCAAACCAGCCTCCATTTTCCAGTTGTCCCGGTTAAACCGAGCCGTAACCGAAAACCAACCGGTCGGTCTGCGGCTAACCTAAGTTCTAGGGCAGTCGATAGTCGGAAGCTGCAGTCAATGTCTCGGTTTAACCGATAACCGAGAAATTGGTTTTCGGTTAAACTGAAACCGACCGACTGACAGCCCTAATCCCAACCTTTGATACCTTCCACACGTTGTTCCTCGCCTGAACTCGGAGCATCGCCTGTCAGCAGCTCAAGTCAAAGACTCGGCAGAGCACATGTAGTTATTCTATTTCCTTTTCCCTGTTTCCATTTGGCTAACCAGAAAGCTGCTTCACCGAATTTCTTTTGCCCTTGTATCGCTCCAAACGAGTTGAGATCAATTGATTATCTTTTTTATAATGGGAGTTGAGATCAATTGATTGCATTGATTATGGAAATGAATTTGAGTTCTCTTTGCTCCTTAAAGCGTTGTTAGTTCCTGTGTTATTGATTTAGTTCGGATTTGTGGAGGAAATGATTTGTGCTGGGGCGAGGAAGGTGAAGGCGTAGCGAGGGAGGTGGCGCAGGGGCGGGGAGTCCAACTTCCCCTTTCATTTTGGGTTAGGAACAGAGAAGGAGGAGGAAGAAACGAAAAGGTGGTTTCGCTTACGACAGCTCCCAAACAGAAGCGGGTTTTCGCTTTCTTGTTTTCTGTCTTCCCACACATAGTCTCGCGACAATCTCGTCAAACTCCATCGGGAATTGCCTGCTGGGTTTGCACGGCAATATGAAACGGAAGGAGGAGAAGGTGGGGGATGCGACGGTAGAGATGGAGTATAAGGCCCTGTTCACTTCCATTTTCGTTTCCTGTTTTCTGTTTTTATGTCATAAATTTGGCAACCGAAACGAGAAAACTTGTTTACTTTTCATTCCGTTTTCTATTCGTTTCCAACTATGAAATCAGAAAGTGGCAACTTCCTGCTGTTTTCGGAAACGAAAAAATGTTGTTTTCACCTGCTTTCAACATCTGTTTTCTCAAAAACAGAAAACAGAAATGAAAATAAACAGGCCCTTAAGGGAACAGATTCCGGCTCTGTGAGAAAGAATAGGAAGCGTCGGGTCGGAACGGATCAAACAGAGGAACAAGAGGATGGGTCGGGTCACAGGTTAGGTTGGGGTGGGTGATGTATGATTTTTTTTTTTTGTTTTGTTAAAATAGGCTGATTTGGCAATTCTGTTAGCCGAATCAGTAAACAACCAACCCCATTAACAGAGACTAACGGAGAGTGACTAAACAAGGACTGTTTTAGTAATTTGAATGACCAAAGTTGATATTAATTTTTTTCAATGACTAAACATGACACATTTTAGTAAACTCAGTAACCAAATTTGGCATTTACCCTCTTTTTTACGTTCTGATTTGGCCTTTTTCTTTTCTATTTCTGAGTGAGAAGTTGAAAATGATGCTTTTGACGTTCTCATATTTACAGTTATAGGGGTGTCGTCAAAATTCCAACTTGTGCCCTACCGGGGGGCGGGGATAGTTAGCACGCTACAAAGCCACAAAGGGATGGCAATTGTCGAACCGATTTAATTGGGTGGGTTTAGCAACTGAAATGATTTGATTAGTGGTATAATCGATATGTGTCGGTTAAACAATATATGTAGAAATATGAAAATCACTTAACAATAACTGAATTTAATCATATATAAAATATATTTGAAAACAATTTCTTACAATTCATATTGATATATTTAAATAAATGAGACATTCCTAATAAAACTACAATTGCTCATATTTAAATACAACATTTAACGTCAACACCTAAATGTATATACTTAATCCGACAAATAACATCAAAATTTAACTTTTTAACTCATAAAATAAATAATAAATAAATGTGCTCTTAACTAAATTCACTAAAATGGTGTTTTTTCCTTATAGATCGTAAATCGATCATACCGGTGATGTTCGCGCTGATTCCACGACATGCACCGAATGAACCAAATTCAACCAGTGACATGCCGGTCGGCGTGACAACCATGATGTCTAAGTAAATCCAATCAATTCACTCAAAGCATGGAATATTTAGTGTTAATTGTTGTAGGTTGTGTGCGGACTTTACTCATTCATGAAATGAGTTGGGTTGGATATGAATTTTGAGAAATATTCAATCTGCTTTCCATCCAATCTGAATTAAAAAAAAAGATATCGTTTTAAAAATGTGTGATATAATATTATTAATTAGTTAAAATATTTACAAAGGATGGAAAAGGAAAATCAGTGACTGCCAAAAAGTTGCACTCGATGAACTCTGTACAATATAGGGTAAAATATCTTGGGTGGAACTTAAGTTTAAGAATTGGGGTAGACATACCACTTAAGTTTGAATAGGGCGTTGGGCAGTGGCGTAACCAGGATTTCAATCAAGGTGGGTCCGACGTGAAAATAGAAATATATAAGATAAATTGATTACTATTTAAATGACCCACGACGTGTTTTTATAGTTTGTCGACTAATTCTCGTTTGAGTGTGTAGAATTTTATCCCAAATTATAAATTAGAAAACTAAGAATAAACCATTAGAGACGGAGTTTTGTGTAAAATTTCAGAGTTATTTACATAATAGATACGGTTAATATGTGGTATAAAGTTCTCTACAATATTTTGGTAGAAAAGTAGTGAACATGATTTGATTTTAGTATTATGTGTTTCTTACAAATAATGTTATTTTTGTGTCTTAAGGGCTGCTTTGAAGTTGTGATTGTTTTTATGAGATTGTTACTATATTTGTATTGTTTAGAATGTATCTTTTTTTTTTTTTTTTGCATACACAACACATGGATTGTTTCTGTGATATGACATAAACTACCACTCAAAATGAGCGATTGTTATATCTAACCTTTTAGCTGAGATTGTTGAGATAGTTAAGTTGAGATTGTTTTACCTGACCTTTTAGCTAATGTAACATACACAATCATACATACTAAACCTTGAATTTTACAATATATCAAATCTGTCAATACATGCATAATAAAACAACACATATATTTAATAATCGCAACTTTCAAATGACCACTTAATTCCGAGTCAAGGTGGGTCCGGGGACCCACCCTCTTCCAAGCTAGCTTCGCCACTGGTGTCGGGTACCATTAATGTCGCCAAAATATGCATCCGTCTACTTTTCCATCCAACCCAAACTTTTAAATACTTTTTGATACCCCAAAACTTTTAAAAACATCCAAAACTATATTTCAACAAGTTTTATCTAATGTAATAATTAGAAAACTTTCTAAACATATTATTACTAGAATGACTAATCAACATTGTCAATAAAATAGAAAAAATAGAAAAATAATAAATGAATATCAAGAAGAATAATAAATATACTAGAATAAAATAGATATTTAAAATAAATATTAGAACATTCCTTTAAACCTCCTAATTTAATTAAAAGCACCATTAGAAATAGTTAAAATAGAACCTAATCGATCATCACTACATCAAAATCAAAAAAGGATAAATGGAACACAATCAGAAATAATTAAACATGTTCCACTAATTCACTAAATCAAAATAAAAAAAGGATAAATGGAACACAATTAGAAATAATTAAACATATGCTACTAATTGAAAAAATTTAAAACGAAAAGAGATGAAAAGTAAACAAATAATAAATAAAATATAAAAGCTACCACATTCAGTAAAAAAAGTAGAAAAGAAAATATGACTATAAAAGCCACAACATTGTTTAGTTACAACATTCATGAAATAATTCAATTATTAGAACACATAATGATAATTGACAATAATTATAATGATAATTTATTCTAAATTTTCTATTCAAAAATTGATTTGGTATCAAGTATTAAAAATAGGATTCTAGCTTAACAATAAAAAATGATGTTTTTCATAAGTCCAATGATTTTTTTACAATAAGAAAAGTAGAATGGTCAATTATGAAATTAAGAAAACAGAATATTCTGTCAACTTTAACGGAATGCACTTAGCAGTAAACTTAAGTGGTACGGGCCGTGGTGCACATATAATAGAGTTTAGTGGTACCCAACGCTCTATTCAAATTTAAGTAATATGTCTACCCCAATTCTCAAATTTAAGTGGCACTTGAGGTATTTTATACGTACAATATATAGATGTACAATATATAGATGATAGATCCATTTCAATGATCTATTAATATATATACACGTACATGATTGGTCCACTGCCCGAGAGTGGCGTATATGGCAATGCCATGCCATGCCATCATCGGCTTTATCGCCTGGCTGACTTTAGCTTATATGCCATTGTTAATACCGATCGATCGTACCGTATAATGCTTGCTCATCGACCATACCAGTTAGGACAAAGACGATCGAACAAATCATCCAAGTTAAAGAAGAGCTACCAATCAAGAAATGAATACAAAACAAAGTCCCGATCCGACGAAAAATTCTCTTGCTAACGGCTCCCACCGTTTCATTTTCTTCAGGTGACGGTTAAACAAATGCTTCTCATTAAGATGAATGCACATTCTCAAAGATTGTTTAACGAGAAATTTTACAATGCTATATAGTATTGGTGTTATAGATTTTTGTTTTTATGGTATAATTTAAAATTGTATATTTACGTTATGGTACAACTTAAAATTGTACCTATACTTTTTTACAAATTCTTTTATGGTACAACTTGAACTTGTACCTTTATATGATGGTACAACTTCAAGTTGTAAAGTTGTACCATAACATAATAGTACAAATTGTTTTATGGTACAACTTAAATTTATACATTTAATGTTATGGTACAACTTTGAGTTGTATATTAAAGCACCAATGCTATATAGCATACTAGAAATGCTCATGTTTAACGGGAGATGAGAAACAATTATGGGGGGATACGGTGGCAACCTTTGGCTTGTCATTCTCACAACCCTTTCCGAATCATGGGTATTTTGGGTATTCAGGAAAAAAATTTCATTAATTGCACTTTTGACTTAGAGAATAAAAAATTCATATTAATTGGATTACTATTTTTTAGTAGGAAACGGTTCGGTTGCGGTTAACTGCAACCGCATAGTGCCCATATTTGCCAATCGCGATCGTACTTGTTACAGTTAGCAGCTGCTAACTCCACATTGTTGTTAACGATGCAACGCGATTACTAGCATCACCAACCGAGTTAGCCGCATCTGGAGAGGATGGCGGCCGGCGGTGTGCGTTGCGCCTCTGACCGTCGATGTCGAACTCGTATCGAGCAGGGATGGTGGCGTTCGGCCGGCGGATTTTCTGGCCTCTAGGATTAGTTGGTCGCTGGAAGAGAAGGGACGATGTCGAAGGGATGGTTACTGGAATTTGTTGGACAAGAAGCTGAGAAGGTATGGTGGTGGAGGGATTTCCGGACAACAACACTGGTCTGGAACGGTCGCGCCGTCGGCGTCGCGGTGATAGGGAAGTGGGCACAGGGGTTTTTATCTCGTTCGATTTGGGAAAGGTAAGGAAGAAAGCGAAAGAGGAAAGAAAGAAGTAGTCGCAGTTGGGGGGCTGGCGGGCTGGGAAGGCTAGAAGGGGCTGGGTTCCCCGGGTATGGAGTGGGCTTGGGCCTGGGGTGGGATGGGGTTATTTGTTGGGTTGGTCTGGAAAATAGAATTGGTGGGCTGGGTTGCGGTTAGCATGCGGTTAGATGTTTTTATGGTTTTGGTTGCGGTTAAACTACAAACTGCAAAACACCAATATCTCTAACCGTGACTGCAAAATAGGCTATTTTTGCGGTTTGCGGTTAACCATTAATCGCCCAGTTCCGATGTGGTTTTCGGTTTAACCGTAAAATCGCAACCGAATTCTCAGCCCTACTTTTTCTTAATTTAAATCACGGTTTAGGAAATCGTACCGGAATTCATACCGAACTTGTGTGCAGTAGGATATTTTGTGGTACGATTGTGGTTCAACGGTTGTGTATCGGCAAAATATCATTTTGTAATAAAAAATATTTATTTTTGCTAAAAAATGTATCAGCAAAATCAGGATATCGTTTCGGAGTGATACCAAAATATATCGTATAACAACCTGAATACGCTAAATAGGCATAGGTAATATAACAATTAGCAAAGTGCAACACTACATAATCAACTACATAATCGTCCAAATGCATGTTTAGCATCAAGTACAAAGTACAAAACAACCAAACAACATTCTTAGGGAGAAGGCGGATGGCTGCGATGGAGGATCGTCGCGGCTGCTAATGTTTCCGAGGGAGATAGACGAGTGGGCCGGGTGTAGGGGACAATGCACGGGATCGCCGGCTGCCATTGTCTCTCGGTGAGATGAACTATCGATTGTAGGGGAGAACGTCGAAATCGCTAGATGCTGCTGTTTCTCAGCGAGATAAACGCGCGGGACAGACAAACGAGAAGCCGAGGACGGACAATAGAGGGGTCGGGGACGGGCGTGAGGTTCGGGGTCGGGGTCGGGTTAAGATCGATGTTCTAGTGGTTGCTGGCTGCTAGGGATGAAGATTGGGGTCTAGGTGGGACAAAGAGAAGAATGAATCGATTAGGTTTTTCAATTTTTAGTTTGGACGGACGAATTTTTATTTTATTTTCTAATATCAAACGAGGTCGTTTTGTTAAATAAAACATTTTTAATGAAAAGTCAGCTACCGACGTTCGACAGACTGATAAACCGGGCGATATTTCGCCAGGTCCCTGGTCCTACCGTCATTATTGTCTTGTAGTCAAATTTCGGTTGCCTTCCCCTGCCATGCCATACTTGATCCAGTTTTTGGTTTTCTGGTTCAACCAGCCGGTTCGGTAGGGTATCAAGAACCATGATTTAAATTCTACATTAATTTGTCTCTCTCCTATCTCTCACTTTCCATTTTTTCTATCTCCCACTGTCCATTTTCTAGCAGCTTCTTTGCCTTCCGCTGATAAAATTCCTCCAACATATTCCTTCTACAAACTCCCTCCGGTGGACACCTTCCGACCACCTTGCAAAAAAAGTAGCACTACATTAAAAGCTGAAGAGCTCTTCTTATAGTAAAAACTTATGACACGTGTTGCTTGGTCATTGGTCGTTGTTCGGGATGAAACTAGCGTGCTTCTTTCAGATTGGTCAAGTTTTGAGGCCAATTGTGAGACCTCCACCTACAAAGTCGGTTCTGACTGGTCACAGTGTGGATAAGGTTGAGCCGGGTTTGGGCCAAACTCCCTCCAGCTTTAGTTTGTGGGTCGAGCTGGATTTGTTTTGTGGGCTTCGTTGGTCTTGACCTTGGGCCGACCTTGGGCTTCGTCTAACTGATTTTCTTACTTTCTATTGCATGCTTTGTGCTAGTTGGGGCTGCCAAGTGATGGGCCAAGCTTGTTTTAGATGGAAAATAGACTATGTCACTTGTATTTGAGATTCATAACCATTGTATTGCAATTGAATGATTGTATCATGTTTCAAATTCTTCAATGATGCTTTGTTGTACGCTTTCTTGATATCGAACTCAAATACTTCACCTCATTGGAACTCGAACCAAAATTGTATTGCCGTCTAATTTGGGTTGCCCTCTCCAAATCGTTCAAATGTAGTCATAAAGTTTCGAATCTGGGCAAAATGTGGTGTCTACAATAATTCACCAAGTTCAGATTTAATGACAGTTATATTGCGGAAGGTTCTTATTCAGTTTGAAGTATCGACTAAAGGTCTCCAAACCCTCACAATCTGAATACCTAGCGGGCGACTAACCTCCACCGGAGTAAACAAACTGAGGTCCTAACGTGCAAAACCTCCTCTACCGGAGTAAATCCAGTACAGAGTAGAGAATTGACTCCTCGACCAAAGTAGTCAATTCTCCACCTTCAATTAAGGATGCTCTATCAACCTAGGCAGATATTCTCTTTTTAAGTCAAAGCAAAAACTACAGGAATTGGATCAGGATTCATGCAATTCAAAAAATAATGCCTCAATTGAATATAATCAATGTCAAAAGATCATGTACTTGGGTTCATACAACCAAACTTAACATAAAAATCTAGGGTTCTTCATACCCAGGTGACAGAGAGAGTTTACTCCATAGAGAGAAAAGAGAAATCAGTTTTAGATGCAGAAATCATTCTGTTGAGAATGACAATCAGCTTATGGTTGTCAATCGGCACTTCTCCAAACTTCAATCAAGCTCCAATGGCGTCAAAACTCGATCTATGTCACTTTGGAGGTTTAGTTCAACGCTTTCTCGCTCTAGGTTTCACTTTCTTTCTCCAAAACTTGATTAATTGACAAAAAACCCATAATTCGCATCTAACAGCTCTCCTACCTGAAACCCGGTCCAATTACCCGGTTGGGTTTTAAGCAAACCGGACAGGTAATAGCGAAACGGTGCGCAGCCTGTTGGGTTAAAACCCGGTCTCCCTCTGAAATTACCCGGTCAGGGAACGGGGGGTCCAGACCGGGTAAAATCTCTAAAGCGATTCCCCGGCTTCTCAACCATTTCCTCGGTCGGATTTTTGATGACCAGACCGGGGATTTTGGTCATTGCACTACTCCTTCCGTTTCCTTGGTGTTTTTGACCCAAAGCTCGCCTCCAAGCCTTCCTTTCCGCGCCAGGTCCTGAAATATGACATAAAAGCACAACCTAGCATGAAATCGGCTTAAAACACGAGAATCAACTCTCAAACGGTTCAAGATTAGTGGGAAATATCATGTACAAATAACGATTTATCACGGTGAGAGGGGTTGAGTAAGGTGATATTTGCGATGGCAAATGAGCTGCGGCATAAGGTGGTGGCGGCGGGCGCGGCGGAGACGATGGTGCTGCTGTGTCGCTTCCTGTTGGAGATTTGCTAGAGGGAGGCGGTTAGGCTGGGTGTGGTGGCACCATGGCATGGTGGGTAGGGTTTTTGTGAAGGAAAACTGTAGAAAAAAATGGAAGAAAACTAGAAAAGAGATTGAGAGTTTGAGGGAACGAGGAGGTGAGGAAGGTGTGCGGCGCTGCCGCTTTGGGTTGGGCAGTGGTGGTGGGGGTGGAGTTTTTTTAGTTACTATATATATAATAATATGTAATATTCCTAAATGGTACCTGATAAATTTTATTTTAGTCATTAAATTGTGAAATTACTATCTTATGTGTCTACTACTTATGATATTATTGTTTATAAGGTACCAATTCTCTAACGGTTTTTTAACGGTCAATATCGGTTGAACCACTAAAGTGTGAATCATTCACATTACCGGGTCATGTTTCGATTGGTTCTGACAACTTTGCTATTTACTTTCACTCTACCTTTGAGCCACCTTCCCTCTTCAGCAAGTGGTGATGCGTGAACTAGTTAGACAACATTTTGTGTTGTAGTTTACACTTAATATTAAAGCGGAATGGCAAAAGATGAAGCTACATTTCAAATTTCCTTCTTCTATAGAAGTTTGTGGAAGGGCATTTTCGCAAGAGTGTTGCCTATAAGGTGGGAAGAAAAATCTGAACACAAGGCTGCTGGAGCGAGATTATTGTGTTGACCCACTAGTACTTTTTAGCTTGTCTAATGACACGTAGAAAATATTTTGTATACCCCTTTATTATGACTATAATTGCATTGTTTTCACATCTTTAGTGCCATAATCAATTGCTATTTGATTGATAATCACTTAAGGTGCATTTTAGTAGCTCTATGATTGCTTTAACTATTTTGATGCACTTTTGGTAGTGTTTCATGTGCTTTCAGCCCAGATTATCCTAATGTACCAACTTGTACGAGTAGGGAACATCAAGGTCCGACTGTTGGGGATTCAGGATGTGAGATTTGATCAAGTCCGAAAAAAAACATGAAAATTAGTCAAACCAAGCCCAGAAGGACGCATGTGCAACCATTTTGGGGAGTCATTTTGGGGAGTCTTCAAAGCGAGCTCGTATTATGAAGGAATATGCTAAACTTAATGACCAAGCTGGAAGAGACCGAAAGGAGCTCGAAAAATGTGTTTCCTGCCTACTTTTTCCTCGAAGAAAATCTTATGCAAGGGCCTATAAATAGCCCTCGAGAGGTAGAAATGCAGTAACCAATGTTAGGAGGCATTAGCGGATCGCTAATCTTATGCAGGGGCCTATAAATAACCCCCTAGGGGTAGAAATCCAGGGGCCTGTAAAATGTGATTCATTTGGTTTGTGCCCTATGTCGCACCCCAAATTTTGTTCAGAAAGAGGTTGCCAGCTTACCTTGTGTTTACTTGGTTTACTTGGGGACAAGCAAACGTTTAAGTGTGAGGAAGTTTGATTCAGGCATGATTACACATTATTACCCCCTCATATCTTGATTGTTTGACTTAGTATTCATCATCTCTCGACTTTTTTATGCCAGTTTGTGTTATTTTTGTCACATTCAGCTCCTACTACCTATTGGAAGGTCGAGAACGAGTTTCGGGCCATTCAGAGGTCAAAACAAGCCAAAAAGTGGAGCTTGTGCAAGGTTCACATGTAGGGTGTTAATATCACGTCAAGGGGAGTGATAATCTCCCCCAAACCGTGAAGATAGCCTTTTTTTCAAAAGCCTATGCTCATCTCGCGGTCATGGTCAGACTTCATGGCATGGAGGGAGTGAAAATAACACCAAAACCGGGAAGATAGCCCAAACCGGTGCGTTTTGGACCAAGATCACGATTTGCACACTTCACGACCGTGAGAATCACCCCCAAACCGTGATCTCTTCCCTGCTACAAATATAAATTGACATCAAGGGGTTTTGGAGAAGGGAGCTGGGGTTTTGACCCTAAAACTCCCAATGGGGAATTCTAGAGAAAGAGTTACCTAGGAGGATGCTAGGGCTATACTATATTCTCTCTCCTCTTCTCTATGAATTAGCTCTCTTCTCTTAGGTTGAAGAACCCCAGGTCTAGATTTTGATTTGATTGTTGATGTATGTGATGAATCCTATGTTTGATTGTTCATTTTGTTTAGTAGATTGATGTTTATCATGAATTGCATGAGTGTTGATTCCAATTCATCTCAATTTGGTTTTTGACCTAGGAGGGAGAAAATCCTCTTTTGGCCCATTCTTGGCAATTAGGGTCAATCCTATCTTATGTCATTCCGGGTTAATCACCGAGGAAGACAATTTGACTATTCGATCGACCTCTTGACTGCATATGTTTTCCCTAGGTTGTATAGAACACTACCAATTCATCGCTATGTCGTTCCGGGTCAATACCCGAGGGTATCTATCTCCTATTGGTAGAGAAATTGATTCGGTCGAGCTAGGATGGTACGTAACATCGATCTGAATGATAGAACTAGGGGGATTGAAGTTAAGAGAGCTCCACAACTTGTAGTTAACTAGGGTAGTGTAGTTAGGTTAGTTAGCTTAATCACTATTCTAGGTTGGCTAGATAAAGAAATCTTAACCCGAAGTAAGGTACACCTTGAGACCCGTGGTTCCATATTTTTTTTACTTGCTTACCCTATACTACACCCGGTCGTTGGTTAAACTTGGCCTTTGATTGAGAAGTTGTAGTTAGAGTGCGAGCCAGTAATAGAACCCAAATCCTAAACTCCACCATCTTGATTTCTCCTTGAAGCTCCGAGGTAACCACTCTAGCGTGTAGGTGGATACCCCCACATGTTGGTGAATCCTTTGGCTGCTCTGTACTCGATTTCAATATAGTAGTGGGAGTCTTTGTTGTATTTCCTTGATAATTATATTCTGCCTGAGGATAATCTCCCTTCGAGTAGTCTATTCAAGACGATTTTATTGCTTTAATTTAGGTTCCAAACTAATTTCAGACTCTTTGCAGTAAAAATATCGAGTGAAATAAACTAGGGAGAAACAATGCCAGCCTAACTAAGTACTAGGGGAAACATACCCAGGTGATTTTGTCATATCCAAAACCCCGTGATTTCACATGCAAAGTCAAGTGAACAACTGTCGCCATCGGCTTGTTGATCTATAGATACTGCATGAACAACTCCATTTGATGTTCCAACATCTTTTCTTCTTTGCCAAACTCCAAAACTACATTTTTTTACAATTTTGATATTGATAAGCTAATAACGTTGATGAGTATTTATAGGGTTCTTGTTGATGTTAAGTGGGGCTAAATGGGTCTATTGAAACATTGTAGTCATGGAATCCTATTCCAACACTAATAAGATAATGATCGACAAGTCGACTATTCTATAGGATTGGTTGATCGTTCTTTTCCTTTGTAATGTGTATCAATCGATCAACCATATTTTTTAAGGATGTCTATATTTTGCTCCAACTTATGGTGGCTTCCAAGGTAGGATTGCAAATGAGCCAAGCCGAGCCGAGTTTTGACATAACTTTTGCTTAGCTTGTTAATAAACGAGCTAAACTTGTTTAATAAAACATTGGCTTGTGTCTCGAGCACACACAAGCTCGGCTCATTAATGAGCTCATGATCTCTACTTGAGTTCGGCTCATCAATTAACCCGCGAGATCACCTCGAGCCAAAGTATCATATCATTTAGTTCATCGCTTTTAAGTGTTCATATCATGTTATTTAACAGTAATTAGTATCTAGGCAATCTATGATACATAACATATTTAATTCCATGCTATAATTCTTAAACATTATACGTGGTGAGATATATTATCTAACAAACCTATAAATTATCAACAAACCAATGATAAACTATTAATCAATTCTCATATTAATTGTTAGTTGAAGCGGTTTGCTGCCATATTGTCGAGCCAGCTCATAGATCAAAACGAGCTAACTCGTAAGTTGAGCTCAACAAGCCACTGAGTCTAACTGGCTAACGAGCCGAGTGTCTAACAAATTATTTTCGAGCTGAACGTCGAGACGCTTGTGAACAATTTGGCTCATATACTACCTAACTTCCCACTCATCGTACCAAACTCCATTAAATTATTATGTTATTTTCATCCTTCACATATGAGAATGGATTTATTGGGTTAATGTATTTGTATGTCCCGAACTTTTCACATATTAAACATCATGTCCAATCTTTTTGATCTATAATTTTGTGGCCTCAACTATGCATCAAAGTTACGAAATTGACCAAACTCGAGATTTGACCGTTATCTTGGCCGGTTAAACGCGTTGACTAATGGTCAACATGCCATGTCACTGGCAAGTCAGCACAAATCACTTAAAAATTTGGGTTTTCCACCTTTTACCATTTATTTTTAATTTTTCTTCTTCTTTTGTTCAAAATAAAAAAGATAAATGATAATAGGTGGGGGAAAAACAAATTTTTAAGTGATTTGTGTTGACGTGGCGTGTTGGTCGTTAGTTAACACGTTTGACCGTCCAAGATAACGGTCAAATCTCGGGTTTGGTTAATTTCGTAATTTTGATGCATAGTTTAGACCACAAAGTTATAGATCGAAAAAATTGATCAGAATGTTTAATATGTGAAAAGTTCGCGCCATACAAATATATTAACCCTAAATATTTAGATAGCAACAATGTTGTCAACCCGGTTTAACACATCATTGGCCCGGTTGAGCTAGTAATTTGAGGGTTAGTTAGCTAATTTGTTTAGCCCGGTTTAACCCGAAAATATGAAAAAATAATTGTATTATATATATATATATATATATAAAAATTATATCAAATACTATTTAACATACAGACAATAACATATATAAGTCTCATTTAATGCCATTATTTGTGTTAAGTTAAGCAAAGACACCCACGAAAATTGCAATTTAAGTAACATTCGAACATATTTTAGTTTGCGTTTTCTTATAAGTTTTACTTTTGTTTTTCAGGAAAAAAAGGATTCCAATTTTGGTAGTTGAAAGAAAGAATGGCAACAATTGTAAATGCGAAGGAGAGCCAAATGGATACGGTGCCACACAGATAGAAGCCTGCTGACCCACTACTCCGGTCTCCGAGCAGATACTTTAGTGTAGGGGTGGACATTCAGTTCGGGGTTCGACTCTCCGAACCGAACCGAAACCAACTAAAATCGAATCATGTGGTATTCGATTAGGAATTCAGAAAGGAAATAGGCTTAATTCGGAACCCAGGGTCCTCTCGACCAAATCGAAATTCCAAACCAATAAACCAAACTATGTTACATACTTACATGTGGTGGGGGCTATTGGACTTAGCCCTGTAGCCCAATACTCTCTCCTACAGACCCACACTCAGCTTCCAGTTGAGGCCAAAGCCCAACTGAACCCTATGCCTATTGCCTTAGCCCAATTCTCAACGACCATTACTAAACCTAACCAACTAAGAAAGAGTCTCTAAACTCTCTGTTCAACTCCATCGGCAAGCGACATCCACCTCACACCGCCGATCTTGCCCCCATCGCCACTGGTCGACGATCAAGTAGAGTAGGTGCGCCGCTGCTCTTCTCTTCAATCGCATCGTCGACAACCACATGCAGCCGGCACCACCTAATGGAATAAACAAACGACGATGGCAGGAGAAGATCGACGTTGGAGAAGGAGAACTTAGTGAGGAAGACGCTCCGAGTCCGGGCTTGCATGCGGCGGAACTCGTGGAGGCCTTAATGGTTCTGGATCTGACAGGAGATTGAAGCTCCGACCAGGCGACCACCAATTCTGATATGATTTGAGATCTAATTCCCGTCGAGATTGAAGCTTCGAGATATGATTCCAATCGAGCATGTCGCTGAAGGCAGAGGAGATGATGGTCGAGATTTGGGGAATCAGGGAGATGCAGGGGCGTAGGCAGGATTTCGACCAGGGTGGGTCCACTTTGAAAAAATATATATGATGAAATAACTTTTGTTAATTTTTTTAATTATTCATAATATAATTTTATATTTAAAATTTTTTATAAAATAAAATACATTAATAGTCAAAACTATTAAGAATATCACTCTCTCTATATACCAAACATTTATTCATAATTTAGTTATTCGGTCGCTTTCGAATGATGTTATTTGCCAATAATTATTTACTATAGGTTTAATAATGAATCTTATACAAATAATTATTCATGATTTAGTTATTTGTTCGCTTTCGAATTATGTTTTTGTCAATAACCATAGTATCAATAACTAGAGTTGTTGGTTGAAGTTCAATAATATATTTTATACCATTTACCAACATACCCCGTTATAAGAAAATCAAATTATGTGGAATTTAAGTTTGCACAAATTCGAATACTATATGTGCTTAATGAATGAGGTCGTCAAAACTAGAACACAAAACCTTTCGATCAACGATTATCAATTAAACATACTCTAATTTTCCGAATCAATTAATTGTTATACCTAATTTAGTCCTTTTTTCCCGAGCTAGGGTGGGTCCCGGGACCCACCCATTTGCCCTCTCCCTCCGCCCCTGGGGAGATGGGGAGAGGAGTCAATGGTCGAGTTTGGGGATTCTAGAATAGACGGAGAGATGCGATGGTTGAATTGAGAGCAGCCTAGTTAATCTTGCTAACTTGAAAATACGTTAGGATATACTAACAAATATCCAAAATGTATGAACTAATATCCAAGTCTGTTAAGTATATAGATATCACAAACTAATATTCAAAACATCACAAACTAGTATCTAGATAGCAGATACCAACTAATATCCACAATCAACCAACTAGTATTCAATATGGATACTCTTATGTGTTATCTGAATACTCTCATGTGTTATCTGGATACTAATTATGTGTTGTTTGGATACTATTATGTGTTGTCTAGATATTAGTTTGTGAATTTGGGATAATAGTTGACTCATGGTGGATATCAGTTAGCAAACTTTAATACTAGTCTGTACTCTCTAGATACTTTAGTACTTGGATATTAGTTCATATAATTTGGATATCAGTTAGTATCTGCTAACGAATTTTCAAGTTAGCAGATTAACTTTCCCCGAGGGGGATGTGATGATGAGGGAGGTGTGAGGATTGGGGTGAGATACTATGTCTACTTAATTGCAAGGTTGTCAACCAGCGGGTCGACCCACGGGTTGACCCACTTTGACCCTGACCCAGTGAGAAAAACGGGCTGCACGCACCCGCCGGGTCGACCGCTACAAGGTACCGGGTTGGAGGTCAAATTGTGTCATTTTTTTCTTTGTTTTGCGAAATGCGCCTATTTTCCAATTTTTCTTTTCGCCTAACTTAATCTTTGGAATCCTAAGTTGAACATTTGAATATTAATGTTATATAAGTGTGTGTGAATTTTCACTATATGTTGAATCTAAGTACGACATGTTATTTTGGTGTAATATTATATGTTATAACTCATATGTTAGATGAGATTTGATATAATTTATCAGGATAAGTACAATATAGTGACGCTTTCCATATTTTCGGGCTAAACCGGGCTAAACCGGGTGACCCATTAACCCTTAACCCACTAGCTCAACCGGGTCCGGGTCAATCCGTGGGTTGACAACCTTGCTTAATTGATACAAACTGTGACCCCGACCTATCAGATATTTCGATTCCAGCGAATGATGATGCTATAGCTTCAATTCGATTAATTCTTAACAAATTAGTATTTGCAATTTGTGAGGGTCGTTCTAGCTATATACAAAATTCTTGATTAATAATAAGATAAATCAATTTTTTGGTGAACTCCATAGATTTATGGATTTGGTTACTATAATCGTACAAAAGAGATAAAACTAACTGGGGATATTAGGTGATTTGTTGGTATCTAACATATACAAGTTAAGTTAGCAAGTCTAGTTGAATCACCCTAAAGGGGTTGGAAAAATGACACCCCTATTAACTATAGACTATGATAATTGATTTGTGTTGCACTTAATATTCTGTTATTAAAAACACATATTAATTATTTTCCTTTTTTCAGTGCAATGATAACAGTGTACATGTGCAATGGTAGTTGTATCAGTGCAATTGTAGTTCAAATAAAGGAATATAATTAATATTAGTTTTGTGTACAAGTGCAATGCTAGTAGTATCAGTGCAATGGTAGTTTAAAAAAAGGAATATAATTAATATGAGTTTTTAATTTTCAAAGATTATTAAATGCAACACAAATTAAAAATACCATAATAAACTATAATTAATTGGGGGTGTCATTTTTCCAACCCTATAGAGCGGTTAGCAAGCTAACCGATCCCGTGAGGGTTGGGTTTTGTGGGAAGCCGTAAGAGGAAGTCTCGGTTTGTCAGGTTTATCGAATTCGAACCAATATATATTCAGTTCGAATTCGATTTGAGGTTTGGTGGGCTTCGGGAACCGGTATGCTCCATTTCGGTTTTGTTTCGATCGAACCGAACTGATGCCCATCCCTACTTTAGTGGCCTGTTGTGACCTGTTTTTTATGTACGGTCCCGGGTTAAACCGGATTGACCCGCGGGTTAACAAACTTGGATAACAGTTAGGGATGGCAATGGGTCGGGGTGGGTCGGGTTTTGCCAAAACCAAACTCAAACCCATGAGTTATTCGTGGAAAAAACTAGGGGTAAAACCCACTGGGTTTGAAAAACTCAAACCCAACCCGTTGGGTATCCGTGGGTTCATGGGTACCCACGGGTTTTTGTCGTGAAAAATTTACAGAAACAAGTTCCTATCAAAATTAAAGTCAAATATTAATCTCTCAATACAAATTATCCATATATGCAACACCATTCTAGAAAATTCAAGCAAATCACAAACTAACTATACAAATTGTTCAACACCAATCTAGAAAACTCAAGAAAATTGAAGCAAATCACAAATTATCCATAAATAACATGATTAATTGAAAACTTCTTCCTCCTTGTCAATTAAGTTTCTTCACTCTCCACTCGATAACATCCTCATTCTACGCAATTAGAAAGAAAAAATTAGACATGTCTTCACAAACATAAATAAGATTAGTTGTTTAGAATATTAAATATACCGAGAAAATTAATTAAATAAGTGGGCGGGTACCCATAGGGCGGGTTTACCTAAATCCAAACCCAACCCAACCCGATAAATAGTGAACTGGTTTAAACCCAAACCCGGTCCAAAACCATTCAACACAAATTTTACCTGCATTGACCGGGTTGAGTCAGTAGTTACCAGTGAGTTTGGGTTTTGTTGTCATCCCTAATATCAGCTTGTCCATTGCAATTACTATATTTTTTTATAAAAATAAAACATAGAGAGGGAAATGGAAAAAAAAAACTAAAAAAATCGAAAATGGGAGGAGAAGGGAAGAGGGTGGGAGGGGTCAGGTCAGCTTTATAGGGAAATCGAGACGCATGCAAAAGAAGTCATCATGGTGTCCGCTCTCTCTCTCTCTGTTTCGGCTGGTTGGCTGGCTCCCACGCTATTCCCCCATTCCCTTCCCCTCTCTCTCTCTTTTTGGTTCCTTTTCGTTGCTGTTTTTATTTCATATATATATATATATATATATATAAAATAAAAATATAATAATTAAAAGAACGGGAGGAGGGGAGTGGACAATATTCTTGAGAACTTTTTGTGCTCTGTTTTCCTATCAATTATGCTTAATCAGTACTAAACCATTTCGTATTGGTTAAATGAATCAGCACATGATTGAATTCGAATCTGCAAAACACACAAAAAACTATTTTGAGTTATCATCATCACTGTTTCTGGACTACAAACGGTCATCCAAGGAAAAATACCTTCTTGTATAAGCCAAGCCAAGGTAGCAGAAGCTAGGATTGATGTCATTTATCAATTATCTAGATCCATTACTTTGAACTAAAAATCGATGGTAGATTCACTATATATTATTGCATAATTAAGATTACTAGAAGCCATTGCTTGTGTGTTATGATTTAATTAAAATTGCATTGCCTACTGAATCAAGAAACACGTACACACATTATTATTCACTTAGGTTGGGTGTGGTACTTCAAATTAAGGTGCTATGTCTTGTTTTATTTGTTAGCAAACAAAAAATTAACATATTCGAAACACACATGCATCGTATTTTGTCCAATACGAAATACCTAAGTCATTCATCCATGTCCTTTGTGTGTCGTTTGCTTTTAGTGAATGTTTGGTTGGCATAGCCACAATGCATAGGCGGAAGGAGAGGGAATTGAATGTGTCCTGGGACACAGGTAACTTCTGGGAGATAAAAAAAATATCCCCACATATGTCTATATCAGGTTCCAAACTTATGATCTCAACATCATAATGGATTGTTCTACCACTACACCACAAGTCGTTCTTGACGAATAGTTTAACATAAAAGTTTTTATTCATACTATAAACAAAATCTCTAACTAAAATCCCTAATCAATTTACATACCTCTCTCGGTTTGGGCATATCAATTTTTCTCATTAGACAAATGCGACGGAAGCAGGCAAGCAGCAAACGGCACGACGCGACACGACTTCCGTCCTCCTGCCCGATGACCTGCGTTCTTTCCCTCATCGACGAGCGGTTGCCTGGCCTCCTCAGCTCCTCGCCTCATCAGTTCGTCGCCTCCACCTTCCATCCTCCTTGCCGGATTGAAAGGAATTGATGAATTATCTCAAGTTATGTTGAACACAAAAGTGCATCAGTCATATTCGTCAGTTTGTTTACTTCTATAGCTAGTTTTGATTCTACCGGTTTACAACTGCAAATGTAGAATGAGCATTTTCAGCTTTGAGCTATATTAAGAACAAGCTTCGAAGTCGAATTGGCGACCAGTTTGCTAATGACTGTTTAGTTGGCTACATTGAAAAAAAGACTTGCTTAAGAGTGTAGACAACGAATGTATTTGCATTTCTTTCAGAATATGAAATCACGTCGTGTTTTATTATTATGAAACAACGAGTGTATTAGTCGATTATTTCTTTATTATATATGAATGAACTATTTGCATATGATTACTTTTAATTATATTTATAAATAATTACTTTATTATTTATATATTTATATTTTGAGAAGAGGACACAGTTACTTTTGAATCCTGACTCCGCCACTGCCACAATACATTGTTTTTATTTTTTTGAATTTTCTGCACAAACAATGAAACAATACATGTATTGTTTGCTTGATGTGATGGAAACTATCACTCAAAATGAGTGATAGTAATATCTCTACTAAAACTTGAGATTGTTGAGATAGTTTGGAGGAGATTGTTGGGTTCTTTTTTTTTCAATTATAACCCTGGTTATATATATATGTTCTAATAAAAATAAGGACAAAAGTGATATTTCCCACAAAAAAAGTAATATAACTAGTTGAATACTAAAAATACTATCATCAAAATCAAACAATGCAACAAAGTACATTACATCATTTTTCTTAATTACATGTATATTACAATGCATGCATCGATCATAATGCATTGATTTAATCCCATAAGTTAATTCACTTAATTGACAGTGCTTGTTCCTTTCCTATAAATACGAGAGTTACAAACCTCTCAACGAAAAGTTCACAACAAAAGAGTTATGCAATCCGTTTAAATAATTTTCTCTAGCAGTCATAAGACCAACCCATTAAATTATATTCATGAATTTAGGAGGCTCATATATGATTATTTTTCTAACTAATAACAAATTAAACCATTATAGAAAAAAACTAATCACAAGTTAAGACACCATTTTCAAAATTCATTAGGTTCAATGTTTCTTGGTGATGTGATATTCTTTTTATACATTCTGTGACATGGCAACTGCATAGAAATAAGGATAACAACAAACAAACAGATAAACCCTAGCATAGATTGTGATGCTCATTCGTCATTTATTACTTATTAGTTGCAAACTAACCAATTACCAACCTAACCAAAGAAAATAAAGGAAATAAAAAGAACCCAACCAAACAAAATTGTTTGCATTTTAAATAGTAACCTAAGCCATAACCACAAATGGTAAAACAGTAAAAATTCCTGCCCACCAAAAAATCCATTTTAACCCACTTCTAAGTTGTAAAAAATCCCATCAAATGCAAATTTAACCACTTGACAAGACAGGATATGATCCTCACCAAGCACATATAACAATTAGGATAAAGAAAATAAGAAATGAAAATTAGTAAGACACATCTCAAGGCCATTTCTATCATCACCATAGCATCACCCTACCCCAATTTGTAAAATAAAATAAATAGAAACAGGCTGGAAAATTTTCCGGTCCATTCATTTGCGCTTCAAATCAATCCTGGCCGTCAATTGCCTTCTTTCCTAAACCAAACAACGGAAAAAGCCAAAACTGACGAACCAATCACAGCTCTACACACACTAGTCTCTCAGCAGCAGCAAGCTGTGCTGTGTACAAAAGATTTCCTTTCAATTACCCCATTCCTTTGTTCTTTCTTTCCCCTTTCCTTCCTCTTCCTCTTCCTCTTCCTCTTCCCCCCAGCTACCTCAGCCGCCCTGTAATATATTTCCCCTTCGTTAGTCCAAATCATCAAAATTCTCCTGCTTTCGTGTGATGATGGAGCTTAACACGTTGGCAGCAGCAATCCATATCCCCAGCTCTCTTCCCTATTTGGCTGCTGGCCCATAGAGCAGAAGAAGAATAAGAAGAAAAGGCAGCCATGGTTCTGCTACTATCTCAAGGGTACTGGTTCATAAGCAGGGTGCCATTTCTGGGCTGGTACAAGGAGATCTCTTGAAGTGTATAGTTGGAATCTGGTGAAGAAATTAGAAGCGAAACAGAGGGAAGTTTTTAGCTTTTCTTTTTATTTATACTACTCTCTTCTGGGGGTTCTAGTTTTATTTTTCCCTATCTTTTTCGTTGGGTGACAATAGATCGCTCTTGGCGGTTTGTTTGCCGTGTGAAGCTACTGTGCGCAAGCTCTGATCTCGAAGGTTATTTTTTTTAAAACAAAAATAAGTTCTTTTTTCGTTTTTGGTTTCTTGTGTTTGGGGATTTTATGTGAAGGAGGTAAAACGGACAAAAAACAAGAATAACGATGGTCTCCCAATCTGGATATTGCTGTCCTTTGTCGGTTCTTAATTAAAATTCCTTATTCCCCCTTCTGGGTTTCAGTCCTTTTACCATTTCAAAGCCCTAGCTGTTCACGAGTTCATTAGTGTTGCAAAGCTTGAAGCTTTAGTCTTAGTTCTTTCTGGGTAGTTCCAGGGATAACAGTTTGGAGTGTGATTTGGAAAATAGAAGCTACTACCCCTTTGAGTTTTTTGCATTTAGCTCAAGGACAAGCTTTGGTGGTGATAGCTTATTCAAAGTGATTATTTTGAGATTGGAGTTTCTTTAGCGGTTTTAGGCTTTTTGGTGAACGGAGTTGGCATTGTCGTGAAGAGAAGGGTGTGATAGTTAGGAGGTGGAGATATGGCAATGATCTGCAAGGATGGTGGTAAGAACAATATGCAGCAAGGGCACATGGAGAATGGAAAATATGTGCGTTACACGCCTGAGCAGGTCGAAGCCCTTGAGAGACTCTATCACGAGTGTCCCAAACCCAGCTCCATTCGCCGCCAACAGTTCATTAGGGACTGCCCTATCCTCTCCAACATTGAACCTAAACAGATCAAAGTTTGGTTCCAGAATCGAAGGTATATATAAACTTCAATTAATTTACATAAGTTTTGTTATTGGGTTGATGGCATTTTCCCAATGTGGGGTTTGTAATGTGAATCTTGATCTGGTGTCTTTGCTGCTTCAGATGCAGGGAGAAGCAAAGGAAAGAGGCTTCTCGACTTCAAGCGGTGAATAGGAAGCTGACGGCAATGAACAAGCTTCTCATGGAGGAAAATGATAGGTTGCAGAAGCAAGTGTCTCATCTGGTGTATGAGAATAGCTACTTTCGCCAGCATACCCCGAAAGTGAGTGGGAGAATCTTACTACCTTTCTTCCTTTTGGCCTTTTGCTCTTAGTTTCTTCTTGCTTATTATCAACTCTTCATTTTACTTCAAAAAGATTCTTACTTCGCAATTGTTTTCTGAAAAGCTGCGAAGACTGCAACTTTATGCCATTTCTTAGATGGCCATTCTATATCTTTCATTTTGGTTTGTGCTCAGTGAAAGTTCATCTTAATAACTGTTGGGTCTCAAGAGTGATTTTGTTTTTTTGTCCCTGGTATTGTTTTCAGACAACGCTTCCAACCGAAGACACAAGTTGTGAATCAGTGGTCACAATTGGTCAACATCATGTGACACCTCAGCAGCATCCTCCAAGGGATGCTAGTCCTGCAGGGTTAGTGGAGCCCTTCAATTAATTATTTTCGTTTTTTGCCATGGAAATATGTACCATCGTGCTTTGCTTTGTCCACCCAACTTTGTTATTTGTGTATGTGTATTCATGCTTGTACTTTTTCCAGGCTATTGTCCATTGCAGAAGAAACTTTAACAGAGTTTCTTTCAAAGGCTACTGGAACCGCTGTGGAGTGGGTCCAAATGCCTGGAATGAAGGTATTTAGTCTGACACTTCTTGGGTGTTTTGAATGAATTATATTCTTTTATTTAGACAGGAGTTTCATCCAACTAAAGGTATGCAAGTTAAGATGTAATTAGTGGACACGATAATCCTTGTTTTCCTCAAATTGCAGTAATCAATGTGAATGTCTGCATTTGGAGGGATTAAGAAATGTCAGATGTAATTAAATTATTCATTGATGATCGTGTCACCATAGGGGTTAGTCTGGAAGCGTGTCATTAGAAACTTTTTCCTCTTTTACCTATTAACAAGTGTCTTTTGTTATCATAACGCATGCCATTTTGAGTTCATTCTTTTGAGTTCTTAACAATGGGCCACGACGCATTCCGTTTTGTTCTTGGTATAGTCAATATGTCCATAATATGGGGATTTAATATAGGCGAATAGTAGTTTGCTCTAGCTCTCTCGATGGTTGATACAAGCTATTCTTTGCTGACCGTTCTCGTTCTACTTTTATTTTGTGCAATGTGCAGCCTGGTCCGGATTCCATTGGAATCATTGCTATTTCTCATGGTTGCATTGGCGTGGCAGCACGAGCCTGTGGCCTAGTGGGTCTAGAGCCCACAAGGGTAATTGCTCTTCCTGAGTGTCCATGGTGAACTTTACTGAATCGGGGTATCAAAGTTGATTTCTTGGATTATTTTCTTGTAGGTCGCAGAAATCCTCAAAGATCGGCCTTCGTGGTTCCGCGATTGCCGTGCTGTGGATGTTGTCAATGTGCTGCCCACAACTAATGGTGGAACCATTGAGCTACTTTACATGCAGGTTTGAACTGGCAACTATGCAACTAATCTGTATCTAAGGGTTTTTCAGTTTACTCACTTCATGTTATTACTGATACAGCTCTATGCTCCAACAACCTTGGCACCTGCTCGCGATTTCTGGTTGTTGCGCTACACTTCGGTATTGGAAGATGGCAGTCTTGTGGTGGGTCTCATTGTATTCCAGCTCTTAATACGATGTTCTGGTTGGTTAACTTTGTGGTTAGGAAGTGTTCTGATATCTCTCTTTGATATGTGCAATTCTTAGATATGTGAGAGGTCGCTCAAGAATACTCAAAATGGCCCTAGCATGCCACCTGTGCAGCATTTTGTGAGAGCAGAACTGCTGCCTAGTGGTTACCTGATACGACCTTGTGAAGGGGGTGGCTCAATCATACACATAGTTGACCATCTAGATTTGGAGGTAAGATGTTTATTGTGTGGGCCTCGTCAGTTGTGGCATTAGTGGTCTATAAAGGTGTCCTTATTGGGGTGCTCATTGTTTTTAACTAGCCTTGGAGTGTGCCTGAAGTTCTACGACCGCTCTACGAGTCCTCCACAGTGCTTGCGCAAAAGACAACAATGGCTGTAAGATATTACCGTAGTGATGCAAATTATAAATGATGACACCATAACAAGTACTGATGTTCGACTATCTGGGTTTCTCGTTACCGTTCAGGCTTTGCGCCAGTTGAGGCAGATAGCCCAGGAGGTTTCCCAGACTAATGTAAGCAACTGTGGCAGGCGACCAGCAGCACTGCGGGCTTTGAGCCAGAGGTTGAGCAGGTGGTTAATTCGTATACTGTTTCAAATGAATTTGGCTAAGGTTCTCATTGTTTTTGGGCATCTAATAATTTCAATATGTTGCGCATTTGCAGGGGCTTCAATGAGGCTCTCAATGGGTTCACTGATGAGGGATGGTCAGTGCTGGGAAATGATGGGATGGATGATGTTACCATCCTGGTTAACTCGTCTCCTGACAAATTGATGGGTCTGAATCTTCCCTTTTCCAATGGGTTTCCAGCTGTTACAAATGCAGTTTTATGTGCCAAAGCATCAATGCTTTTACAGGTGAGGCTTTAATTTTTTACACGTTCTTGTTGTATCTAACCCTGTATGTGTCTTTATGCTACCCTGACATGCACTCTTTTTCTTTCATCCAGAATGTTCCTCCTGCCATACTTCTTAGATTCTTGCGTGAACACAGATCAGAATGGGCAGACAATGGCATTGATGCTTATTCAGCTGCTGCAATAAAAGTTGGTCCTTGCAGCTTACCTGGTTCTCGTGTTGGAGGATTTGGGGGGCAGGTTATACTTCCTTTGGCTCACACGATAGAGCATGAAGAGGTGAGTGCCCTATTTTTATGATGTGTAAACACTAGCTGTTATGCTTCTTTCTGACTTTGATTCTTTTTTTGCATGTGCATAATCCTTGCCTTGAATCAGTTTCTGGAGGTTGTTAAATTGGAGAGCATCGCATATTCCCCTGAGGAAGCAATGATGCCTAGGGACATTTTTCTCTTACAAGTGAGTTAATCAATGATGCTTAGGTTAGCCCCTTTGGCTAAGTATCTCCTATTTAGTTAATCAATGGTATTTGGGCCATGACATGCTGGGACTATGATCAACGTGCTGACACTGTTTCTGTATTGATGTTGATGAGTCAGAGTACACAATTATGTTCTATTTTCTTGGATCTTTGATGCGACTGCTGCACTTAGGTGTATACTACGTTATTGCAGTGGTCACAGTTGACAAATAGATAGTTGAGAGTATGCTAAGTCAATTTCTAACTGAGTGCTCAAAGCTTGTTGGCTGAATTGAGTCAAGTGCTGAAAAGATTTTTGGTAGGGTTATTGCTGGAAAACTGAAGATTTTGGATTGAATGGCTCCAATTTGGCAAGATTTATATGTTAATGCTTGTTAACCAAATTTGATAAGTGCTGGGGTTTGTTCATAATGTAACTAATGACAGGGCCATTTCTGGGTTCTTCAGATAGTTGAAGCTTGCCCGTGAATGTGATATAGAATAATGATGCAACACTTAGCTTGTACTTTTGTTCTTGTCTTCACCTTTGTCAGAAACAATGGTTTGTGATACTTGATCTATTGACTTGAGGAAGCACACTTGAAGGGTGATGATTTTTTTATCTTATAGTTCATGCAAGCTTGTAATCGTGTCTACTCACCTTGATTGCTTTATCATGCTATCTTGACATGATTGTTGTTTTTGCTAGTTTTCACCTTTACTGAACATTTTTTGTGTGTTGTTGACAGCTCTGCAGTGGAATGGATGAAAATGCTGTTGGAACTTGTGCTGAACTCATATTTGCTCCGATCGATGCATCTTTTGCTGATGATGCACCTCTGTTGCCTTCTGGTTTCCGCATCATTCCCCTTGATACCGGAAAGGTTGGTGAAATTAGATCTGGATGTTGTAAATTCTACAGGGGATTTCCAATTTGTATGTTTGACATTGTAAATTTCAAATTTCTGCAGGAAGCCTCGAGCCCCAATCGCACTTTGGACCTTGCTTCTGCTCTTGAAATTGGACAGGCTGGCAACAAAGGATCTAATGACTCATCTGCTAGTCCGGGTTGTGTTAGATCTGTAATGACCATTGCGTTTGAGTTTGCATTTGAAAGCCATATGCAAGAACATGTAGCTTCAATGGCTCGCCAGTATGTTCGGAGCATCATATCATCTGTTCAGAGAGTGGCATTGGCCCTTTCACCTTCAAACTTGGGCTCACTCGCTGGTCTTCGTTCGCCTCTTGGTACACCCGAAGCACAGACTCTTGCTCGTTGGATCTTCCAGAGTTATAGGTAATGTGTCAGTTGTCTTTTCATGTGAATTATTTGTCCTTCTGGCTTCTTTCACTGTTGTAGTCTAATTTTCTCCAAATATTTTGTCAACTGCCAGAGTTTACTTGGGTGTGGAGCTGCTGAAGTCCAATAATGAAGCAGGTGGTGATTCCATCCTCAAGTCTCTCTGGCATCACTCGGATGCCATGATGTGCTGCTCTCTCAAGGTATGCACTTATGGAGTCTTTCCCGTCTCTTTGTTACATTCCGAATCAGGCCTGATGTGTACTGGAAAGGTTACTTGTTCCCGAGCCTTGTATATTGATAGGGATTGGAGAGTATAAATTGAACTCTCACTAGCTATCCAAAGCACACATTGCTTATGATAATTGTCGCTATACAACAATCATCCCCTTATCCATTCGTACTGCTGGTCTAAAATGTTTTGAGTTGGTACAGGCACTTCCAGTTTTCACATTTGCAAATCAGGCAGGACTTGACATGCTCGAGACGACCTTAGTTGCATTACAGGATATAAGTCTGGAGAAGATATTCGATGACCAAGGAAGGAAGACTCTATGTACAGAGTTCCCACAGATCATGCAGCAGGTACTGGATACAAGTAGTCCATTCATTAATTGGATTCTTACGACTAACACCCTGATAATAACTGTGTTAATGTGTTTGTGGTGGATAGGGATTTGCATGCCTTCAAGGTGGTATCTGTGTCTCGAGCATGGGAAGACCGATCTCGTACGAGAGGGCGGTGGCATGGAAGGTGTTGAACGAGGAGGAGAATGCACACTGCATCTGCTTCATGTTTGTCAACTGGTCTTTCGTTTAAAGCTTTTGGTGGGTTTCCTGGGGGCGTTTCAGGAGAAGAAAATACCTTGCAATGGGTTTTAGAAAGTGTGGAAGAGATGAATAGTACTCTGAAGAACACTGGCTTATTGTTGTTATGTTGGTTTTGTTGCCCCCCGTATGTTTAATGGACAGAGTATTATTAAGAGTGGTACAGTTGTGATCGGCAGAACGATGTAAGGCACAGGATGTGCCCTGTATGTGTGTTGGTTTGTATCCAGGAATTATGATCGCAACTTTCTTGTGTGTTTTCAGTACTCCACACCCACAGCAGTTGGAACCTCATAACCCCTTGAGCTAGATTTTTGGGATGGAACTGATTATTAATACCAGATGCAATGGCCGCGCTTCGCTGCGGGTAGGGAACCTCTGAAACTGAACTTGGAGGCTGAATTGGAGAAGTTAGTGGTTTAGTGGTTTAGGGTTTAGTGGTTAACTGTGAGTCTGTGACAAAAATGTTGGTGAACTGTTGATAGAACCGTTCATGATATATAACATATAAGACTTGTATATTACACTAATTTACAAATGAAGTTATCATTGACCATAAAAAATTTCAAATTCATATCATCACCAAAATATCTAATAAAATATTTAAATCATTTCACAAAAAGCAAATTAAAAATTACGGTGCCAAATGGTAATGGATAACATAAAGTCGACAACAAGGTTGGAAAATGAGAAGAGTAAGCATATATAAAATTAATAATTATAGTTTGATGGTCTTGGTTTATGTTAAAGTATTTTTTCTAAATTTTTTTTGGGTAAAAATAGTGAATTAGTGAACCAGTTAAACCGTGGTGGTTCCTCTAATTTCATGTTGAACCGTGAAAAATCGTTTGGTCTACCAATAATGGCCCAAACAATGAACCAGACCGGTATCACAACTGATTTGACGATTCTAATGGCCCGATCGTTAATTCAGTTCAATTCTTATAGCAATTTCATTAGTTATAGTTATATAACTATAACTAATGACTCACACGAGCACACACATACATTAATTTGGCCCAGACACTAACTCACCAGCCTGGCAGCTAGAGGTGGAAATCGGTACGGTATCGGTATCCCAATACCAAATACCGAAATACCGAATACCGAATTACACCCTAAAGTCAATCCCAATCCCAATCCCTAAATAATTTCGGTATCCCAATCGGTATTATCGAATACAAAATTAATTACCTTTACAATTAATAATTAAATATATAAATTAGATTTTATTGTTTAATTTAGGGGAAAATAACTAAGCAAAAAGTTTTGAATTAGGATATTATTAAGGAGAATGGAGGAGAGGAGATATCTCAAGTTCTTGTCATTGATAATCTTTAATTTGACGAATTGGACGTTGAGAGACGACTATTAATAGTGATGGAATGATCTGTGTATAATTAAATGACACTCTTGGTGGTTGAGGGTCATGTAGTAGTGAATGAGAGAGTCTAGTTGAGAGGATAAAATACACACTAGCCTATATTTCGGTATTGATCGGTATTTCGGTATATACCGATCTCAATCCCGTAATCCCTAATACCGAATAACAATTGAAATTCAATCCCAATCCCAAAAAATAATATGTGTATTCGGTAATACCAAATATAGACAAATTCGGTACGGTATTCGGTATATCCCAAATACCGGTACCAAACTTCCAGCCCTACTGACAGCCCACAGAGAAAACTGCTCTTACAACCCACTAGCCACTAGGATGGTAATTTGAACCCACCTCGCCGGATATAACCCATCCTAACTCGCGGTAATATGAGGTGGGGCATGTATATCTACTTCAGACTCGCTCTGTCCGCCCGGTCTCGTTCTTGGTTCATTACATTGTAATTTCTTATAGTATTTACTGATATTTCTCCAATTATAGCTTTTTTCAACTAGTTAGACTTGATTTTTCAATTAGTTAAACTCAATAACACGTAAAATCTTACGTGTATTTTTTCAAATAACTTATAGAAGTGGGCCGCCTCGCCTCGTCTCATTATCATCACTACAACCCACTGCTGGTAATCGGTTTGATCAGGTCTACCTAACCAACAATACGGTTAGACTTCAATTTTTTCTGTACTGGTTTGAACGTTCGGACTAGTATGGTTTTAATTTGACTTTGAATTTAAAACAAGGGTTAATACCTTATTTTGGCCCGAACTATGACCATATAATCAACTTTGGCTTGTGGTTTCAGAAATTAACATCATGGCCCTCAACTATGCACCATATAGACTCAATTGGTCCGACCCGTGAATTTCCGTCAAATTAGACGGTCAACATCATTGACCGTTAGTGAATCAACATGTTACGCTAACGTGGATGCCATGTGGAAAATAAAAAATTAGAAAAATAAAAAATTTATAAAATAAAAAAAGAAAAATAAACTAAAAATTAAAAAATCGCCTTCTCTCTCGTTTCTCGGCCCACAAAGTCCCGACTAATCTCTCCGGCAGGGACTCGGGTCAAGATTGTTTCCGCCCTCCTTTGGGGATCGATCTTGGAGGCCTCCGAAAAGCTAATCGGAACCCAGAAACCGTCCCACCTCACCCACCCAGTCAACCACCCGAAGCGAGTCGAGCCGCCCCTCTCCGGAAATTCAATCGAAAACCTTCTCTGGATCTCGTCGGCGAAACACGAACCAAAAACAGAGCACCCATCCAAGTCCTTGAAGCTTGGTAAATTAGCAGGGAATATTACATGAAGTTCGCCTTCTCCCGGTAGATGAGACAAGAGATCCAACTCACCGGTGATAGAGAAGTTGTCATCTCATTCCTGTTCCTCTATTGTTTTCTAGGCAATCTCCCAAATCATCTGCAATGGCGAAAAATAATTACCCGTCGGGGCGGATACTGTTGAGAAACGAAGGAATCCCGACGCATGCAAATGGATTTGCCCTGGGGAATCTGGTGTCGCAAATCGAATGAAGCTCCACTTTTAGATAGAAACTGAAATTTGGTGTATCCATTTTCCCCGACGCATATTCATTTCCCATGTTCCCCACCAAAGTTCCGATCCTATAAATTGTGAGAAATTGAGCCATTTTTGTTGGCCGCTCTGAAAATCATGGAGTTTCGCGGCGGCGGATCCAATGCGGCGGGTCAGCCATCGGAGGAACTAAAACGATTGTGAAAGAAGAAGAGTAAGCGAATGCGAGATCCAGGCAGTGGGACAAGCGGATCTGAGAGAGAGGTTACCTGGGGGCGGTTGCGATTGTCGGCCGGAGAGGAGATTGCTGCGGCGGCGGGGAAGTGATTCCTCATGGAAGCAGCAACAACTACCGTCATTCTTCCTTCTCTCCTTCTCTAATTTTTTAATTATTTTTTTAATATTTTATTGTCCACATGGCATCCACGTCAGCATGACATGCTGATTCACTAACGGTCAATGATGTTGACCGTCTAATTTGACGGAAATTCACGAGTCGGGCCAATTGAGTCCATATAATGAATAATTGAGGTTATGATGTTAATTTCTGAAATCACATGCCAAAATTGATTATATGATGACCAGAATAAAGTATTAACCCTTAAAACGACACAAACTAGATTAGAGGTGTCGCCGTTTCTCTCCTCCCCCCCTCTCTCTCTCTCTCTCTCTCTCTCTCATTGTTCTCGTCCGCTGTTCGTTGTTGTGTCATCTGTGCACAAATTTATCACCTCCAGCGGCGTGTCAATCCCGCTGTTTGTCGATCTACTGCCATGACCGAGACCGAGACCGAGACCGAGAATTTCAGTTCGAATTTGCATCTGCCGATCTGGCCACAGGGAAACCCTCCTCCCCTGAATCTCTTGAGCAAACTGGTAAACGATCTCCTCATAGAGATTCTGATTCGCCTCCCCAACCCTAGATCCTCGTGTCAATGCAAAGCCGTGTGCAAGCTCTGGAGATCCCTCATCACGGATCCCAGCTTCAGTCTTCGTTTTATTTCTCATCACCAGAGTAGGTACCAACCAGCAGCTGTGTTTCTTCCCTCACACAAACCCCAGTCGATACTCAGCTTTCTCCCCATGCCTGATGAAGCTCGACCGGATTTGAGAGCCTTCGATTGCTTCAAGGACTTGCTTTTGTGCGGGTTTGCTGACCTATTTGGCGAATTGGGTAGATCATACTTGGTCTGCAATCCATTTACCAAGCAATGGATTGCCCTGCCTTTGGCGCCTGAAAAGCCAAAAGGAGGGCATTTTGGATCTGCGGTGGTGTTAGTTTGTCAACCCCGTACTAGTAGTAGTAGTAAATATAATCGCTTGCAGCAGCTAGGAGTTGAACCAGAACCAGAACCAGAACCAGCCTTTGTTTATTCTGAGTATCGTTTCCGCGTGGTGTGTCTTTTCCAATGTGGCGATTATATGATGCTGCAGGTGTTTTGTTCCGAGTCCAGGAAATGGACCAAGTTTTTTTTCAAGGATTCCGTGAAGAGGCCGGGGACCAATGTAGCCTGGTGGAACGGGAGGCTGTTTTTGGTGCATCTTCAATTCACTTCCTTGTGCTCAAGGCTTGCTGCATATGATCCTTTCCACCTTGATATGCGCCCCTACTGACTACTGTCTGCGTGTACCCCCTGAATTGTGGAGCGCAATGCGCAAGGCTGGAAATTTTTCAGTATCACGAGGTGCTTTTCACATAGTTGTATTAGAAGTTGAAAGTGAAAGTGATTTTTCAAGGAATGCATTGACTGTTTGGAGACTGGAAAAAGATTCTGGGAATTGGAGCCAACAATATAAATTGGTGTTGAAGACGACGACGACGACCACTTCGTCTTCATTATTATGGGGTGACTTCGAACTCGAAAAGTGTCGTGTGCTTGATTTGCATCCGGAGAAGCCAGAAATTGTCTTCTTTAAATACTTGAATGAGTGTGTCTTCTCCTGCAATTTGAGGACAGGGACAGGAGAGCCAGAGTTCTTCTCCGCAGTAGAACTAAAGTGCTATGAACCTGGTTGGAGGGCATTGCAGCCTAGAGTCTCTTGCTGGCCCACTCCTATTCCAAGGTATGAGGACTTGCGAGGTATGTATGATGGAAGCTACGATTGCTGGGTTCAGAACAGCAGTACAACAACACTTTCCTCAACCATTGGTAATTACTTGGAGTTTACCTTTTCTCTAAGCCTCTGTTTGTTTTCTGCCATTACGTCTATAGTCTTGTTTCTAATTGCTTTAGAATTTTGTTTTGTTTGGAAACTCTCATGCTAAACTTAACCCCCTGAGTGAAGCTAGCCATGCATGTTATGATGCGTGCCCTGTTGTTCTCTCGATTTCTTTTTGTAATAATTTGTATCCCAACTCATTTATGTTGTGGGTTTGTTTGTTGAACTAACAGAAGAGTGCCAACCCTTGGTTGAACAATTTGGTCGTAAGAGGAAGGACAACATATCAGCAGCAGCATTACACTCCAAGTGTTGCGTTCAAAGGAAGCAGGAGGTGGTGAAAGGTGGCTTGGATGCCCTTAGAGTGTAAACTAAAATTATCTCAACTTCGTGAACAAAAATCCTCGTTTACTTCGGGTGACAACTTTTGGACTGGGTTGCATCCCACCTTTCCTGGTCATGTTCGTTGCATGTTTTCATAGATTCACAGTAAAAGAACATGAGATATCAGATAGCAAAATGTAACTTAAGGGTTGGTTTGCTTCGTGGATTTAAAATATGAAGGTTTAGGTTAAAGTCTGGGTTTTATAAAACCATGGATTTATGATGGAATTGGTTCATTTGGGTTTTGAATAAGACCATTGTTTGTTTGTTGGATTTCATGATAGATTTTGTTGAAGTATATTTGTGGATGTGTTATGCATTTACCTCATTGCCTTCCTACCCTTTATTTAATTTTTATATTACTATTATTGTTAGAAACAAAACTGGCTCCCATCCATTTATTTAGCCTCGTCCCAGTCCTCACTTCATCTCATCTTTTCATACTGTACACAGTGGTCATGGCAACCTTCTGTTATTATCATTATTAGAATGTTATATATAATCTAAGTGGTCGTGGCAATCCATGTTTAACCTGCAATCCATGTTCAACTTGCAGCAGATGCTTGTTTCAATCGTAAATGCTTGTTTCAGTAAGCACACATACCGCCTGCATCCATGTTAAACCTGCAGTTTTGTTTTCCATCAACAAAGTTTAAAAACTAACACATGTTCAACCAAGTATACAACAACCAACAGGTACAATACAACCTAAAAACACATATGGAAAATATACTTACAGCCTACTTGAGGCAGGCATACACAGCCAGTTTGCATTGCATTCTTTAAAGGATTAGAAACACGTTGGAATGGATTGGAAACTCTCAAAATCACTAATCTTCCACCTCCTAGTTTCCCCAAAAACACACAAGTTTCCTATTCGTACTATATGTGTTCCGTACACGCAAGTTTCATATCCCAAAATCAATCCCCCTACATACATACATACAACCTAACATTGTCCCTTGCTAGAATCTTAGCAGTCAATGTAACAAGTTCTGAATGAAATACTTCTTGTCCTCCTCATTGTCGAGAGTATAGACGAGTCTTGTCTTCCGATCATTCTCAACTAAGGTCATTGCAGCAACAATGACTTGGCAGCGTTCCAGTCCTTGAATTTTTCCTATTTCTGTCATCAATGCAGCCTCCCTACCATCTTCTTCCTCACGATCACCTAAAATTGATCCAAGAGCATCAAGTGCCTTCGATATTACAGACTTTAATCTCCCAGTTCCTCAGCCACAACAACAATTGCATTGTCAGTCTTGTTGTCCTTCTTTATAGCCTTCTTCTTCATTTCAGAGTTGCTCGCCCCTTGTGTCGGTTGAGCTGGTGGGGTCACAGCTGCTCTCTGGGAGATCTCAATCCCTTCATTGATCAAATCTTCCATAAAGCTCTCAATCCCTGGGCCTTCAACATCAATTGGTGTCTGAATGTCATCCACGTCCACGAAAAAAGGTCCATCTACGATCGGGGAGTCAACCACATCAGTAATACCAGCAACCTTTCTTCCATCTGCAGGGCCAACTTTTCCAAACACCTTTAGCAATTCATCATAGAATGGGAAGGACTTCCTATTAAGATTCTTGCAGTTTGGGTGAACCTAGAAATAATAACTACATAAGAAGGAGCATCTCGACAAAATCATGACATTTAGCAAAAGAAAATCACATAATTACCTTAATCAATGCTTCAAAGACATCGTCATCCAGTGTTGGAGTCTTTGTTACATTGTTCCACCCACAACCACTCTGATTACGCAGCAACTGTACAGCGTGGCAATCTTTCTTCAACTTTTTGTGCCTAGAGTGAATGTTTGGTTCAACTTTTACCCCGCATCCAGGAGATCTCTCTAGCATCATATTCTCCAGTGGAATCAATGCTACTGCTGTTTCCTTAGTTCCTAAGGTTCTGAATGCTGACACCCTGAAGAATTTTAGGCCTATCTCATGTGTAAACCTATTATACAAGATAATGGCAAAGATTCTTGCTAGGAGGATTAGTGAGGTTATGCCCCTGATCATTAGCACTAATCAATCAGCTTTTGTTAGGGGAAGGAGCATCATGGATAATATATTGATGGCTCAGGAGTTAGTTAGTGGATACAACAGGAGTGCTTTATCCTCTAGATGTGCAATTAAAATAGACATTATGAAAGCCTTTGCTCTGTTAGTTAGAACTATCTATTTCATATGATGGTAGCAATGGGATTTCCGGATCAGTTTATGAGGTGGATTAGGGCTTGCTTACAAACTGCTCACTATAGTATCAATATAAATGGAGAACTCTGTGGTTTCTTTAGGGCTAGAAAGGGTGTCAGACAAGGTGATCCATTATCACCTTATTTGTTTACTATTGCTATGGAAGGTCTCTCTTCCACGTTAATAGCTGCCAGCCAATCAGGGAGGATCCCCTATCACCCTCAGTGTCGAAGAATTGGGTTAAACCACATGTGTTTTGCAGATGATGTCCTAGTTTTTACCACTGGTTCAACTCAGGCACTTCTTCAGGTCAAAAGTGTGCTACAACAGTTCTACAAGCTATCAGGGCTCAATTGAAATCCAACTAAGTGTGAAGTCTATTTTGGAGGTGAATCTATTAAATATAAGGGTAATGCTCTACTTCAGTCTGGGTTCCAGGAAGGCCTACTGCCTGTAAGGTACTTGGGACTTCCATTGATGACTGGGAAACTGTCTTCAAAAGAGGTGGACATTTTGGTTGATAGGCTTACTAAGAGGATTAGAACATGGAGGGCAAAGAAACTGACTTATGCAGGAAGATTGCAGCTTGTGACTTCAGTATTGATGGGGATTATCCAGTACTGGATGCAACTGTTTTTGCTCCCTAAAGTGGCTTTGAAGAGGATCCAGAAGGTCTGCTCTCAATTCCTCTGGCATGGGATTGATACTAGGAAAGCTAAAGTGGCCTGGGAACATGTGGCGTTGCCCAAGAAGGAAGGGGGACTTGGTATCAAAGATCTGCTGGCGTGGAACCAGGCATGTACCATTCGGATGTTATGGTTATTCTTAATGAAGGCAGGTACTCTATGGGTTGCATGGATGCTTGAATATAAATGCAGACAGGGGGACCTTTGGAGTTTGAAGGTGCAATACAACAGTTCTTGGACTTGGAGAAGGTTGCTGAAACTTAGAAGTGTCATACTGCCATGGATTAAGCTACAGGGGGGTGTCATTTATTGGGACTCTCAGGAAATGCATGTATACTCTGTGCGAAGGGTATGAGAAACATTACGAAGGAAAGCTCCTGTCGTCCCATGGTACAAGCTGGTTTGGGTGAAAGGTTGTCCCCCAAGATATAGTTTACTTGCCTGGTTGACTATGAGGAATGCCATAGTCACTAGGGATAAACTATTGAAATGGGGTAAAATATCCAATGCTTCTTGCCCTTTATGTGAGAGGGAGATTGAGAGTCGTGACCATTTATTTCTTAGCTGCACATTCTCTATGAGACTTGCTGCACAGGTAAATTTCCAGTATATGCACTATCAGAACTGGGATGTAATGGTGCAGGAGCTGAGTGTAGGGATTTGCAGAGATTCTCGAGATGGGTGTTGGCATGCTTTGATATGGTGCTTTGTTGTTGCTTTCATTTGGAAGGAAAGATGTAAAGTGGTACATGGCTCACCTAGGCAAGAACCAGAGAGGGTTGCTGATCTGCTTAGAGATGATTTACAGTTCATAGCGTGTGGCAACAGAGGACTGAGAGATGCACTTACTAGGCTTCATTACTTATAGTTTTTTGTTCACAGGTTTTGCTGTAAGTAGTGCTATATAGGCGATAGTTGAGAGACAGTCACCTGGGGATTTTCTTTCCCCACCTCGTTGTATTGGCTTTTCTTGGGAATAAAGGAACCGATTCAACGGAAAAAAAAAATTTCATGTTATTATTTTGTGATAATATTTTATAAATTGATAAATCTATTTTATAATAATATAATTACTTACTTTTTACTCTATTTGCACCCCCTACTTTTTCATCCAAACAACAATTTACCCCTCCACTTACACCCTCCACCAAGTTGCACGCCCCAACAATTTACCCCTCAACTTGCACCCCCCTTCAACTTGCACCCCCCTTGTTGCCAAACATAGTGTAAGTGTAAAAATGCAGTACAAGTGTAGTCCAATTAAAATAGTATTTTTCTCAATCTAACACCACCAAATTATTATAGTATATCAACATTCTAACAAACCAAGCAAAGGATAATAGAAAACATCCAAACAAGTAGTACAGGGGAAGGAACCATATTAGAAAAAAAGAGAAAACTGGATTTTCTCTCAATCCCTTGCAGTCTCATCAGCACAGAACAAACACATCCAAGTTATTTCATCACACCCACTTCAACAACGCTACTCATAGAGAGAAGAAATTACAAAAGCATTTTTTAGGGTTTCATAGATGACAGTATCGTAGGGACACAATATAATAAGGAACATACCTGATTATTGAGGCTTTCTCCAATGGCAAAGGCGAGGACGATAAGAAAGGTCACAGTTCTTCTTCTCCGGCAACACCACCCTTTTGTCCTCTTAGATTTTTCTTCGTTTCTTTTTCCATTTTCATCTTTCCTTATCACTGTCTGGTTAGAAGAAAATGGAAGGGGACAAGTTGGTCATTATTGAAATAAGTGGGGATAAAATTGTAAAAAGCTATCATGGACTTTATTTCTTGCCACTGGCCATAAATCCCACTAGTTTAGCTGAAATTTCCAAGTCCATGGGGCCCACTGATTTGGTCTCCAAAAGTATGTGGGCCCCACAAATTTATCTTTCATAAATCCATCATGCAAACAAAGGATTTAGTCCAAAGTTCAAGAAAGTTGGGTTTTATGTCCCAAGAAGTGATGGACAATGGGGGCTGGGTCTCCAACCACCTCTTAGCATGCCCCGCCGGAGAATGGGGGAAGAGGTGAAGGCGGATCGCATCATCGGGTACACCGTTCATCTTGAACCCGTTCGTCAGCTGCAGGAAACGGGAAAGATGCACCCTTGCCTCCTCATCCTTCAAACCATGAAACTGGATAGAGGATGTAATGAGTTGAATCCAGCATGGCTTGATCTCGAAGTTGTTCGCTGGAATAGGTGGATAGAGGATGACAGGGCGGATATCAGCGACCCGTGGAGTGTAGTAGTACTCCAAGGTGGGACCCGCCGACGGTGGTGGATGCTGAACCCCATCTGCCTGGGGTTAGGGGTGTTCAAACAGTTTGGTTACCGTGGTAACCGTTTTAACCAGTACTATTTGGATAATTTGGTTTGGTTAATTTGGATAATTGGTTTGGTTTGGTTAAAGTTTTTAGCTTGTTTGGCTTAGGTGGTTTGGTTTGGTTTCAGACACTCCTAACCCGTCAAACCAAATTAACCAGTTAAGTAATTAGTCATATATCTAATATATATTGTATACACATACTTAATACTTTGCATAACCACTCAAGAGTTAAACGTTCATCCTTTTTAGACTCATAAAATATAAAGCTCAATATTGCTCCTATAGTGTATATTTGTATATGTAAAGTGTAGACCACAACATATGGACGCCTAATTTAGATAAATCTCATACATTATGATGGATGAAAACTTGAAAGGAAGGTCCTTTCCAGCCTATGATAATTGCTATGAGACAAGTCAATTCACACAAACACAACCATTTATTAACCCATACCATTGTCATGAAATTTTGTTAGGTGAATACTTCTATACTAATCGTAAGATAATTGTCTTAGTTGCATGTAATTATGTTAAGGGTCAACTATAACTATGTGTTGATTGTTATGTTTTATTCATTATATAAATTGCGAATTGATGCATTAACCGAAATTTTTTCTCACTTAATGATAATGTGATTTTATATTGTTTAATCTGGTTAACCAATTAACCAAACCGATTAAACTTTAGTTTGGTTAATTTGGTTGTTGTATTAGTTTGGACGGTTTGGTTATGATATTGTATTCAATGATTAATGAAATTTAGCCTTATTTGATTTGGTTATAACCATGGTAACCATTTGAACACCCCTACCTGGGGTATGGGGTTGTTCCCCAAGATCTAATTCACCGGGGGAACCTGGAGAGGATTCCCCTGGGGTGGGTTGTGTTCGCCTTCCATCTCGTACTCTTCCTCAGAAATGCTGCTCAAGTGGCCGTCTATGCGCTCCTCCGTAGCCAGTCTAGCTCGCTGTTGTCTCCTAAGTTGGCGACATGTGCGTTCAACCTCCGGATCCAACAGCAGTAAACCTCCCGACTGGCTACGGGTCATGCACTACCTGCACACAGTCAAGCAAGCAAACCCGTGAAGGCACAAGTGTGACAAAGCAAACAATGCTAAAACGAAAAGCTAAATTAACAGAATTCACGTTTCTTCAACAACCTAGCCGTCCCCGGCAACGGCGCCAAAAACTTGACTCGCTCTAATCGTCACTCTAGAAAATGGCCAAATGTAACCACTTCCTAAAGCGTAGTATAGCGGGTTTGGGTTTTAATGTCAACCCGGGTCCTAGATGTGCTGACTACTCAGTGAGTTCTTATTATCTAGCGGTGAAACTTTAGTGCAGGTCCAAACAAACAAACAAGCAAAGCAAGCAAGAAGGTTGTTTTCAAGTCGAGAGAGGTCACCCGGATATGGTTCCCCCTAGACTGCAGTTAAGCCGGATTGCAATTTACCAAGTCTAAATTCAATGATAGTTATATTGCGGGAGGTTCTTAAACAGTCTGAAGTCTCGACTAAAGGTCTCCAGACCCTCTCAATCTGAGTCTCCAGCGGGCAACTAACCTCCACCGGAGTAAACAGATTGAGGCCCTAATGAACAAAACCTCCACTACCGAAGTGAATTTGGTACAGAATAGTGAGTTGGCTCCTCGGCTAAAGTCACCAACTCCCTACCTTCAATCAAGGGTGCTCTATCAACCTAGACAGATATTCTCTTTCTAGGTTAAAACAGAAACAACATGAATTCGATCAGGATTCATGCCATTCAACAATTCAAACCTCAATTGAATATAATCAAATCATAGAATCTGTACTTGGTTTCATACAATCGGAACTAACATGCAAATATAGGGTTCTCCATACCCAGATGAATGAGGAAATTACTCCATGGAGAGAGAAGCAAAAGCAAGCTCAGATGCATAAATCATGTTGTGAAGGATGAGAATCTGCTCCTGGTCGTCAATCGACACTTCTCCAAGTGTGAGCCGAGCTCCAATGGTGATGAAGATCAAGCTAGAGTACTTGGGAACTCTGGTTCGTCGCTTTCGCTCTCTAGGAATCGCTTTCTTTCTCTAAAACTCGGAACCCTTTCTCCTTTGGCTCAAATCTGCCTAAAAAGGCCGACCCTAGGCAAAACACGATCGAGGGCACGACCGTGTTTTACTTTTGCCCTCCCGTGTTTTGCCCCCAGCAGCCCTCACGACACGCCCTCGTCGGCCAAAACACGGTCGTGCCTAAATATGGACACGACCGTGTTTTTAGGGTAGTCTGCCAGTGTTTTTACTGCCGAACCTATTCCCCTATATTCAATGCTTCATTTCTCCCTCTTCCGGACTCTGAATCAGTCGCCGTTTGATCCCAGACACTCGTAGTCTCGTCCTCTTTCTTCTCATGACAAGCTTGCATGATTCTTTGTCCATAAATGAGGCAGAAATCCATTTTTATTCAGGCCATGCCTGAGTTTCTTCTCCCGAATCGCCAATTGATCTCTGATTGACTTGAAACTTTCGCCTATGCTTCACTTTATGTGCTAGGACCTGAAATGTGACAAAGGAACACAACCTAGCATAAAATAGGCCAAAGAAACGATAATTAAAGCTCAAACAATCAAGAGACAAAGGGGAAAAGATGTGCAAATATCGAGTCATCACCTAGATAATTGCAAACTCCTTATGGTGTATAATCATACATATCACGCTGGAGTTTCATTCGTTGCATCTTGACATGAACTAGGGGGAGCAATGTTTGAGTGATGCTTTCTCAAATCAAACTCGCCAAAGTTTACTTGCTTGTTCATTTATTGCTACTTTCCTTAGCTTTAACCACAATTTGATCGCTAGATAACGTGTTAACAATTTGACCGCCCGGATTGATATTGAAATACATACCCTATCCTATACCAAATGATTAGTTTCCTTGCACCTGGCTTGTAGTTGGGATTAAGTGTAGTGATAGCGCGAGTCAGACTTTCACTCGCCAATTATTAGGTAACTTTGTTTCACCTTTATTCTGGCTCCATTGGGGAAAATATTGTGCTTAAGTGTGGGGGAATGTGTACATATATTTGATTGGCGTGTGAATAATGAGTGTGAATGACATTTTTGAATGCTTTGGAGTCTTGTGATTGCCAAATTTCTACAATTTGAGGACTCCAAGCACTTGGACATAAATCTTATTATTATGTATTATTGGATGTTTTATTATATACTATTATGGACTATTTATCATGTCATGATGTATTATTATGTATTATTGTGGACTATTGATCATGTCATGATGTATCATTATGTATTATTGTGGATTATTTATCATGTCATGTTGTATTATGTTACTATTATTGTCATGTATAGTGCCATTGTCTAAAATGAAAACTTGCAATATAAAAACAACAACTTCTGCATGGATTCGAAAGTTCCAAAACCCAATTGGCACACTTGATCGTTCAAACCATAACAACATCAAACAATAACAACTACTCCGAAAAACAACAACTATTACATTTGATAAAAGTTCCACTAAACTGCATACCACGTCTATTACCACTACTTCCTCTTCTAGCACCTCTCGCACGTCTACCACTTCCTCTTCGCTGGCTCCTATTGCCACTTGCTTGGCCACCACAAGTTGATGCATTATGTCCAACTACTTCCTCTCTTGGCCAATCCATCTCGTTGTGAATTCTTGTTGTCCGTGGCCTTCCTTGCTTCTTAATCATGTGCACATTAGGATGGAGAGTAGATCCATTCTTCTTCTTCCAACCCTTAGGTTCACCAAGAGGTGTGAAACTTGTCCCATAACAAGTCAATACTATTTCAAGCTTATAGATGCCGTTTACAAACCTATACGGGTTAGACCCCATTCGGTTGCAAGCTTCAATGGCATGAGAGCAATGAATTTTATTTCCTTGGAATTTCCTTCAAGTGCAAAATCCCGCCCGATTGTGATCGTCGAAGTGCACTATGAGTGTGTTCGAGCCCGTCATGTTGAAATTGTTGGGAGGAGTCTGAACTACATAGATGCCCTGACGTCGATCAACCTCTATCACGGAATGTCCAACTACCTTTTGTGCCCACACCTTCATCAGTGCTTCGCATGGTTTGGTGTACTGTGATTGCCCACTTCTGATTAGTGCTTCTGTCTCCAACCTCATCAATCGCCAATAAGTATGTTGCAAAAGAGAAGCTATAGGAAGTGAACGAATACCTTTGAAAACACCATTGATGCTCTCTGCCATGTTGGATGTTAGGATAGACCATTGATGCCCACCATTATAGTTATCATGTGCTAAGCTCCAACGAAGTTGATTTTTATCCACCTAGTTATCACAAGAAATATTTCTATCAGCGAACATCTTCTTAAATTGCTCAACTTGACGATCGAACTTCTCCAGTTTTTCTCCGGCTAACAAAATAAATAACCACACGAGTTAGATAAATCCATGACAATATTAAACAAAAATAAATAATACATAAAAATAAATAACAATTAACAATAACGATGAAGAAGGCTTACCAACTCGAAATAGTTGGTTATACATAATTTTGCTTTTAGTCTTCCTTTACAAGTTGCTTGCATAGTGTCGCATGCACCATCTCCGCTCCTAACCTCTTCTGATGTCACTCATGGCTTCAAAGACTCTCGCATGTCTATCGGAGATGATGCAGACATCATTTCGATCGGTCAAACCTTGAACGTGTCTTATGAACCATGACCAACTATCAGTATTCTCGCCATGAGTAGCACTCCTTTATACTTTCCAGTAAGAAATATTCCATCAACAGCCATGACTCCTGGACAATTCTTGAATCCATCTATACAAGGTCCATAAGCCCAAAATACTTGCTGAAAGATCAATGACCTGGTTGCGATGAAAGAACTCTTACCCAATCAATCACTGATGTTGGCATTTTTCTCTTTAGCATCCGCAAGAATGTTTGCAAATAATCGTAGAATTCTTCCCAATTTCCATGCAGCTCCTCCAATGCTCTTTGTTTTTCATATCAAGCCTTCTTCTAAGTAACTTGCATATTAAACTTATCTTTCAACTCGGCCTGCACAGTTAGAACACTCAGATTTGGTTGGGCATGTACAAAATGCTTCACGGACTCAGATATAACGTCGACATCAAGATGACGACGATCCGTCGGTTGAGTCGTATAGCTACAAGAATGCACAAACTCGACCTTTCTCACGATCGATTCACTTCCAACATCTCGACATCCAAACCGCACCATCCAAGAACAATTGTCATCCTTATGCTTCAAGCATTTGACCTTCCAGATTGAATGTGATGACTCTACCACGACATACCAAAAGTTCCATTGTAGTGCGTGTTGTTTAATCGCCACCTGTGCAGCTTGTTTCGAGTGAAATATCTTCCCCTTGTAGAATTCTCCTTCAAAACCAACAACAATAGGCATTGAATTACACCATATGAATCAACATATGATAATTCGTCATCCTCTTCATTACCCTGCAGGTACAAATATGGAGGATGATTAGGCTGCTCTTCTTCCCCATCTTCCTCCTCCTCCTCCTCGTCTCCGTCGTCATAATCATGATAAGATGGCACAATCCATGTCTCATCTTCACCCTGATCAGCCTGGCTGATCTCAGCACCCAAACAATAAGGGTTTTGTGCCATAAAATCGAAAAGCACATTCAAGCTATCATCATCCACAATAGGCATCACATAATGAAATAGAACACCATTCTGCCATTCTGGAAGACGGTAAGTGAAACTTGTGATCATATCACTATCTTGTTCTGCTTCGTCTTTACGTCGTATTCTCGTAGTTAGATTCTCGCAAAATTGATGATATATCACCCTGCATGGAACTGTCAACTGAAAGTTTCTACCACTAAGAAAATGGACACCCAAATTGTCTTCTACTTTCTCCGATTTCCATCGAACGACTAGTTCAAATCTTCTAAACTCACTACATAACAAAAAAAATTCACTAATTACTAACTAAAGAAAATTATAATATCATTTTAATAATATATTAAAAAATTGTCTCTTACCTAGCCATCTTTGCAGCAACCATCAGAGCTACTCCCTCTCGTTTAGCTTCGTATAAGTTTTTGGTGTGGTGAGGAGCAACTAAAAGTAAAGGAACCATCGACTGATATATGCTGGAGTGGGTGGGCAAGGCCGCGAGTTCTCGTAAGACTCGTGCGGGACCGCTGGTCAACATTTGGGGAATCTGTCAGCGAAATAAATAAAAAGTCAGCGGAATAAGGCCAGTCTCACGCGAGCCCATTGGTCAAAACTTTAGGGAATCCGTAAGCAAAAATGAAAACGAAGACAGCGCCACTGCGCTAGTTCCACGCTGGTCCGCGTTTTTTACCTAAAAAAACATAATTTGCGGATCCACTTTAGTCTGATGCGAATGCGCACTCTTTCCCTAAAAAACACAATATTCGTGTCAATGAATTTAAAAGCGCCATATTTATGATAAATTGAAAAAAGAAAACACAATATTTTGCGAATTTACCCTGGAGAAGACGAATTTTGAATTTTCTTTATTTTTCTTGTTTGTTTTTTTGTTTTCAATGTAATTACATTTCTATTTGGTGTTGGGTTGACGAAAAATTGCCACATCACCAAAAAATGTTAGTCTACTCAGCACTTATAATGTTGCTGTTAAAGTTATTAGCGGTGCCGATATTTTAATTTATTTTTTAAACTTTGACTATTATTGTTATAAAGTGAATAGTTATGGCAATGAAAAATTTTCATTTGCCTTTCATAATGTTAAGAGAAAAAAAAGGATGAATTTGCAAGTCGCTGTCAGGTGCCCAACATAAAATATAAAAAAAAGAGTCAATGACGTAAATAACTACCCCTCTGCCTGTATAAACACCACAACCGACCTGGAACATTTGAAGTCTGAACTAAACTCTGCTCAGCTCCTCCCCTCCCCCCATCCTCTCCAACTGAACCCTTATCAGAGCTCTGCAAATGAATCCATCTCTTTCCTTTTCTGCCTCTTTATCGAGCCCAATGAAGTCGCAGGTCCATGATCCAACTGTGCTGCGTGGCGAGCTCTTTCCTATAAAATCCCCCTTCTCCACTGTTAGAGCTGTGAGGCGGGATCGAGATTACTTGAAGATTCTCTCTTCTCCACTGATAGAGTTTTGAGGATTAGGGTTTTCGTGAGAGTTCTCCACTGTTAGCATTTCCTTAGTTTTTTTTTTTGGCGAGAGCTTGCCGACGAAGATGGACCCTACCGAGATTGAGGGGGGTTCCTTGGGCCACACTGTGATCTCGCCGACTACGATGGCGCCTAGCAACTTGCCGGAGAGGACGCCTCCGAGCGACATCCAAATGGCCAATTCTGATACCGGCGAACTCCAGGAGCACAGCCAGCGCCGCATGAGTGTTAATTCTCGTTCGTCTGAACCCTTATCAGAGCTCTGCAAATGAATCCGTCTCCTTCCTTTTACGCCTCTTTATCGAGCCCAATGAAGTCGCAGGTCCACGATCCAACTGTGCTGCGTGGCGGGCTCTTTCCTATAAAATCCCCCTTCTCCACTGTTAGAGCTGTGAGGCGGGATCGAGATTACTTGAAGATTCTCTCTTCTCCATTGATAGAGTTTTTGCGGATTAGGGTTTTCGTGAGAGTTCTCCACTGTTAGAATTTCCTTAGTATTTTTTTTGGCGAGAGCTTGCCGACGAAGATGGACCCTACCGAGATTGAGGGGGTTCCTTGGGCCACACTGTGATCTCGCCGACTACGATGGCGCCTAGCGACTTGCCGGCGAGGACGCCTCCGAGCGACATCCAGATTGCCAATTCCAATACCGACGAACTCCAGGAGCACAACCAGCGCCGCGTGAGTGTTAACTTTCGTTCGTCTGAACCCTTATCAGAGCTCTGCAAATGAATCCGTCTCCTTCCTTTTCTGCCTCTTTATCGAGCCCAATGAAGTCGCAGGTCCACGATCCAACTGTGCTGCATGGCGGGCTCTTTCCTATAAAATCCCCCTTCTCCACTGTTAGAGTTGTGAGGCGGGATCGAGATTACTTGAAGATTCTCTCTTCTCCATTGATAGAGTTTTTGCGGATTAGGGTTTTCGTGAGAGTTCTCCAGCATTTCCTTAGTTTTTTTTTTGGCGAGAGCTTGCCGACGAAGATGGACCCTACTTAGATTGAGGGGGGTTCCTTGGGCCACACTGAGATCTCGCCGAATACGATGGCGCCTAGCGACTAACCGGCGAGGACGCCTCCGAGTGACATCCAGATGGCCAATTCTGATACCGGCGAACTCCAGGAGCACAGCCTGCGTCGCGTGAGTGTTAACTCTCGTTCGTCTGAACCCTTATCAGAGCTCTGCAAATGAATCTGTCTCCTTCTTTTTCTGCCTCTTTATCGAGCCCAATGAAGTCGCAGGTCCACGATCCAACTATACTGCGTGGCAGGCTCTTTCCTATAAAATCCCCCTTCTCCACTGTTAGAGCTGTGAGGCGGGATCGAGATTACTTGAAGATTCTCTCTTCTCCACTGTAAGAGTTTTTGCGGATTAGGGTTTTCGTGAGAGTTCTCCACTGTTAGCAGTTCATTTGTTTTTTTTTGGCGAGAGCTTGCCGACGAAGATGGACCCTAACGAGATTGAGGGGGGTTCCTTGGGCCACACTGTGATCTCGCCGACTACGATGGCGCCTAGCAACTTGCCGGAGAGGACGCCTCCGAGCGACATCCAAATGGCCAATTCTGATACCGGCGAACTCCAGGAGCACAGCCAGCGTCGCGTGAGTGTTAACTCTCGTTCGTCTGAACCCTTATCAGAGATCTGCAAATGAATCCGTCTCCTTCCTTTTCTGGCTCTTTATCGAGCCCAATGAAGTCGCAGGTCCACGATCCAACTATACTGCGTGGCGGGCTCTTTCCCTGGTCTGCTGTATGATATTATTGACTTGCCCTAATCGATATGGACCTGGTTTATGCTGATGATCGGGTATATGTTGCAAATTGTGGGCTTGACTGTTGATATGCCTTATGATGGTTCGAGAAGGTGATTGGGTATGATTTTTCATGATTGATGTATTTGAATGTACAAGTGGGAAAATATATATCCCATGGTGATTATTTGATGTTTTAGGAGGATGACTTGCACGAGGGTTTATCCCGAGGAAGTGAAATAATACTACTGACTCGCTATGACACAACACATAACAATGGCCAAGTGTAACCAATGGAAGGGACTACAGTATAGTGGCTCAAGTGATAAATATCGAATCCACGGGTCTTTAGAGTTACTATTACTCAGCTTCAGTTTATTATTTAGCAAACCAGATCAAGATGAAAGAACTAAAACTACTCTAGCAAACTACAGTTAAAGTTAATCTAATTACAGGTTGGGAACTCACTTAGGTATGATTACCCCTAGCCACTAGCCAGACTAACGATTGATGATTTCTAACTTGTTTCACTTTCATTCACAATGCGGAGAATCCTTGACTAGACCTTGAGTCTCGACTAAAGGAACAAGGCCCTCTTGAGTCAATTGCCTAGAGGGACGTATCCTTCTCTAGAACAACTGATCAAGGCGTTCTGAACTAGACTCCCTCTATCGAAAGAGGTTCTCAATCGATACAAAGCAGTGAATCAACCCTCGACTAAAGCAATCGATCCACTACTATCAATCTATGGTGCTCTATTGACCTAATCAGGTATTCCCTCTCATAGGATCAAAGCAGAATCAATAATCTCGACTAAAGCAGAATTGAATCATGAAAACATGCATAGATTGAATATGAACTCAAGATTATGAAGTCAGAGTACTCATACAATCATCCAATCAAACAAACATAGCTAGGGTTCCTCAAAACCTAAGTGAAGGGAAGTTACTCCATAGAGAAGAGAGAGACTGCAGTAAGAATCTTCAGATGATCAGTCTTCAAGTCCGGGCTTGTTCCTCGAGCTTCCAAGGCAAAGAAATCCTCCAATTCCACTCCAAGAATGCCCTCAAATCGCCCTCTCTCTCTTTGGTTCGTCCCTTGGGTGTTTGGGATCCAAAACCCAGCTCTCCCTTTGCAAAAACGCACAAAACAGGCTTTTAACAGCCTGCGTTCGCGATCCCCGGTCAAAATACCCGGTAGGGTATTTTAGGTCACGACAGGGGATTTTTTGGTTCACGACCGGGGATTTTTGGGTCACGACTGGGGATTTTGGTTCACGACCGGGGATTTTTGGTTCACGATAGGGGATTTTTGAAAACGCAACGTCTGGAGACAGGGGAAAATCCCCTATCAAGGCCAAAAATCCCCTACCGGGGATTTTAGTGTCACGATAGGCCCCCCTTCTGTTTCTCAGAGAAGCCCGAAACCAATTTTCCCCTATCTTTGATTCTTCGTTTCTCCCTCGTTCGGACTCCAAATCAGGTGCCGTTTGATCCCAGATGCTTGTATTCTCGTCCTCTTTCTTCTCATGACAAGATTACATGATTATATGGTCACAAAATGAGGTAGAAATCCCTTCTTCTTCAAGTCATACCCGAGTTTCTTCCCCCGAGTCGCCAATTGATCTCCGATTGACTTGAAACTTGCGCCTACGCTTCACTTTATGTGCTAGGACCTGAAATGTGACAAAGGAACACAACCTAGCGTAAAATAGGCCAAAGAAGCAATAATGAAAGCTTAAATGATCAAGAAACAAAGGGGAAAACATGTGCAAATATCGAGTCATCAAATCCCCCCACACTTAACCGTTTGCTCGTCCCCAAGCAAACCTAACTCAAACTAATGAAGCTCTTCAGACCTCTATAGCAACATGCACCCTCGATCCTTGATAGAGGATTTTCTAGATCATTTAGCAGCTTACGAGGTCAACCGACGCACAAGTCATCTCATAGCTTCTTCGGCGAGAACGCTAGTCTCGAGTCGGCATCATGGCAAATAGTGATCAGAGGACAAATGAATCGTGGACGAAGAGACTCTCAAAAACAAAAGATCATGGACTCACATTTTTCAAGGTGCTCTTATTTTCTTTTTGAAGACGGTTGGAACCCCTTTTTTTCCTTTTCTTTTGTTCTCTTTTTTTTTTCTTTCTTTTTCAAGGGTTCCAACCTGATTTTCAGAAAACGGGCTCCCACCTAGCAAAGGTTTTGCGGGAACCCGGCTCTTACCGGCCATGCCGGGAGCGAATGTCTCGAGCCTCGTGCGGGGGAAAAGGAATGTAAGAGGGCTGGAGGTAGTAGGTGGAAATTGGGAATGAATTCCCGTCTCCCCTTACACACTTTCGCCCTATTCGCACTGGAGACGTTATTTTAAAGCACATTATCGAGCACCTTTTATTTCAAAACATGATACAAGAGTCCATGACAGGTAGAGAGTCCACAACACCACACAATTCAAGGGTCCTAAGATCACTAATTCACTCAATCAACCAACACAATATGAAGAAGAAATGAGACTTCTTAAATGCATCAACATCCTCCATAGTGCTACATTACCTCCCTAGGTTGCATATTACTATAAAGACTGTCAATTCAAAGCATACTGAGCAGGCAATTGCAAGGAACACGTACTTGGAGCCCTCAAATCGAAATTTGGATAGTGGACTAGGCTCCAAGCACACAAACAGTCAAACATTCACACGGATACATGATCGAACATCCCCCCACACTTAAGCACGACATTGTCCTCAATGGAGGAAAGATAAGGAGGGTAGAACGAAGTTACCAGATCCAGGGTGAATGATGGTGGACGGGGCAGGCGGCGTATTTCAGGAGGAGAGAATGGTCAGACCACAAACACCACACAAAATCTCACAAAGGTTGAATTATTGACTCTAAAATCAAATAACAAAACTGACTCAACCGAGGAGAAAAAGAGAAAGAAATGCAAACCGACTGGTTGGGTTGCCTCCCAACAAGCGCTTCTTTCACGTCGTGAGCCGGACGATGGCTCCTAAGTTTCGGTCCACCCCAAAACCTCTTTGAAGTTGAGTTTCTCGTCGATGAGATGGAATCTCAAGTCACGAGCATGTGGTATGACAGTAGATGGAAACTCGTGCACTTGATGCAGATGAAGTCTCCACCCTCGAGACCTCTTCTTCTCTTCTCTCGTCTCATTGCCCCAAACCAGATATGACAGCACCGATTGACCACCATCGTGTCCACCAAGAGGGACCGATGTCGACGTGACATTGGTATGGCAAAGAGACACTGCAAATGGATCCTTGCTAAGTAGTTCCTCGAAGTTTGGTGGAGATATCAAATGTAACTCATGGCCGGTGCAAGCCTCTTCCACCTCAACTTCGTCCTCAGCCTGGATACTAATTTCTTCTTCAACCTCCCTTCCTTCTTCATGTGGTATCACCCCTGGGAAATGATCAAGAACTCCTCTTGCTTCACTTTCGTCATCCTCCACAACTTCTTTCTGCACCCTTTCTTGCTCTTCTTCTTCTAGCACGGATTGGAGAGCAAGTTGCCAAGAAATTTCTTTCATGAGATCTTCTTGCATCTCCTCACTCATGCCCGCCTCTTCAAAGCTCAGTTTGGGGTGTGGGAAGGTGTGGTCGGCTACGACAGGACACTCCGGATCATGATCATCACGGGAGCTCTCCGTGACAACTTCAGTGTGCTCCACAATGTCCTCGTAGCCTTCTTCTTCCTCCTCCTCTTCTTGTATGGTAGCAGAAGGGTGATCTGGAGCAGGTTGTGCCAAAGATCGCTCAAGATCATCGACACTCTTCTTAAGGCTCAGGAGGATCTCCTCTGTTTCACGAAAGGCCTGAACACAATGATCCATCCTGGAGCATGATCTCTCCATGAGAAGCCTCAATTCATAGTGTGGATCTGGCTGTGGAGTGTAGCATGGCTCTGCAGAATGGCCCGTGAAGGCCGCCATGGGTAATTCCAGCTCCAATAGCCCCTCTGGTTGTGGGAAAAATTCTTCTTGGTAATGAGGTTGTTCTTGATATGCCCAGGGGTCCGGTTGTTCTCCGTAGTAAGGGGGTTGGTACTGGAACCCGAATCCATAGTCTTCTCCTCCTTGATTGCTCCAGGGAGTCTCGGGGTAATACCACTCGGGTGGTGGTGGATACCCCCAATTGTTGGAGAAGCCATGAGGATCCATGATTCAGATCTGCACCAACAAAAACAAAAAACACCCAAGTGAAAAGCAAGGGTGGAAAAGAAAAGAAAAACGCTAAAGTAACAAACTTCTGCCTTTCCTAATACTCTAGAAAGTCCCCGGCAACGGCGCCAAAAACTTGACTCGCTATGACACAACACCTAACAATGGCCAAATGTAACCAATGGAAGGGACTGCAGTATAGTGGCTCAAGTGATAAATATCGAATCCACGGGTCTCTAGAGTTACTATTACTCAGCTTCAGTTTATTATTTAGCAAACCAGATCAAGATGAAAGAACTAAAACTACTCTAGCAAACTACAGTTAAAGTTAATCTAATTACAGGTTGGGAACTCACTTAGGTATGATTCCCCCTAGCCACTAGCCAGACTAACAATTGATGATTTCTAACTTGTTTCACTTTCATTCATAATGCGGAGAATCCTTGACTAGACCTTGAGTCTCGACTAAAGGAACAAGGCCCTCTTGAGTCAATTGCCTAGAGGGACGTATCCTTCTCTAGAACAACTGATCAAGGCGTTCTGAACTAGACTCCCTCTATCGAAAGAGGTTCTCAATCGATACAAAGCAGTGAATCAACCCTCGACTAAAGCAATCGATCCACTACTATCAATCTATGGTGCTCTATTGACCTAATCAGGTATTCCCTCTCATAGGATCAAAGCAGAATCAATAATCTCGACTAAAGCAGAATTGAATCATGAAAACATGCATAGATTGAATATGAACTCAAGATTATGAAGTCAGAGTACTCATACAATCATCCAATCAAACAAACATAGCTAGGGTTCCTCAAAACCTAAGTGAAGGGAAGTTACTCCATAGAGAAGAGAGAGACTGCAGTAAGAATCTTCAGATGATCAGTCTTCAAGTCCGGGCTTGTTCCTCGAGCTTCCAAGGCAAAGAAATCCTCCAATTCCACTCCAAGAATGCCCTCAAATCGCCCTCTCTCTCTTTGGTTCGTCCCTTGGGTGTTTGGGATCCAAAACCCAGCTCTCCCTTTGCAAAAACGCACAAAACAGGCTTTTAACAGCCTGCGTTCGCGATCACCGGTCAAAATACCCGGTAGGGTATTTTAGGTCACGACAGGGGATTTTTTGGTTCACGACCGGGGACTTTTGGGTCACGACCGGGGATTTTGGTTCACGACCGGAGATTTTTGGTTCACGATAAGGGATTTTTGAAAACGCAACGTCTGGAGACAGGGGAAAATCCCCTATCAAGGCCAAAAATCCCCTACAATAATCAGATAATTGGTGATAGACACACTCAAATTAGATATACTTGCAATCTTTGGATATACTAAATATATCTAACCAAGCACATCAATTTACCACAATAATGTTCATGAATTATAAAACGAGCAATCAACCTTTGGGCGATTCGAAAATATTTTATAATCACGAACTTCAACTTTAAAGCATCACATAAACATTAGTATTTGAACTTGATTCAACTTGATATCTATAAACCTTCTAATTTGGCCACTTTGGTGACTAACAAATTAATCATAACATAGATATCAAAAATAAAATTTAACTCAAGTCAAAGCAATTGTTAATCATAATCCTCAAAACACATACGCAAAAACTTGTTTCATTAATGGGTTTCCATTATAATAATTACTCAATTGATCAATCATAAGCCTACTGATCAAAGTAATCACTCAACAGATTAAAGGAAAACTAGAATTACAACCTATAATGGTCAACATATTAAAGCCTTTCCTAGTAAAGCAGAGATCGTAAAAGGCCATTGTTAACAAATATATGAGAACCCACTAACTCAAGCGAGCGTATGCTTATAAAACAGACAACAATAATAAATTGATTATAATCGGCGAGAAAGCATGGACCAATTTGGATCCATTGTTAACAATTATATGGCGGTCTCATATACACGATGATGCAGCGGGAAACATACATAATCGAAAATCATCCATTCATATAAACCCTAAGGTTCTGATACCACATGTAAACATAGATCATAATAGCATGGATCTTAGAATTAGATGATTTCACGAATCGATAATAGATCGGGAAAACCTACCTTGATCCATGACGAGAGTGGCGGCGGCGCTGGAGTAGTAATCACCGGAATTGAGTTTCTCCCTCTTGACCCCTTTAGGTTTTAGGTTTAGAGATTTCTGTGATGGCTAAGAAATTCTACGTAATGGGTTGAGAGAGGACCAATCCTAGAGCTTCTTTATATAGACCCACCATCAGGGCATATTAGGAATTTACCTTTCATTAACCTAATCAATATAGGATTGATCTTATATTAAATTATTAAGTGACAATTACACTTGGGCCACAATTATTCCCTAGTGTCCTACGGGAATTGGGCTTACATTCTCCCACTTGGTCCATGTGTCATTATATATCACAAGATCTAATAATAAACATAAGTGTGCACATCATAAGATAAATCCATAATATTTGGTTCACCATAAAGTGATAATCAAGTATGAAAGCTAGATTAGGGTCATGGCGGTTCTGTATCAATTTATCGACATAGTCCCTTCCATGTACCACTAAACCAGTCTCATGCTCAATATGACACATAACAAGGTAGTCATAATGGTTCAACAATAATGTCTTCACTAAAGACAAAAATCTTGTTTTGTTCACATAATGCATAATGTATATATACTGGTCATAATAAATAAAACAAGATTCATAACTTTATTCTAGAAACAAAATAAATGAGCTCAAAGTGTCAATCCATGAAACATAAAATAACTTTAGTCATGACGTCCTATAATCCCCATCCTTTCGACATGTTCAGTAAATGTCTTAGGAGGCAATCCTTTTGTTAATGGATCAGCAATCATAAGCTGTGTGCTAATATGCTCGATCGACACCCTTTGTTTCTGAACTTCTTCCTTAACGACAAAGTATTTCACCTCCATATGCTTAGCACCCTTCGAATACTTGTCATTCTTAGAGAAGAATACCGCTGCGGAATTATCACAGTAAATTTTCAGCGGCTTGGCGATAGTGTCGACAATTCCAAGTCCAGAAATAAAATTCCGTAGCCATAAACCATGATTTGTAGCTTCATAACAAGCTATGAATTCAGCTTCCATAGTGGATGTGGCAATAACAGACTGCTTCGCACTCTTCCATGAAATTGCCCCTCCGGCTAGAAGGAACAAATAGCCAAAAGTAGACTTCCTGGTGTCTACACATCCAGCATAATCTGAATCTGAATATCCAATCACCTCAAGGTGATCAGATCTCCTAAAGGTGAGCATGTGGTCTTTTGTTCCTTGCAGATACCTTAGTACCTTCTTTGCAGCTTTCCAATGATCTACTCCTGGATTACTTTGATACCTGCCCAGCATTCCGACAGCAAAACTGATGTCTGGTCTGGTACAAGTTTGTGCATAATTCAAACTTCCAACAATAGATTCATAAGGAATGTGTTCCATTTGCTTGCGTTCCAATTCATTCTTTGGACATTGTTTGAGACTAAATTTATCTCCCTTCTGAATTGGAACGACATTTGCAGAGCATTCAGCCATGTTGTATCTCTCTAGGATCCGGTTAATGTATGATTTCTGAGACAATCCCAACAGTCCTTGTGATCTATCACGAAATATTTCTATTCCAATCACATAGGATGCCTCACCCAAATCCTTCATTTCAAAGTTCTTAGAGAGAAACTCCTTGGTTTGATGTAATAAACCAAGATCATTTGTAGCAAGCAAGATATCGTCAACATACAGAACTAAAATTATAAACTTACTCCCACTAATCTTCAGATATATACATCGATCGACGATGTTCTCCTTAAATCCAAAAGATGTAATGGTATCATTGAACTTAATATACCATTGTCGGGAAGCTTGTTTAAGTCCGTATATTGACTTCTTTAATTTACACACCATATGTTCTTTTCCCTCAACCACAAAACCTTCAGGTTGATCCATATAGACTGCTTCATCTAAATTCCCATTCAGAAAGGCGGTTTTCACATCCATCTGATGGAGCTCTAGATTATAATGAGCTACCATTGCCATGACAATCCTTAAGGAGTCTTTCTTAGAGACGGGTGAAAATGTCTCTTTATAGTCAACACCACTTTTCTGAGTGAAACCTTTGGCAACAAGTCTGGCCCTGTGTCTTTCGATATTGCCATTAGAGTCGTGTTTGGTCTTCCAGACCCATCTATTACCAACTCTTTTACAACCTTCAGGCAAATCAACAAGGTCCCAAACTTCATTTTTATACATAGATTTTATCTCTTCTTTCGCGGCAGCTAACCATTTATCAGAATGCTCACTTTCCATGGCTTGTGAAAATGAAACTGGATCATGATAGAGTCCTAAATCAGATTCTAACTCGTGAAGATAAACCTCATAATCATCAGAAATTGCAGGCCTTCGATTTCTTGTAGACCTTCTTAATGCAATTTCATGTGGTTCATCTATGTTAGGTTCATTCTCAATAGCAATATTAGGTGGTGCTTGACCGTTCATTTGTTGTTCCTGCAAATCGTTATCATGCTCAACATGTGCAGGAGCAACAACTTGAGAAGAGGGTAGAGGTAAAGATATTTGCACTCTAACTTCTTGAATTTCCACATTGCGTGGCTCTAAGCTCCCACTAACTTCACCATTCTCAATGAACCTAGCATTTCCAGTTTCAACAATTCTCGTACTATGGTTAGGGCAATAAAATCGATACCCCTTAGATTTTTCTGGATAACCAATGAAAAAACCACTGATTGTTCGTGAGTCCAGTTTCTTTTCATGTGGATTATATATTCTCACTTCCGCTGGGCAACCCCAAACATGCAGGTGCCTTAAACTGGGTTTCCTTCCCGTCCACAGTTCAAAAGGTGTCTTAGGAACTGCTTTACTAGGAACCCTGTTTAACAAATACATAGCGGTCCTTAAAGCGTGCATCCACAATGATTTGGGTAAAGATGAGTTGCTTAACATACTCCTAACCATATCCATTAAAGTACGATTCCGCCTTTCTGCAACACCATTTTGTTGCGGTGTTCCTGGCACAGTGTATTGAGCACAAATACCACGTCTTTCTAGGAACTTAGCAAATGGACCAGGGCACTGTCCACTTTCATCATATTTTCCATAATATTCTCCACCTCTATCAGATCTGACAATTTTCACCTTTCTTTCTAATTGCCTCTCAACTTCATTGATAAACACCTCAAGGGTATCTACCGACTGAGATTTTTCATGCAGCAAATAGATATATCCATAATGTGAAAAATCATCGATAAAGGTAATGAAATACTTTTCTCCACCAAGTGATGGAACATCAAAAGGCCCACAAATATCAGTGTGTATAATTTCAAGGAGCTGTGAGCTTCTTGTGGCTGCTTTCTTAAGTGTGTGTTTTGTGTGTTTTCCTTTAATACACTCAACACAAATTCCAAGGTCCGTAAAATCCAAATGAGGAAGGATCTCATTCTTTACTAGCCTTTCCATTCTTTCTTTGGATATGTGACCCAAACGTTTATGCCACAAGTAAGCAGAGGATTCATCAAACAAACCACGTTTAATACCAACATTATGATGCAAGATTAAGAGAGTCTCAGCGAATAGGGTATCAAGCTTCAGTTTGTACAAACCATCAACAAGGGTACCAGAACCCAATAAAACATTCTGTTTGAACAAACTAATAGAACCATTTCCAATGTTCCAAAAATACCCAGCCTTATCTAGTTGAGACACCGAAACCAAATTACGAGAAATAGAAGGAGCATAAAGGGTATTGACAAGGTCCAAATGATGACCAGTATCTAAAACCAAACGATAAGTCCCAATAGCTTCAACTGGAACTTTGGCTCGGTTTCCCATATAGATGAACTTCTCATTTTGCCTTATGGTTTGGGTCGTAAGGAATCCCTGCATTGTTTTGGAAACATGAATGGTACAACCAGTGTCAACCCACCAAGTATTATAAGGAACCTCAGTTAAATTTGATTCGAAACATACTAAAGCACTAGGCTTACCCTTTCTTTCGAACCATGCCTTTCTTTTCAAGCAATCTTTCTGATAATGTCCGGCTTTCTTACAGAAGCGGCATATATCCTTACTTGGTTCCTTCTTGTGGATTTTGGCAGATGACTCATTAAGCTTTGATAGTCCTTCCTTGCCCTTCCCATTCTTGTTCCATGGTTTCTTTCCAGCTCCTTTATGACCAACAAGATTGGCAGAGTGATTTCCCGGTTTCTTAAGCCTTGCTTCCTCTTGAATAAGCATGCTTTGTAACTCATGCACATTCCATTTATCCTTTAGAGTATTGTAATGCACATGGAATGTGCCATACTCTGGAGGTAAGGAATTAAGGATGAACATTACTAGGAAATTTTCATTCACTTCCATTCCCATGGTCTTTAGTCTTGCTGCAATGTTCGTCATTTCGACGATATGCTCATGCATGGTACGAGAACCATCAAACTTCATGGTGGTTAGCGTACCCATCAGTGTCCCAGCAAGCGACTTATCAGCAGACTCAGATTGAGAGCTTTCTTTCACGGAATTCATAAATTCCTTAGCACTTTCAGTATCATTGAAAGTTGACTTAATGTTGTTTGCTACAGTCATTCGCATAAACATTAGGCTTAGTCTGTTAGATCTTTCCCAAGCTTTATGGAAAGACTTTTCCTCAGCACTGCTAGCATCAGTAAGAGCAGCAGGTTTCTCACTTAAGAGTGCCAAATCAAGATCCAGAACACCGAGGTGAAACTGAACCTGTTCAGCCCATTCAGAGAAGTTGAGGCCATTAAACTTAACAACAGACGTGGCTTGCGAATGAAGAGAAACAGGAACAGATGCTGCAAACATATATAACATGTACTCACACATTAATGCTTTGGGTAATAAGCATAAACTATAATACAGATTCGAAAACATAAAACATATATTGGTGCTACCTTTGGGCAAAACAACAATATATATGCTATAAATAATCGTAATTGATGCTCAAAATAATCAGATAATTGGTGATAGACACACTCAAATTAGATATACTTGCAATCTTTGGATATACTAAATATATCTAACCAAGCACATCAATTTACCACAATAATGTTCATGAATTATAAAACGAGCAATCAACCTTTGGGCGATTCAAAAATATTTTATAATCACGAACTGCAACTTTAAAGCATCACATAAACATTAGTATTTGAACTTGATTCAACTTGATATCTATAAACCTTCTAATTTGGCCACTTTGGTGACTAACAAATTAATCATAACATAGATATCAAAAATAAAATTTAACTCAAGTCAAAGCAATTGTTAATCATAATCCTCAAAACACATACGCAAAAACTTGTTTCATTAATGGGTTTCCATTATAATAATTACTCAATTGATCAATCATAAGCCTACTGATCAAAGTAATCACTCAACAGATTAGAGGAAAACTAGAATTACAACCTATAATGGTCAACATATTAAAGCCTTTCCTAGTAAAGCAGGGATCGTAAAAGGCCATTGTTAACAAATATATGAGAACCCACTAACTCAAGCGAGCGTATGCTTATAAAACAGACAACAATAATAAATTGATTATAATCGGCGAGAAAGCATGGACCAATTTGGATCCATTGTTAACAATTATATGGCGGTCTCATATACACGATGATGCAGCGGGAAACATACATAATCGAAAATCATCCATTCATATAAACCAGGCTCTGATACCACATATAAACCAGGCTCGACAATTTCGATTTCGGTTTCGGTTTACCCGGAACACCGAACCCGAACATCCACCCCTACCTGGAACATTGGGTAATTATGTTTGAGCTCGATCGAGGCAAATCATGGTGATGACAGTTTTTATTTTTTAATAATTAATTTCTTTTTGATTCCCTCGTTAATCGGTTGGATAATTACACATTAACGATAGAGGTTTTTGGTATTAATTATTAACAAGTGTGAACTATTATGGTCAACGAGAGTAACCTGGTCTCTCGTAAAAGGTATTAACGAGGGGGTAAAAGAATCCTGTCGTTATTGGCTTTTACCAGCAAAGCCTATAATGAAGGAGAGTTATCGTCGTTAATAACTTCTAACAAGGGTTTTTGCCCTTTTTAATGACCGTTCCCTCCCCTCGTTAAAATCACTTTTTTGTAGAGTATGTTACACACACATATGTAATGTGTTGAAACTATCAATTCCAAAGAAATTGAATTTCTTGAAACGTAAAAAAGTTAAAAATAAAGATGGTATTTATAATATGGATATTGCAATCCTATTTGATGATACATTTTTACATATTGTAGCACACAATATCATAAATGATCAAGAGAATCATGAAGTTAGATTTGCTTGTCACTATAAACAAGCGATTGGCCAAATTGTACTAACACATATTTTTTAGGCCGTTAGAACTTGTTTACAAAGTAAGAAGTTATGAGAGCTATACTCATATAACATATGTAATTCCGGTAAAATATACATTATGTTTTACGAAGACATGACAAAGGGGAGAAATTAAGAGAATCATGCTCGATTTTTCATAAGGGTCTTCTAAAAAATAATTGGCAATGACTGTGAGAATACTTACTTTCGTAGGTGGATATGATTTTTGGCAGTTTGTGGAAAGTTATTTATGTGTCTAATGAATGTTGTTACATTGCAGTTATTAAATATGCTTCATGATGATATCTATATGAAACTCTCAAAAGGAGTTAGTTTGCTCGAATGATGCCCAAATGATAAGAATTAGTAAAGTATCCATCAAACATATTATCGAATGATGATTAAGATTACTATGAGAATAATGATATGTTTGATAGAGTTATCCATTATTTGGCATATTTCTCAAAGATTGATCGAGACAATCATAAATGAAAATGATATTACATGTATCTTATGAAAAGATACATATGAGAATATTTTTAGCAAAGTTTGTTTTTCACTCATTAACTTCATGAGATTTTTGAAAACAACTAAGTCTGTTAAAGAACTATCCAGCATTTTTGTCTATTACACCAGTGCATCCCGCAACATCATTTAAAAGTTATTGGAGCTTGAAGACTACAAACTGTTGGTAGATCTCTCCATGAGGTGGAGACTTTACGCACTGCACTTTTTCCCCCTTAATCGAGGATTTTTCTCACTGGATTTTCCTGGTATGTAAGATTTTTAATGAGGAAGTATCCAATTGCGTAACACCAGAAGCATGTTCTAAATCAGTGAACATCCAAGGGAAGTATTATGAAATTATATACATTGTGGATGTCAATTGACTCGGCTTCCCCAACTTTCCTCTTTTCCTATCCTTATGAGATTGGATCACCCTTACCTTTAAAAGGCATAGTTGTAGAAGGATATATCACAACAAGCTCTCTCTCTTTTCTCTATATATTCTATGTGTTGTATCGATGTACTAAGCTTTCAAGAGTATGAAATAAAAGTTGTGTTACTCATCTTATTCCTATATTCGGGATCTATAGTATCATTTATAGCTGAAAAGTAAAACTGCATCTCCCATTCAAAAATCCCCGTCGTTAGAGTGATTTGCGGTACTGAGCTGGCTGGCCATTTAGGCGGGATTTTTTCTCTTCCCTCGAAATTCGAATGTAACCGCAACCATCTTTCCCTCTACTTCCCGCACCAAATAACACTCCTATTTCCTATCTCCCCTGAAACTATTACCCTTCCGGCAGCAACTGCGATTCCACCATTATCCGCCCGCGACCAAACACTTTGCTTCCCATCACCCCACCAGTAACCAAGCTTCCGATCATATTGCATTTGTAGGCAGAGGAAGAGTTATCTAAGCCTGCATAGGCTTAAACATAGCGGCGGGTCAGAAATGACGAATCGAATTGACGGGAGGGGGCTATTCTGAAAGCGAAGGAAGGATTGCGTAGAAATCGAACATGGGCACTCATAGAGGAATTTCATGGGGGCGTAGAAATCTTCGATGGAGGTCGTTGGCTAAGAGTAGCGACAATTAGAAGGGATTCGAGGGCGGTGGGTGTTTGACAGGGCATCCAATTTGGGATAGAAGGTCACACCACTGGTGGTGGCTTCTCTTGTAACCCTCTCTTTGGATTTGAGCAATGCAGGAGTGGTGGTTCCTATCCGGCAGGGGAGAAGCGTCGCACTGCATAGCTCCATCGATGGTTAGCGGTCTGCAGTCCGTGAAATGAAGCCGAGGTTGGCGCAAGCAATCTGTCGTGAAACGAAATAAGATAAAAATATGCACTTCACGGTGCTGATTCAGTCCACAAAAGGATCTTCCTGGCATGCGATTCCTCCGCTTCCAATTGCGCGACAACCGACGAGTTAGGATTTCGGAATGTAAATTGACTGCACTTTGGTTGGATTTTCTTCAGGCACCATCCACTGTACTTGATTGGAGTGATTGGACAATTTGTGCACTAATCCAAGGTACATATGGTCTCTATTATATCCTGTATTTGTGTGAATTAAATTCCAGTGAACTTGAACGTCGTATGCGAACTGTAATTGATCCAGTAAATAGAACCCAACTCATCTTTCCTTCTCTTTGCAAGCTTGCTCAATGATTCACCGCTGTATTCATGTGAATCCAGTTGCTTGACCACTCGCTTGCTTGAGACTTGCAGTGCCATCAATATCTTCAAGCTCTATATGCAAGGCCCGAAACACACTTTAAGAGTTGCAGCTCAATCCAATAAGTTGCACTGTAATAAGTTGAACTGTCAAATAGGCTAACACACTTTCTGAGAAAATATTAAAGCACTTGAAAAAGAGCTACAAAATTAACTTTGCTTATCTACCAGCTATAATCCGAGATATCAACATCGGGGAAGGGATGTAATGGGGAAATAGAAGGCTGAGCTTACTTTGTCACTAGGATTGAGCTTCTTAAGCCTGATGTACTCGAGTTCTAACAGAAAATTGCAGCCAAAGATGGAACCTGATATGTCTCTTCATCATTATTAGGAGCTCCTCAAGGAAATGGACCCTTGAGAGGTCGCGTTCTGCCCACTAGATTGCAAGGCTCTGGACTGCATTTTTTTGCAATTAAAACTTGAGCTCTCGCTGCAATTTTTGTGTTTTAACTTTCGAGCCCAAGTTGGATATATAAAGTAACAGATCAAACTCTATAATTTCCAAAACTCAGTGTGCACAGTTAGAAATTAATGCAATTTTGTTTTAAAAAACCCTTTTCTTTTTTGTACAATCAAACACATCACTCTTTGTTTTTAATGGTATGTGTGTTCTTTAGATCCATGAGATACTATAGACCAAACCGTTAGCGTTTGCTATACCTCTTTCTGTTTCATCTTTCGATGTTCGTTGATCAAATTTGACTCAAGCTTCGTGTAGTGATCCTCATTAGTTTGGGTAGAAAAATTCCAGTAGACAGATAGTTGAATGATAAAACTCAAGAAGGTTAATTAGCATCTGCGTTTTAGTTTACATTCTCATTGTTGGCGTTCTGTAACCCGTTGCAGGTTGCCTGTCCTAATCTGTTTCGTAATGTCCTTACTATTTAGGCACAAATTTACATTACTTCTACAACCAATATAAGTTGTGAACTTACGTCAGGATTGGTAAGTCTCTTACAGACGCAGATAAACAACTTGAGTTTTGTTCACCTATAATCATCCTGGGAAATTTCATCTGCCTAGCAATAATTCCCACCAAACTCTGTCATTCATGAATTCAGGAAAGCGGAACTTGCTCTACATCCACGTACAACGGATTTGAGGGTTCATGTATGGAAGAGACTGTTATTGATCAGGCCGGACTAAAAAAGAATAGTGTTTTTCATGCTTTAGACAACACCTTTATATCAAGAGTATCATATGAATATGACAATGACTTTTGTGTTAATTTGTATATCCATATGTGTGCCTTATATCGTACGTAGTCACTTTTTCCTTTGAATCTTTCATGTGTTATGATTCTGTGTTATCATAAGCTTTCGTTAATTCTATAGTAAGAATAGAGTAGCAGAGAACCCAATTTCTTCATTTTTAGTTGCTGTATTTGTCAGTCAATATATTCCTCTGCTTCGATATATCCTCTATAAAAGTTAATCCTTATGACTCTTTTTTTAGGGAATTAATCAATGGTATGCAATGTCAGTAATGCATAAATGGATATGCTTTCAGTTCTTCTTCTCGGATATCAAAATTCAAAACTAATATGCAAATGTATATTCGTATGTTGAAAAAGGTAATAGTGTTTAGTTTAGCATTTGATGGTCAGTTTCATCCTATAATTCCCTTCAACCAGAATTGCTTTTCTTTAGTGCAAGAATTTTTTCAACCATCGCTTCACCTTGGTGCTTGCATATGATCAATAATTGGTAAAGCATATATTCACTCATTAGTTAAGGCAAAACAAAATGTACTTTTCTTTTAACCAAACATCCCAATTAGACACTAACTTCACTTGGGTATCTACTGTTGCATAATTAATGTTCATGTCAGTAGTTAAAACCCATTTGAATCCCATACCTCTTCTAAACACTTGATAGCTCATGTTAAGTTAGCATTTTGGTGTCTCACAGGTAAAGAATCAGCAGTCCAAATCCCTTGCTTTGTTCGGATCGTGAAGGATTATCAACTCAGTGTTGTGTAACTGCCGCTGCTATCTAATTCCTCCCTATCCCGACCTGCACTTTAGTGCCAAAGATTCCCCACCCTTTTCTCTTCACTGGTTTGCTATGTCCTGGCCGCAATTGCTCATCAATTTTGGATCAGCTGCCGATAGGGATTTCTGGGTTTCACCCGTATCATCCACAATGAGCCCTTCCATCAGGTTTGTCACCTTCTCGTATTAGACACTTACCTTCTATTCTTCCCATAATAGCCGCTTACCCAAAATCTCTTTTAATTGTAGCTTCTCATTGCATTTGTTTTGATTTCTCACTCAGTTGATATTAACTACTTCCCAATTCCCATATATGAAAACAAACTGAATTTTGCATTTTTGCTTATCTACTTGTTGTAATCCGAGACAGGAACATCAGGTGAGGAAGGGAATGGGAAATAGAAGGGTGAACTTCCTTTGACGAGGATTGAACATTTTTAAGGCTACTACTCGACCCCTAGCAGGAAGATCATCTTAGAGAGAAAAATTCAGTCGTAACTCTCTCTCAAACTTATGCTGAGCTATACAAGGAAAATGAAGTAAAAGATGGAGCCTCACCTGATTTGTCACTTCTTCTTCTCCAAATCCTAAGACCGAAGGGCTAGCCATATATGGAGCAACCGACTACCTTGCCTCTTCCTTTTCATCTCTACGACTTCACCATTATCTTTACCTCCTTAAGGACCTGTACACCTTAGTAGCAGAGGTATGCTCATTAGATTGCAAAGCTATGGATACACTTGCTTTCCAATTTGAACTTGACCTGCCGCTGCCATTTTTGGGTTTAACTTTGGAGCTCACAGTTTCTTCTAATAGGTTTGTCAAATGCCACCTTACTCAATTGTTTACTGCTAATAGATCTAAACTAAATTCATCCTCTGCTCTTTTCTGTTTCACTGCACTATGTGATTGGTACAATGAACGACCATTAAGATTAGCAGTCTGATATTGTTGACGTGCATTTTCAATTGCTATTCCTCTCCTTACACTGCTAAGAAGGTACATTGCGGGACATCTTCATCTCTTTGTGAAAATTGACCATCCCTTTACCAGCAACAAAACATAGGCGTCCCTTATCTTCTGAAGTTTACAACTGCTAGCTAGATTTGACCTTGTGCATAACAAGGAATGCTGTCATACCAGACATCTATTTCTCAGGCAATAATGTTAACTATTTGGATGCATTTTGGTGCTTTTGATTCTTCATAACATAACTGAATTGAGTTTCACAAATGGGTGTTTCCTGTCTTGGTTGAGCAGTTTGATAAACTTACAACCTGTTTTGACTCAAATAAATGCCTGTGAGCTTCCCCAGCATGCGAAAGACTGCCTTTGCACTTCATGCCTTCAACGTCAAAACTTCCAATCCAATGGACGTAGCTTCAGACCCTATAATTGGTCTAATGTGCCTCCTATGGTGGCAAGAAGCAATTAACAAGATATACCCCAACAGGTCAATGGAGCAGCCAATCGCACAAGTCCTCGCATCAACAATATTTCACCACAAGATCAGCAAGGCTGATCTCAAGTTTTGATCTCAGCAGGTAAACTATTTTACATATTTTTTAGTCGATCTATTCCCCTCTTTCATCGGTCTTATGTCATCAGCTTAATTCTCTATAGCGTTTGCCACTTCCCGGAGAAGGTAAATCATCTCATGCATACCTCATCCAGTTTTGGGAAGCTGTAACATTGGCTCATTCTTTTCCTTTTGGCATCTCCCCTCTTTTGCCATTCGTGTGTGGGTGAGTTCATATATGTCCCCATGTGCTTTGATGGATCTAGCTTCTTCCTTAAATTTGGGGTTTTTTAAAGTCCCGATTGGTCATATTACTGGAGATAGAACACTTATAGATGGCGAGGAACTGATAGATTATTTGAAATTAACCCAACCTTATAGCTTTTATGGTCGAGATTTAGAGTTATAGGCAATGTAATTCGAGCAACTATCAAATTGAGGGGAACTAAAGGTTTGAAATGGATGATTAGGTGCTTCATTTTTCGTGTTCATTTGCAGGATGCCATTGTAATTCGAGAAACTATCAAATTTTACGACTTCTACCACTATCAGGGGGCTTAATCCTTTGAATTTCCGCTTTTTATAATACTTGTGTATCTCAGTTGAAAAGTTATCTTTGCTACTCTAGGTTGATTCTCACTTATCTTAAATGTAACATCCATGATTATCATTCCTTTTTTTCTTCTTTTTTTGGTCGACTGATGATGATCATTCATGGTTAGGCAACTGCCCCTAATAAACTTTAGTCTTTTCCATCCCTCCATTTTGCAGGTCTCTCGAACCAACAATGTGGATTTTTTATATATCATGACTTAAGTTGATCATATACGACTATTAGCATTTATATGACCTTCACTTCTGTTCAAAGGGGTGGTTAATGATGAATTTTTTCATCTTCAGTCAATTAACTTTCGATTTCCCTTTTTTTTCACCACCTTGCAAGATATGAGTTTGGTCTTGGTTAATTATGACTTCATTCAAAGTGTGTTACAACTTCTCCTTATATACAATTAATAGGGTTTTGACACCGCCCTTTCCCCAAATCATATACATAATACTCAATTTGTTCATTTTTGTTTTTTGATTTGTTTTAGGTGATGAAGCAAAGACACAAAATAGAGTTTGAATTGAATATTTTAGAAAATTATATGGTCAAAGAACTTGGAAGTTGCAAAGAGCATCTCAAAACTTGCTTCCGTGAACTAGAAATTTAGCATGTTCCATGGGTTATCAGCGTTTGCTATTATCATGTCTTTTGTTTGCCTGCCATCCATTTTTTGTGCTTGCCACGTAAGTTGAACTAGATTTGGGCCCGCCCGTTGGTCGGATGAATTTGGTAAATGGAATAATTAACAGTAATCATTATACAGAATAATATTATTTTCATTTGATAATATAAAACATTCTTAAATATTCAATTACTGAAAAATTAAAATTTGTAATTGAAAGTAAGAAATCAAACTCATTCAAAAGAACCAACTCACAGAAAGCATAATCAAATCACATTTCAATTTATTTCTCACACTCAAAGTTTACATAGTTATATAGAGGACCACATGTATGTGATAAAGTTAAATCACATATTTATGGCTCGTATTGGTATCCGACTCACCTCTCAAGTAAGAATCCAAAAAAACCTTGGTAGCAATGTTGTTACAACTTTCCACACAACAACAATGAGTATGATATTTTGAGTCTTGTTTGAAGTATATAATTGTAAAATTTACATTGACTCACAATCTTATTGTTGAGTCCATTTGCATCCCCAATGTCAAAACATGGAATATTTGAGTGTCAACCATTCTCATCATGTGGGAATATGAGATATTCCAAAGCCATTAAAATTAGGTGATATATAGTATATACTAATTTGTTCCAGTTCATGAATTTGATAGTGGACAACGATATTAGGAGAAAATATTTGTTCCCTACTATCGTCAACAATTAAAGCAACAATCTCATTTGCATATGACAAATCGTATTTTCTACCATCCCCTTCTATTTTAGCAAGCAACCTAGTTTCATCAAGCTGAACAATAATGTCATTTTATCTATCCATTGTAGATCAAAAACTTTTTACTAAGATATTACTTGAAGCTAACATCTCCTGCAGTTGTTGAATAGCTGAATCATGTAAAAGGATTTGAAATTGGATCTATGAAGGAATAATGTAACCGGTTTTAGAGTTTAATGTATTGTCATATATGTAGAGTTGAGAAAATTTGGTATCTTCTCTTCAATAGGTTTTAGGCTACTAACTCGATGATATACTTCACCTCCAATCGAATAAACGTATACTTCCCGTCCATCATTTATAGATTGTCCAATTTATCTAAAACAGAAGTTAATGCAAATACCTCATTATAGCTTTAGACCTGTTTCAAAAATGACGTGCCATTGAAGTATTTGCTTGTAGTAGCATATTCAAAAATTTTGGAGGCTACCTTCGTGGAGGGAGGTTCACTTTGCCTTGTCTGTTGTACAATGAAAACTTTGGTTATTGAAATTCCTCGTGGTTTTGGACTTTTGGTACTCTCACCTTTTCACCTCATCGATCCACAATATCAACAATATTTATACGAATAGTTTCCATTATCAAACACTCCAACAATTGCAATAAAATTAAAATTCCTATTTAAAAAATACATTTGATAAAATTCTAACATCAAAAAAATGAAGAAATGTCAAATCAGGTAAATAAAAATAAACATTGAAAGTCTCCAAAACGCATCACTTGAAGATGATTATAACAATATTCAGCAAGTTTGATGGACCTTAACAATCTATTCCTCTTAGTTTGTAAGTTATTCGATCTCATTTTGAAGTCCTTATCGGAATTAGTAAAGTAAGCAATCTTAGCATCAACACAAAATTTGATGACATATAAATAAAAACCAAACATGAAGTAAACGGACTACAAGTAGGAATGTTGACAATTTTTCCATATATACTTTTTTTTTATATAAAAAGCATATTTTTTTCTAGCTAATTTCTAAAATATATAGTATGGAGTAATAGTTTTGCAAGACGTATTTAATTATGCTAATAAAACTATATGTACTTACATTCAATTTTTGACAATCGAATTGAAGCACTGCATAAGCAATGTAAATTAACTTTAGTCTAAATAATATATAGCAAAATAGTTGACGATAGAGGGGTTCTAACATGAACATGAAATCCTTAACTAATTACTTAAATCTGGTTTAGGCTTTATAATATAAATGCAATAAGAATCATTCATACCCCAAGATGGACCTTCCCAAGCTTATACAGAGCTCCAAATCCAAGAGACTTTTACCTAGAAGCACTGCTACTGGTACCCTCCAAAGAGAAGCAATAATGGAACTAATTTCAAGAAGAAAAAAATCAAAGGGAAAATAATTCAATTTCGTAGTATTTTGACAGAGAAAGAAGAAGCGAGTCTCTATCGTTTGGGCCGATTAAGATGTTAGAGAGCCATGAAACAAACTTTATCTTTGATTAGCCTACCATTCCTAAGTGTTGTTTTAATTTTATTTCGTCGTCGATTAAAATGTAAGAGAAACCCTGGAATGAAGAGAATTTTAGACCCATCTGTTATCTGGATGAATTATATCGTAGCCTTTCATAACCAACCATCTCTAACCGTATGTTGTTTTTATCAAGGATTATAAAACCATATCGGAGGTTGTAATGGAAAGTCTGCGATAGTGTATACTGTGTTTGATGTTGAAATCGTGGTTCAATCGTTTCATACCGCTAAATACCGTCTACCAGTTTTGCTTCCAGTAAGAGATTTTTCTGGTCTAGCTGCCGGTATGGTACATTTTTTCAATCCTTGGTTTTTATTTTTATTTCATATTCGATTAAAAGGTTAGAGAATACCGGGAAAAAATAAATTTTAAACTCGTAATTCAATTTTCTCAATACACAACAATTATTATATAATTCATACTAAGATAACATATTATCAATACCAGTGAAGGGGCGGGATGCGTTAGAAAATTCACACCAATGAATTACAAAATCACTTGCATATGTTGTCTCTATTGTCATCTGACAATTTATTCAATTCAAATTAGTTTCATTGTATCTACATCAATATAATTTACTCACAATTCTCTTTACAATTAATATCGTTCAAAAATTTTGTTCCGATATATGACTCAACATATGACCCTTTTTATTGAAACTAAAGCAAGTATTAATTTATCTTTTTTTGCTGCCAAAAAATTGCATATACATACAGCCGTTCCTTGAAAGCAACCCACTAAAGAAAATATTGAGAATTTAGGCCCATACATATATACATTACAGCCGTCCCTGCATATCAAATATACACACAAAAATAAACCCAAGACCGGCTACTAAATTGACCATAAAGGCCTTCCGTACTCTGCGCAGGAATAAGGAAAAAGAGAATGAGCAGGGTGCGGAGAACCTCCATATAGTAGTGTTTAGATAGATTTAGATTTGTTAATAACACCGAATCTAATGAGGAAATAGTTCTTAAATCATTTATGCTAATAATAAGAAGTGCGAAAATTACTTCTAAAATATGAAAAAATACATACAACAATAAGTTATGGTTATCTGAATAATAAAAATGCCTATAAACTAATTACCAGTAATAATCATGACAAACAATAATCATCACAAATTAATTTTAAATTATGTAAAAACTATTGAAAGGATCACAGATCATTTAAAAATATGAATCACTTAATCAACATAAATTATAAAAAATGAAATGAAATTAATCCGACGATCGGGTAAAAGCTAGTAATTATTCACAACAGAAAGGAAATTGCATTTTATAGGCTCCGCTCTACCTGAAATCCAGTCCAATGGAGGAAGCAAAAGCCCAAGCCCGTACTTAGCTGTTCTTTAAGCCCATTCTTTGACAATATTTTATAACGGGCCCTTTAAGCACACTTTCGTTTTTCGTTCGCTAATTTTTTTTAATACAATTTAATATCCAAACATTTCATTTTAAACAATATAATAGCCAAATATTTTCGAAAACAATCTAATATCCAAATCGTCAACTTTCGTCCGTTTGATACTTTAAAAAAGTTTTGTTTATGGGAAATTGTCACCATAAAGCTTTATTTTCTTGTTTTGGCATTGCAGATGACTGAATATTTAGATATTCTATACCATCATGGTGGAGTCATGGACTTCTCGGGTTTGGAACCACGATATGTTGGTGGTTTTTCATAGAAGATATCGATGGATATTGATGAAGTGTCGTACTTCGAACTTGATGAAGTGTCAACTAACGGTCAAATGGACGGAAAGTTGACGATTTGGATATTAAATTGTTTTCGAAAAGGTTTGGCTATTATTTTGTTTAAAATGAAAAGTTTGGATATTAAATTGTATTTACTTGTTGTAGAAATTCACTATCTTTAATGTTGGCCGGGACAAGAAAACTTACCATGGTTGTCATGCAGGTGGCATGCCACCCGATTGAACCTGGTTCAACCTGTGCCGGTCATGAAACCGACATGACACTACCGGTATCGATTTGCGCATTCAAAGTAAATGACATCATTTTAATGAATTAAAATAATAATTTACTATTCATTTTATGAAGGTAATAGTTAAAAGTTGATGATATTTGTTGGATTGTAACTAAATTGTCCACAAATATGTTTTATATATGATTAAATACATTGGATATTAATTGTTTTCACCGGTACAAACCGACACAAACGGGTTATACCATCGGTCGTACCATTCCACTTGCCAAACGGACACAACGATATAAACCAGTTTGACAACCTTGAAACTTACTCTTCGTCGTGCGAACGCCATTCTGGGCCTCTATTTCTCCTTCTTCGTCGTGCATCCAGGGAGCTTCCTCCGCCCATCTCACTTGTCGCGCCCCCACAGCTCCTTCTCATCGCTCAGGTTCGATCTTCTCTTTTCAATTCCCTTTTTCTTAACGAGCGTTGTTCGTTCGAGTTCCTTGATTTGAATAATTGGGCTTTTCTCGGTTCGATCTGATGGTTTTGCGTTGTTCGAATTCTCCATACAAGAATGAATGCCCTCGCGTTTTTTGTCGTGAACGATTGTTGATGTATGAGTGAGGAATCTGATTGAGGCGCCATCACCTTTTCCTTCATTGCTCGGATCTGAAGTCCTGTGGTAGGAGCTAGGGTTGATTGTCCTGAACTATGGTGTCGTGATTAATTTGATTGTCTTGTTTCTCATTCTGTCGCTGTTGTCCATACTGTCTTTCTGGCACCATAAGCCCCAGGCTTGAAGATAAAATTGACCTTCGCCACGAAGTGTTAATGGTGTAAATTTCGTATTTCGATTCTCAAGAATCGATTGCAATTTGAAACTTAGGGTTGTTTTTTTAGTTATTTCTCTTTGCTATTCTATCCTTCCTCCTGCAAAGGCTTCATTCTGCCGAGTTAGTTCCATTATTGAATTGATAGGTTTAGTTCATCTAAATTAGGTGGAAAATGTCACCGGAACAATCCTTTTCTACTGGAATGGGGAACCATTTAATTAGGATTTTCTAACTGTGACCATTTCATTAACCGAGAGTTGAGGCACCTGCTAAGTTTTGTTACAGTAATGTTTGTTGGATAATGTGATAACGAGATGTGTTGTTTCTGGGTCAATTCTATGATTGAATTGATAGGTTAGTTCTCCCAGTTCCTGAATAGAACAAGAGGTTACTTGTGTTAAATTATATATCCTGATTTATGATTGTGTTAAATTATACATCCTGGTTTATGTCATTCTGTTACAGGGGGTAAACTTCATTGGGATTAAAAATGCCTTTACAGAAGATTGAAACGGGTCATGAGGACACAGTCCATGATGTTCAAATGGATTACTATGGTAAGCGCATTGCAACAGCTTCAGCAGACCATTCCATCAAGATAGTTGGAGTGAGCAACAACACCTCTCAGCCTCTAGCTAAGCTTACCGGTCACCAAGGCCCTGTTTGGCAAGTAGCCTGGGCTCACCCCAAATTTGGGTCCTTGCTCGCTTCCTGCTCTTATGATGGACGTGTTATTTTATGGAAGGAGGGCAATGCAAACGAGTGGACACAAGCCCATATCTTCGATGACCACAAGTCCTCTGTCAACTCCATCGCCTGGGCGCCACATGAACTCGGGCTGTGTTTGGCTTGTGGGTCATCTGATGGCAACATATCGGTCTTCACCGCACGAGCAGACGGTGGCTGGGACACATCGAGGATCGATCAAGCTCACCCTGTCGGTGTGACATCTGTATCTTGGGCCCCATCAACTGCCCCTGGTGCCCTCGTGGGGTCTGGTATGCTCGACCCAGCTCAGAAGCTCTGCTCTGGAGGCTGTGACAACACTGTGAAAGTGTGGAAGCTATCCAATGGGACATGGAAGATGGACTGCTTCCCTGCTCTTCAGATGCATGCCGATTGGGTGAGGGATGTCGCCTGGGCACCGAACTTGGGTCTCCCAAAGTCCACCATTGCTAGTGCATCTCAAGATGGGAAGGTCATCATATGGACAGTGGCCAAAGAAGGGGAGCAGTGGGAAGGCAAAGTGTTGAATGATTTCAAGACTCCTGTGTGGAGGGTTTCGTGGTCGCTCACAGGAAATATTCTGGCTGTTGCGGATGGGAACAACTCTGTTACGCTCTGGAGAGAAGCTGTAGATGGAGACTGGCAGCAGGTCACGATGGTGGATTAAGTGCGATATCACGAAGAATCGTGTTGAACACTTGTTTCCCCCGTCCCTCCTCTCTAATACTTGATCATGGTCTTGAAGTGCCATTTTATATTGTTCTGTGCAGAGACATGTTCAGGGGGAGAGCTTCTTACTCTTTAGTTTGGCTCTTTGCCTTTTTTTATTTGCAAGTTATTCAAACGGGAGGCACGTTTGCAGGATGCTTTTGGACTCTGAATATTTTGAGCGCTAGCTTCTATTTCGAAATTGCAGTATGATAGTGTTACTCGGGTACGATATTTGGGTGTCTTAGTGAATCTTGTCAAGTTTGACGTCTTGTTTGCTGTAGTGAATTCATTTCGTTTGGTCTGTGTAGTAAAGCCTTTTGGTAAAGCCTTTTGATACATAGCAAGTGTGCGATGCCAATTGCCAAGCCAGGAGTTACTAAGAAACGGAAGCATCATTCTTATGATTTAGGGTGGTTTGCTTGATGGATTTGGACCATGGATTTGAGACTCAAATCACCATGGATTTGAGACTCAAATCCCAAGCATGATGGATTTTAGCCAAGTCCATTGTTTGTTGTCAGGTGTTAAATTCGTGAGGTCCACGGATTTGGATCCAAAAAATCCCATATATTGGGGTGGGATTTGTAAATCGTTGATGGCTAGTTATATTTATAGCAAATCCATCATAATTATATCATCAAATCTGTCATGCAAACAATAGACTCTTCAAATCCATGATGGTACAAATCCCTCATAAATCCAAAGGTTTTTTTTAGCCAAAACCCTCATTTTTCAAATCCAACAAGCAAACGACCCCTTAGGGTGTGCAAAAGTATGGGACCAGTATGGCGCGGTGCAATCGTAAAAGAAATTTTAGGATTAAAGATCGGACCATCATTGTATTCGGTTCATCCAAATATCAATTCATTCTATTTATTTTTAGTATTTATAAAATCGTGAAATCAAGAAGCGGAAGTCATTATATTTGATCCAGTATGGTTTGATATCCTACTACATAATCTGCATTTGCCAAATTCGAGAGCATAGCGTCTGTACGCGTTTGTCGAGACTCCACCATCAGCAGCAGATCTCTCACCATTGTTTACATCAAATTCATCTCTTCGCAAGACGGGATGCAGCTCGCGCTCGGAAGAAAGTGGTGGTGGTGGCCCGTTGAGCTCCCCGACAGAGGAGCTGGTCATGCGGTGGTCTTTCCTGTCGGGAACGGTGGCGGTAATAATTGCCGAAGGGAATACCTCTTTATCAAAGAAAAACAAAAACAAATCTGGCGGTTGGTGGTGGTAAATATGGCGACTTGTCATGATCTCTGAGATCTCGCCATTCCACATTTTCCAATGCGTCTGTTTACTTTGGACAATCTCGAAGTCTAGAAATAAAGTGACTTTTGAATTTTACCAACTCCATATTCGTTCCCTCGCCAGACAATTCTACAACCAGGTCCTTGAAGTCTCCATTATTCGCCCCCCTCCTCCACCCCTAGATTGCTTCTCCCAATTCCTCCTTCCCCCACTTGGGAGCCTCCACCAGACAACTATTTGAAGATCTACTTCAAAGCACCTGTTCGTGATTCAGGGTGCTCGTGTGGTCTTGTTATCCGTGGGTCAGACGGGTATGTGGTGCTGGCAGCGGTATAAGTTACCAGGGAACTCTATATGGTAGAGCTCCTAGCAGCAAGAGATGATATCACCATCGTTGCCTCAAGATCCTTAACTCAAGTGATAGTGGCAGGTGATTCCGAGGCGATCGTCAACCAGATCCGTTAAGGTGCTTTAGAAGATTCCTTTGGAGGTCTGGTGTTCTGGGAGAGTTGTAAGATCCTAGACTCTTTGTCAGTTTTTATAGAGTTTAGGGTGGTTCCTAGAGCTGCACATAGAGTTGAACATAAAGCACTGCTATTGTATCTCCTAGATTTAGAGTCTTTCGACTTTATTGGATGGCTTCACTAGGGTGTCGCTTGTAGGGGGTCCTGAGTATTTTTGTTTGTATAACTCTTGTCCTCTCTTGATATCACTCGAAAATACATAAAAAGAGTGCTTACACCCTACTAACACTTTCAACTTCAAGAGATGATGGAAGGAACAGGATGGCAGGAGCTCGACCGCAGTGATGGATATGCATGCTCCCTCGCGTCGATCAATCAACGGCCATCGAATTCCTCCCGTCGTCGGTGTCAGATGTAACAAATCCATCGTTGGAACCAATCAAGAGCGGAGATGGAGAATCAAGCCGCATCAACAATTATCTTCTGTCCCAAATATGCCTTTCCCTCGATGGCTGCGGACAGAGTTGGACCTTAATGGCTTGCGCGTCCGCCTTAGCTGTTGGAAACGTAGTGGACAATTCTCTCCTTTTGTACATACTAGAATCAATACCCGCGGCTACGCCACAGGGATTAAAGTTGCAGTAGGATGATCTTATGGATGGCTAATTTAGGTAAGGCCAAGTTGGGGTTCGTTGTGCTACTGGCAATGGTGTGAGTTTAAAAGTTTTGAAAGTGTTAGCAAGAGACTTATGTATCATGATTCATGAGTTTCATATTTAATCAAATATGGTGCTTCTGTCAACATACCTGTTACCCAAGGTAAATAAAGCAGGTAAGAGGGGAAAAAGAGGAAGTACATAGTTCGTATGTAAGAAAATCTCACAGTGAAACAACACACTTTCTAAGCAGCATGAGTTTCACTTTCTGAAGAGAAAGTGAAAATACATATATATTGTCAAGATACATTGATCCAGAATTGTTCTGCATGTCTTTGGAAAGACAAATAGGTGTACCATGCAGTGTGTACATGAAGCAAAATATGTTATGGTTTATGATTTACAGTTCAACATAGGAAGATCTCGACATCATAAATGAGGGGCAAACAGTGTTTAATGCTTATGACACCGACCTCAAACACCAACCTGACAATTTTTTGTGTTTTTGTCCAGGTCCAATCTCCATAGTAAACATCTTGCCTATGATAGAGCTGAGGCATGCATTGCTATCGGTGTTAGTGACAACAAACTACTCTCCTGCCGATTTATTTAATAGTGAGATTGCTGCATCATTACATTGTTGAAGAGCTGAGGCATCATGGCACAAATTTGTGGGGAGAAAAGTTAGATTACATACCATAGGAAAAATTTGTGGTAGCAATTTTGTACAATAGAAAAGAGTGAGTAAGAGCTCACCACCGCGATAGTACTATTGATCTTTCGCCAACTTAATCCTAATCATCGAGACAATTTGATCCTAATCGTCAAGACATCTCTGTAGTAATAACTCGCATCACTCTGGAAACGTGAACAACATGCTCTGCAAAATGTCAAACTTTGATGCCAAAAACCACTACAAACAGATGAATTTCAGCCAGATGAATTATAGTAGTAGCTCCTTAAAATGTTCAATTTGTGATTCACTTTATTTAAACCTCACAAAACATTGTTTTCTAATGGTGATGTTATACTATTAATAATTCAAAATTGAGTTTAGGGAACATACAACACATGCATTGAAATTAACTACAAAGGTATCATTTAGCGATAAGGCAGGAAGCTTCACTATGATCTGCAGCTCCCAGGTCAAAGGATCCTTTATCTCACATTCCACATATCTGACAGCCTCAAACTCGCACCCAATTTCTCTTAATCTTCTCCATATATATAAATCCATAGTGATTATCCAACTCTTCCTTAAAGTAGCAAGTTTTCAGCAGGACGACAACCACCTTCAACCCTCTTCCATATATAATTGTTCCTTCACATGTACACTGTCTTGATTTTCCTCCTGAGATGTAGACGAGTATCGATGTTTCTCTTCTTCTCAGCAATATAGTAGCCAGTTTTGGTTTGTGTATAGAATTGGCTTCTCTAGGTTAAAGCCCATTGGTGGAGAAAAAGGCATGCATAATAGTTGGCCAGGCCTCCCCTATTGTTCCTTCAACTTTCTCTGTGCTTCTCAACCAATCAGCAATTTTCCTTCCAACTTAGCATCAGATCACTTAGGGGTGGAGACTCTTTGTCTTCAAAGATTTCTTATTTTCTTTCCTTCCAAACCACACAACAGATTGCATGAAACAGGACCTTTGAACACACTCTTTGGGGGTGGCAATTTGTTGGTGGGGCCAACCTCTGATTGCTGTCTGCAATTCACTTGAAATGAGAGTGTTTCAAATTGAACATATTTGTTTAACCTTGTCCAGACTTCCTTCAAGAAGCTGCAAGCAAGAAAAAACAATCAATATTTGAATTGTCTCCATCAGAAAGATTAGTGTTTACTAAAAAAAATGTTAGCTAATGCAAATAGATCTTACTTAATTCTTCAGCCTTAGTGGCTTGACTGCAACGAAAGACAGACAGGCTAGGCACAACCACAACTAGAACATGTTTGAGATGAGTGAAGTGAGAAGCGAGAGGGGCTGCATCATATTGTTAGCTCGGGCCTGGGAATTCCATAAACCTAGAAGCACAAAATGATAGTCAATGGCAGTATAGATACAATTAATTGATATGTAGTTGTTCCCCTACAAAATATACAATAACAGAGCTGCTTAGTACATTCTATAATTAGTATCGGCAAACATAATCATAGGCTAGTATAATTTTAATGAAAATCCTACTAATTAGGATATTCAAAGATATCCAGTAAACAAAGAGTAAAGCTGCTTGTATCCATCCACAATCTCAAAGGAAGAGGATATCACTTATCATTGCTTATCTGTGATTCCAACAAAAGTCATGACAGTGTTGCCTATCCTCCTACCTCGCAACTTTTGCACCGTAATCAGTGTCTGCATAATCACATGAAAACAACATATTCAGATTCAGCCACCCCAAACCAACAACCAAAAAAACTCTTTTATAACACTGAATTAGCTCTGGTATAAGCATAATAGCCCATCAAACAACAACCATCAGGTTTAGAAATGATAAATAACAACAACTCTTTCACAGTTGCACCAATCATGCAAATCATAAACCACAATTCGTGCGCAGCCGAACACAAAGCCTAGCGTTTTGGAAACTGATTGTGTACAAAAACATCTACGAAGACGATTTGGTTCATCGACTACGGGAATCAGCGTTAGTGTAAGTGAAAGGACGAAAGACCAACCTGCTTAAGTCCCAACTCTCGAAGTGAATGCCTGTAGTTCCTCGAATTGGCGGAACTCAAAGCTATCCATACAAAAATTTGACTCACCCTCTGAGTAGGGGATGAAAGAAGTGTTCTACGTAAAGTTGAGGACGCCGTTCCTAGAGCAGGACACACAACTCTTCTTCCCTTCATGTTGGGAAAAGAGTCTGATGAAGGAAACCTTTCCAACAGCAAGAACTTCGTTAAGTTGGTCTGACAGTTGTCGGGGCGCCACTCCCTGCACCAGCACATCCCTAGAAAAGGAAGGAAATAACGAAATTAGAAAAAGGAAAGGGATAACCAGGTGATCCAGCTTGTTCAGCAACTGCAGGGCTGGCTAGAGATGAAATGGGCTGGGTACTTTGAACCAACTTTATCACTTTCTCTCGCAGGGAGCGAGAGAAATGAAACAAAATCCTCCAACTTCTTTTCACTTGACGGCAGCAGGGCTCTTCCAGTCCACGGCCGAGGCATCAAGGCTGGGCCAAACATAGAGAATGGCGGCTCCCGTAGCTTCAGCGACTTCGTCTTTCGCGCCTCCGTGTAGCTGTACTTGAAATCGAACAAAGTTCTATCGATGACGTAAGAGAGCCCATATTTGTATCACGACCAGGTATTGATGAACTTGAGGGCGAACACGGTGTCCCAAAACCTGAAATTGCTCCTGGCATTCGGTACGGCAGGGTCGGTGACATTCGGGTCGTAAGTGTTGACTGTGTTGTGCAGCGGAATTGAAGCGTCGAGCATGGTAGATGTTGTCCTTTATTTCTTGCAGTGAGCGACGCAACACCTCGAATTTTTTAGCATTGTTCCACCGAGAGAAGAAGAGCTTTGCAGTCCGTGGGAAGGCGGTGATGGGCAGCCGCCATCTTCGTTAGAAAGGAAAGACATAAGAGAAAATCATAAACGGTCGAAAAACTCACAAAAGAAGAAGTACCTAGAGGAGAAGAGGAATCTGGATATAGGTTTGTACCAGAAGATGAAATGCAGGCAGGGTGAGAGTTCTTCTTCTTTGCGAGTTCTTCTTTTTCTTTTCTTCTCCTTCGAGAGACAGAGAGAGCTGGGAGGTTTTCTGTTCTCTTCCTCTTCCTCCTTTCTGCCTCTTCTTCTTGCCGATCTAGAAAAAGCATGGGAGGTGAAGTGTTTGGGTAGGTTTACAGAGATCATTGTATTGAGAAGCAAACCGGAATGGAGAGATGATGGGAGATGATTGAATGGGTGGCATGCAAATGCGAATTTTGGGCTGAGTTTGTGGGAGGATGGGCGATACAGAAAAACATGACGGTAGCAGAGGTGATGGCCGAGCACTAACCGGATAATGCTTGAAAAGAAAAGGTCAGCAATTGTAGCGCGGACTGTGGAGTATGGGCGGTGACCTGCGTTTGCTGGACTGATGGTAAAGCTGAGAGGGGTAGGAGTACGGCTCGAAGCGGGAGAAGAAAGTGGCGTGCGAGGAGCTTCTCCACTTCTTGGGAGCTAGATGCCAAGAAATGAAACAGTGTTTAGAGTCTGTGGGGGAAAAAGCGTACCCCCCTTTCATGTAAAATCATAAACGGACAAAAGCAAAAAACTCACAAAAGAAGAAGTACCTAGAGGAGAAGAGGAATCTGGATATAGGTTTGTACCAGAAGATGAAATGCAGGCAGGGTGAGAGTTCTTCTTCTTTGCGCGTTCTTCTTTTTCTTTTCTTCTCCTTCGAGAGCTGGGAGGTTTTCTGTTCTCTTCCTCTTCCTCCTTTCTGCCTCTTCTTCTTGCCGATCTAGAAAAAGAATGGGAGGTGAAGTGTTTGGGTAGGTTTACAGAGATCATTGTATTGAGAAGCAAACCGGAATGGAGAGATGATGGGAGATGATTGAATGGGTGGCGTGTGAATGCGAATTTTGGGCTGAGTTTGTGAGAGGATGGGTGATATAGAAAAACATGACGGTAGCAGAGGTGATGGCCGAGCACTGACCGGATAATGCTTGAAAAGAAAAGGTCGGCAACTGTAGCGCGGACTGTGAAGTATGGGCGGTGACCTACGTTTGCTAGACTGATGGTAAAGCTGAGAGGGATAGGAGTACGGCTCGAAGCGGGAGAAGAAAGTGACGTGCGAGGAGCTTCTCCACTTCTTGGGCGCTAGATGCCAAGAAATGAAATAGTGTTTAGAGTCTGTGGGGGAAAAAGCGTACCCCCCTTTCATGTTTTAAAGAATCATAGAGATATGTAATTGGTTACCCAGCTGCTTTCCTTTCTCCACTCTAACTTGTTTTTATTCTTGCAAATGCGTAGTGAAATGGAGTGGCCCAAGAAGGCGGTGACTATTTTCTAAAAGGACAAGGAAAAATAGTTAAACATACGTCATTATGCAAGTGATAAGGTGTGAAAATTGCTCTTGCTTGATCAAGACTCCTATGTACCAATATAGAAAAGCAAAATAAACCCCCTTGTGCTACAAAAAGGACAAAGATGGTACGCTACAAAAACAAAAGAGAGATCAAATATCTAAATTGTTAATGGTGGAGATGTTCTTAGACGACTAAAGTAAAGCAAAATCTCAACGGGCTCGAAGGAGAAGGGAAGTTGCGATTGGTAAGGATAAGTCGGGCTTTCCTTAAAAGACATGTTCTTCATGCATATGGTCTGGCCTCTAAGTACGAGGGTTGACCTTGTAATGTTGCTTACGCTCCACTTCCTAGCTATGATCAAAATTCATATGTCATTGTGAAGAGTGAGTTGTATAATTGTGAGTAAGGTTTCCTTTGGGACAAGCAAAGTTCAAGTGTGGGGTTATTTGATGACACGTGAAAAGTACTATTTCAAACCCCCCATATTTTGAACTATTCTTTATGGTTTCGTGCTTTTAACTTAATAATAATATCTTGGATTTGGTTTGTGATCACGCAAACTGCATTCTAGTAGCACTAAACTTGTTTTTATCAATTTGATGCACTCTTCGTAGTGTTTTATGTGTTTTCAGAGCATAGCAACCTACTGGACCACTTTGGATCATTGAAGGGACATCAGAATTCGACTCCTAGGAGCCAAAAGTAGGAAACGAAGAGAGGACTAAAATGACACTTGGAACGGTGACCTAGTCACTAAATGACGTCGCGGCACCATTTTTAGGATCAACCAGAAGCTAACAGATTCTTCAAGAAATATTTCTTTTGTGATGGCCAAGCAGAAAGAGATGAATGGGCAGCCAAAGAATCATCATTTAACTATCATCTCTCCCCCCAAAATCCTAATACAATGTATATAAATAGACTTCTAAAGGGGGAGGAGTTCAGTAGCTAGTGATAGAAGGCATTAAAGGAAAAACCTTCTACTTAAATAAAAAGGGAAGAAGGAAGAAATTTTTTTACTCTATATGGTAAAATGATTTTTTTCCTCCTATAAGTACTTCATTTCTCCAACTGCTAGCAGTATAGTAAAAAATGCGCATAAGAGTTTAAAAACATATGTTTTACATTTAAGGCACACCAAAATGTACCAGTTTCTGTGCATAACTTCTTTAGTACAACAACGCTCAAAAGCGTGGTTAAATTGTTAAAAATGGTAAAAATCATTAAAAACCAACTTTTGCTCCGTTTGTAAATGATTTTGTTCAAAGTCCCAAATGACTTTCAAAAGCTAAAACGACATCGTTTTGTTCCTATATCAGCTCCACATTTTGGGTCATAACTCCTTCACTTGACCTATGAATCCATCCATGTTTGCATCCACACGTCCATATTCTACCCTCTACCATCCCGGATCCTCGTTCCTTATGTTTATATATATTATATCGATGTAGTTTTCTTCTTCGTTAGGTAATTGCTTGTTCATAATTGATCACACCCAAAATTGTGTTATTTAAAGCCCATGTTTAGGTTTGTTCCGAGCCATTTTATGTTCTTCGTAGTTAATATATCGTTACATATACCCCCTTTATTCATTCCTTTGAAAAATATTAGCATATTAGTGATAACACCTAAAATAGGCGTTATTTAGCCCTTATTCTTAAGGCATTTGCATGATAATCACTGTGTCTAGGCCACATATCAAGTTATTTATGCCCATATTCGTTTCGATTCGCAAAACATGCATTTTGGCATAGTTATTTATGATATGAAGGTTTTCATAGGGGAATCAACCCCACTTTGACGTATTTTATGCTTTTCCAAGTGTTTCTGACGAAATTACAGGTCTTATATGCATTTGGGATTGATCGGGAATCAATTGGAGTTCATCCGAGCATGATTGGAAATCATATGAGCAAGAAGGGGAAAGAGGCACTGGTCACGACCACACGTCACGGCCGTGACCACCAGGTTGTTACCATGTTCGCGGACTAAAGATCGCGGCTGTGAATAGTAGCTGCAATCTTATAAAGGAGGTCACTGATAACACCCAAATATGTGTTATTTACCATTCATATTTAGGTTTATTTCATACTAATTAGCATGCATAATCGTTAGAATAGCGCCGATTGCATCCATGTTTCGTTCCTATTTGATCATGATGTGATTTTAGGGTGCTTTAGATGATACGTATGAATTAGGTACGAAAAAGGTGCACAAGTGTAGAAAAAGGGACAAAAACGGAGATCATAGCCGAAGGAGCCAAGATCCTAGCCTTCAGAGCCAAGATCGCAGCCATGAAGAGAGTGCATGAACCAGAGCACAAGATCGCAACCTGTAGTGCAAAGATCCCAGCCGCGATCTTCGATCTCCAGCCCCTGAACTTGACCGGAAGATCCCAACCTCAAGTTCATGAGCGCGAACTTTGGAGCCAAGGGTGTGAACTTCAGAAGAGGCCAACTCAGGAGAAGCAGAAATTTTCCACTATCAAATCATGGTCTACGACTTCCGTGCCCGCGATAAGGATCTCGCCCGTGACACCTCGGATTGCGACTGGGATGTTAGGCCGCGATCTCCACATTTAGCAAAGCCAAAATGGTGACCCACAAAGATAGCAGACTCTACCCCAAAGATCCCGGCCGCGATCTTCTGCCTCTCGCCCGCGAGCTTGCCCTTAAGATCATAGCCTCAAGTTCATGGGCGCGATCTTTTGCCTCTTGCCCGTGAACTTGCCCTTAAGATCACAACCTCTAGTTCATGGGCGCGATCTTCAGCCCCTTGCCCGTGAACTTGTCTGTGTCGGCTGAACTCTATAAATAATGGACTCCTCCCCCTTTAGAAGATGACTTTTGGCAGATTTCTAATTCTTGAGAGAGATTAGAGAGAGAAGTTGAAGGAGAAGAAGTGGATGAGAGCTTGGAGGAGGATTTCCATCACTTGAAGACCCTTTCTTCATGATTTCCTCCCCTATTTGTATGTCTTTTCTCTCCCCCCCCCCCCCCCCCATGGGTTTATCTCCCAAGGTACTAGGGGTTCTAAACCCCAAACCCTATTTATAGGTTTACTATGTATGTATGGATATTTTAGGGTTTGAATGAATGTGGTTATCTAGTTGATTCTATTGCTATTCTATCTTTGATTGTGTTTGGGTAAGGCGCCCTAATCTTATCTACTAGCCTACTTTATGCTTCTACGTTGGGTTTGGAGTTTTAGAGTTAGACGGGTATGCACCATCAAGCAAATCGAGATTAGATGTGTGAATAGGGATCTATGGTGGTCGAGGTAATCGAACCCCTGTCATAGGTATCCTTCCTAGATAGAACCCAGGATGAAACCTTGGTGTGGACGGTGGGTAGTACCCATTGAAAGGAGCTACGAGTTTAATGCCTCAGATACAATAGTCTAGATCGAGGTGACTATATATGGGTCTAGGGGAGGCGTACTCGGAGGTGTGTGGATAACCACGAAGGCTCACGGAAGAGAGCTCACTCACCACATTCGACAAACCCTAAGTATCTAGACATTTCATAGTAGTCCTAAGCTACGATGAGGGATAGTTCCCCGAAGTACCTCTTCTCATCTATTGATCTTTGGTTTAGAAATCGTCAACTGCTCACCTACTAAACAACAGGTTGAGTAGACAATGATCGAGCCTAAGTAGCCTAGAATACCATGACCCTTGGAATATGACCGAGCCACTTTACTACATCCCTAGCTTGGTTATGCTTGGACTTGTTAGGATTGACTAGTAAGTGCGCTTCGACTCTATAAATTTAAAGCTCGATTGAAGTAGCGATCAACCGCGATCTTAGAGCTTAAATACAGATTCAAAAAGTGTTGTTTCAGGCAATTCAGGGACGTTCCAACTGGTCATGACTAGGTCACAGCCTTGTCACGGCCGTGGCCATCACGTCACGCCCTGAAGGCCTTGACCGCCATCAGCTTTCTATAAATGCCCCTCTTGCTGCACTTTTCAAAAGAGTGTCGCCTGAGAGTGAGAAAGTTAGGATTTTGGGTCTTTTTTAGAGAGGTAAATACGTTGCGATATCTTAAATGAAGATCCAATCCACCCAAGGAGCAAGGAGAAGAAGTTTGATTTCAACACTCCCCTCTTCTAGTTTTTGTTTTCTCTCTCTCTAATGACTTGATGTGTTTTCTTTCTCTCTCTAATGACTTGAATCTCTAATGGTTTGTTAGGGAATATGAATCCTAATTTATAGGTTGTATATGAATGGGGTTTATATGAATGTGTTTATCTAGTTGATTTGAATGCTTCTCTACCTTAGATTGTGTTTGGGTAAGTCACCCTAATCTTCTTTACTAGCCTACTTGAGCTTCTATGTTGGGTATGTAGTTTTAGGGTTAGACGGGTATGCGCCATCACGCAAATTAGGTTAGATGAATGAATAGGATCTTATGAGGCGACCGTATCTCTGCCATAGGAATGTCTTTCTAGATAAAACCCGGGATAAAACCTCGGGTGTGGACGATGGGTAGTACCCATTGAAAGGAGCTATGTTCTTAAAGCCCCATATATGATGGCCTAGATCGAGGTGACTGACATGGATTTAGCATATGCGTACTCGAAGGGGTGTGGATAATAAAAAAGGCCCACGAAAGAGAGCTCACTCACCACATTCTCTTAATCCTACATGACAACCGTAGCCAGGAGGATTCGACCCTAGGAAACCATCTCATCTCTAACGACCTCTCAACCCCTTGGTTGGTTGTTTTTTTTCCCTTTAGGAGTAGATTAGATTAGAATTTTCACCAAACCCTTGAACCGATTATATAGTAGTTAGGAGCAAAGTTATAGTAAGCTTAGGGTTTCCTTGAAATACGACCGAGCCACTTTACTACAACCTTAGCTAGGTTATGCTTTGGAGGATTTACAGGCCTTTAGAGCCCTTGGCTTTGTCAATTGTGCAGGCACCTTGAGGAAAGGGAGTTGAGAAGTTAGCACGAACAACGCAAGGAAGAGTTGCATGACTTTAACAAAATACCATTGTTATAAAAACGGAACCAGATCAATGGCTGGACCAGTAGAACCGTCAAACCAGTTATAATAGCGGTCAGTTTATTGCTTGGACGGTTATTGATGGATCAAACGGTTTTCATGGTTCAACTAGATGAACCACCACGGTTTAACTAATCCACAGGTTTCACTATTTAAACCCCAAATTCTTTTTAAAAAAAATACTTTAACGTAAATGTAGACCATCAAATCATAATTATTAATTTTATTTATGCTTCCTCTTCTCATTTTTCAACCTTGTTGTTGAATCTACTTGGTCCACTACCGACTAGCACCGTAATTTTAGCTCGAATTTAAAAAATTATGGTTATTTTTGGGAGACAGTTTGAATGATTTATTAGATATTTTGGTGATAATGTGAATTTGAAATTGTTTATGGTCAATGATAACTTCATTCATAAATTACTATAATACACAATTTTTATATTTCATATATCATAAACAGTTCTATCAACGGTTAACCAACGATTTTATAACAGTTAACCAACAATTTTATAACAGTTAACCAACGAGTCCTAAACTACTAATTTTTTCGGTTCCGCCTCCAGTCCGGTTATGAAAACAGAGAGAAATACCTAAGCACGGACCCAAATACCCAATGCATGTGTCGTGAAACACAATTCTTAAATAGCGAGGGTTGGGAGGTTGGGCCACACACAACAAGAAAAAGGACTTATACCAAGGGTTCCATAGCAAGGGTTAGACAACTCTTGCTAATTTTTCCGGAATATTTTATAACAACGGTTATTTGTAAGGGTTCTATAACCCTTGCTAACTCTTAAACCAAATTTCAGTCCCATACTAGAAAACCCCTATTTCCTCTTTTACATTTTTCAGTAGCAACACTTCTTTCCCAGGGTTCCAGAACCCTTTCTAAGACTTAAACCAAATTTCAGCCCCTGTTCCATTTCTCGATACGAGAAAACCGCTGCTCCCCTTTTCATTTTTGGCTCTTGTTTGATTGCTGATTTCGCCGGAGTTTTGGAGATGCCACTGGAGCTCGAGATATAGAGGTCGAAAGAGAGCATCCGACCACCGTCGTCCATCACCACTCCGTTGCCTCCCTCAGCACTCGCACTCGCTCTCGCTCCAGCTGAAATTCGATTCCGGTCTCTCTCCTCACTCCTCCGGCTGAAATTCGATTCGCTCTCCCTCCGCACTCGCTCCGGTTGAGAGGTGATTCTCTGATTCCCTCGCTCTCTCCTTCACGCTCTCTCTCTCTCTCTCTCTCTCTCGCGCGCGCGCGCGAGCATACTCTGTTAGGTTATAGATTCGACTTTCTTTGATAGGTAATAGTTTCGACTTTCTTAGGGATTGTAGTCCCAGTGGCTGCATGCAGTATACAATCTTAGGAATTGTAGTACTGGACTGAGATTTTGAATCTGTAGACTGTAATAGATTTGAGCTCCTCATGCTTTAGAATCTGTTTCTTGTCTAAAGGATTCTAAATGATTCAGTTGATTTTTAAGTGTAGTTCTATCTGCAATCATTTTAGTTGTTTTAGTTAGCTCAACCCCTTGAGACAATGAAGATTAAATGTGCTCATGTTCTAATTAATCTTGGATATGGTCTTTTGTAGGTCCGAGTCGTTGCTTCTCAAGCCCTTACAACTATGGCAATCAGGTCTGGCGAGCCTTATAGGCTGCAGATTTATGAATTATTGAATGCATTAGCACAGGGTGGTGTGCAGTCTCAATTGTCAGAATTCAGAAATGCATCTAAGTAATGGGGAAGATCAAGGTGCATGTGGTACTGGTCTTGGGGTGTTGATTAGTCCCATGATAAAGGTTATTGATGAGATGTACAGGGCACAATATGAACTAATCAGGTAAGAGCATAAGTTATAATAATTTGTTTGTCAAATCAGTTTTTATCTTGATATAATTTGATTTTCCGTTGTTGCAGGGATATACGCAACCATGATAATACGAATAAAGAATGGACAGATGAAGAATTGAAGAAACTTTATGAAACTAATGAGAAGCTGCTAGACATTGTTTCACTGTTCTGCTATGTTCCCAGATCAAAGTATCTAGCTCTGGGACCAATAAGGTTAGAGATTCTTGCACCCTTTTAAGGCAATTATGCTTGGCCCCTTAACATATATTGATCGCAACCAGGAGAAACATTGTAAACTACTTGTCACAGACCCTAATGGAACTGTTCGTGATTTACTCAAGGAGCATCAGAAACACATAACACATAAGAAGCTTGTGCGCATTTATTCAGAAACTTCTGCTGGCAGCAAAGAGGAGTCTTGGAGAGATTCTATTAACCTTGAATTTATGGACAGTGTCGCGATGAATGTGGTATGTTTGTCTTTTTTTCGATTCTAATTTTCTCTCTTGCATCTATCTATTCTCTTTTCTTATCAGCAGCCACAATCAGAAACTACTGCATCCCTCCTTATTTTACTGTATTTGTTTCATTTGATAGATTAACGGTGAGTTCCCAATCTTTCCTTTTTTCTTTTTTATTTATTTATCTCCGAATTATAAACGATGGTTTCTTAATATAACACATTTTCAATTTGGTGCGTCGTTGTTGTCGGTGGAATCGTTTGTGAAAGTTTCTCTGGTTTTCTCAATCTCTGCTGCTAGTGTTGCTCAGAATCGGGGCAGTCAACATTGTCTCCGTCGAGCATATGACAGGCGACAACAGTGCAACTCAATATCTGTAAGTTCTCTATTTCTTTCCTCCAATGGTAGTTACGTTTCTCATTTAGACTGTATATATATTTACTAAGAGTTGGTTCGTTTCCAGAGATATATTCTAGAAAGAGGTGAACAATCCCACTTTAGGATCTGCGTGGGTGGCTTCCTTATTTCTACATATTTTAAATGGTAAGCTATGATCAAATAGGAGTCACATGAGTCATGGTCTGATAATCTCCATGAAAGAAACATGTAGAAAAAATTAATCATTTCATCAGGAATCTCCAGTTAGACGAAACTTTTATGCACCACATTGTTTATGATACTGCTTTTTATGAATCTCTGTATGCGCTACCTGCTAATGTGATACTTATAATAATAAATAACCCATTTCAGCAATTAGAAGAGAGAGGGCAAAAGCACCAGCTGTAGTCGGGTTCGTTGAAGAGAAAATGGAGAGAAACTCAAGTTGGAACTTGAACAAAAGGTTTGCAGTGTTTGTCCTTTGTTCGACATAATATTATCTATTCCATTAATATATTTGCACGACTTGGTTATTCTAGTTGTTACTCTTGGAAAGTGTAGGTAGCTGAAGTAGAAGTTGAGGTGAAAAGGATCCAAGAGTAGGCAAGAGCAGAACTGGCTGATGCATTGTTATTTGATCAATGTTGGTTCACATTCATATATGCTAAATGTTTCGCCCTAATAATGTTACCTCACCTTGCAAATTGGCAGAAACTTGGCAGAACGATTTGAATGGTACTCTAGACATCGGACCAAGTCACAGCAGCCAACTTCAATGAATCGACATGCAATCCAACTTCATCCCCCGAATATAGACAGAGACCAGGTGCCAATGACGTTGACGTAATGTAAGTGTGATTATAAAAATCATGATTTGCCTAATCAAACGCTGAAGTCGTCTCCTGACTGAAATTGTGCTTTATCCAGATTGCCCAGGAACCGAGTTTGCGATGAAACTCCAAATGGACCAAGGCAGAGCTACTACATCCCGCCGGACGAAACTCCAAATACACGATTTGGTTAGAATAATATGAACATAAAATCCTTATGTTTGAATATTTTTAGTCATTAAGGTGTAGCCATGTATATTATTGTTTTGGATCATGAATAATTTTGATTGTGTTTATGGTATAAACGAGGGAGTGTTGATGGGTATTGAGCATGGAATGAATTTGGTTAATATTGAAATTTTGGTATATTTGGTTCAGAGTTTGTCTATAGTGACCAAAGCATTTGCAACCAAGTTTAGCTTCTAATTCTGGTGCTCGTTTGTCTTTAGTAACGACTATTTAATAATTCTTTCAAGTTTTTGTGAATGTCTATTCCGCTTTAATCACAAATTATGTAAGACCCGTAGCAAGGGTTCTACCCCTTGCTAGTCTTTGTCACCTATTTATCCAAGGGTTCTAACCCATGCTATCAACATCTATCCACTAAATTTTACACTAACTTTTAGCAAGGGTTTTTAACCTTTGCTACTTGTACCAGCGATTTAAAACTCTTGATACAACCCTTGGATGGGACTTGCACCTAGGGTTGCTGAAAACCCTTGCTACTTGTAGCAGGGACGGGTTTGGCAAGGGTTGGTACAAGGGTTGACAAAATCCTTGCTAAACCTTGTAGTAAGGGTTAAAACCCTTGGTATAGGTGAAAATAACTCTTGCCATAGACATTTTTTTTAGTGACAGCCACAGACCACAGTAATCATGTGGGCCGAGATGAATGAGGATTGATCAGTACGAAAAAAAATAGATGCGCAGGGCCCAAAATCACAGTTCATACATCCTTGAATTGATTGGGGAATTATTTGCAAAGTGAGCTTTTTTTTGAAAATAACAAAGTGAGCTTAAAGTCAAATATTATGAGCTCCTGAAACCCGTGAGTGAGAACTTCAGAAAGAACTGTACGTGTGCACGAGATACCACTGAAAATGAAGGGAATTCATTTATTAATCTGCATCTACGGATTGGTTGGTTGGGAGTTAACGAGCTCCCCAAAGAAAGGAAAGCCTCATTTGATTTGGAGCAAAGAAAGAAATTTCGGTACTCAGCTCGTCGTCTTTTGGAGAAGATAGAGATCGAGAGATAGATATTGGCCGGCGCCGGCGGTGTGTTTGCCTTCCGATCCGCTCGTTCTGCCATGGCGGCCAAGATTTGCTGCCCTATTGAGATGGAGCCCAAGACCTTGAGTGAAGGCCAGCTCAATCATGCTAGGGTAAGCTAATTAAGCAGCGTGCGTGCATTCTCTCTTCATATGATATTAGACCTTTAGAGAGCTAGAATATATTGTTTCATATCCGAACCCTCTGATTAACCTTTAGTACTATAATGCGTGATTCAAACGCAAATTAAGTATTGTCCCAACTTCAAGTGCATAGATTGAACTTTCGTGTTGTACGAGTGAGCGTAGAAGGGAACAATTACAAGCCGTATGGTTAACCCTTTTACCTCAATAACACCCAATTATTGGTTTGAACTGGTTCTTGATAGAATAATGATAGGTTTATGCACATGTATGTAGGACTGAAAATTGTCCTGACCCGTCCCTGAAGGGTCAAGATGTATAACTGACCCGTCCTGTATCTGTCCCCTTCTTGACCCTGTCTGACCCTCAAGGGATGGGACGGGTCGGGTCAGTGGGTCGACCCTAATTTACACACAACTTTTTTTACAAATTATGTTTTGGTACCCAAAATTATTTTTTCTTACAATTATTTAGTACCTAAAATTTACTTTTTAACAATTAAGTCCTTAAATTTCGATGGTAAAATTACATTTTGGTACCCAAATTTTTTTATTTTGGCAATTTATTAGTTCCTGAACTTTTAAAACTTTTACAAAGAGGTCCAATGTGGTATGAGATATTTGTTGTTGCTAAGGGTCACAGGATTAAAAGTGACTCGTCCCTAAATTGTCCCGACCCATTCCGACCCTTATAGGGTCAAAGCTGACCTGTCCCTAAATTGTCCCTATAGACAAACTGACCCGACCCTCAAGGATGGAACGGATCGGGACGGGTCAATGGATTTTTAGGGTCAAACTTACACCCCTACATGTATATATCGTTCTGCAGGAGTTGGCTGCAGATGTTGTACTGAACTTGGAACCAGAGGAAGTATCCACAATATTCACCAAGGTAGCTACCATTCCAATACTGAAACATATCATATCATATTATATGATCGATTGGCCGGGTGCATGTTCATTTACTTACTCATGATGGATAATAATCCTATCGATCTTCTTCTTTGGACTTCAGAAGGCTACTACACTTGTCTCGCCAAATATTGCTGCTGCCGGCGGTACAGTTGATGGTCAGATGAGGAAGAAGGATGAAGCAGTTGCTGCTGCTGCTGATGATGGTGCAGTAGCCGCCTGTCAATGTTGTTGCATTGATCCCACCAACAGTTTTGGGGGAGGATTGTCCCTTGACGAACTCAAGCTCAAGGAGCCACTTACTGCCCCATTTTGATCTAATGGAGCTCCCTGTTCTGCTGCACGCCGTCCTTTGGAATACACACACGATCGACTAGCTTTGGATTCTTGTAGAAATAAAAAATAATGATTGTTGAGATCTTGGTAGAAAGAATGATATTCGATTGACCAAATTGTTTGTTAATGACACTAATTCTTTAGATCAATTGTCTTTGTTGTTGGCACATTTGTTAAGAGCTTGTCCATCGATCTCGAGAAAACGCCAATGCATAAGTTGTTACGTGGATTCTATACCTCGATCCCACTCAACGCGTGTCTCGTAAGAATCGAACGATAACTAGAGAAATAAACTTAGGACGAAGAGAATTTGGGCTACAAGCCTACAACGATTATAAATAAACTTTAGGACGAAAAAGAACTTTAGACGAAGAACGAAGCAAAACTCAAGAGTTAGGTTTCAATCTTCTCATGGGGATCTCCTACAGTAACTTGGGCATAATTTCAAGTTAGGTAACTTGCATAGATCTAAACCGTTAAAATTGACCAAACTTATTTTGAACCATTGATTAAATAAATAAAAAATAAAAAAATAACTAAAAAAATAAATGGCAACATGGGTTGCCGGTCACCACATTCCAAGTTACCTTTTTCTATTTTTTTCTTTCCTTTTCACTTTTAGTTATCTTTCCATATTTTAACATTTCCTTTTTTAATTATTATTGAATTAGAAGCGTTACGTAAGCCTTTCGTAATAACTTAGCTTTTTACGTAACACAACGTTAATACTCATTACGTAAAGAAATCTTCTATTACGTAAGGCTTCCGTAATGATATTTTACAACTGTTACATAAAATACATATTCACTACGTAAAGGTTACGGAATTATAGTTATTTCTTACGTAACAGTTAAATCGGAAGCGTTACGTAAGGCTTCCGTAATGACTTAGCACTTTACGTAACGCAAGGTTAATACTCATTACGTAAAAAGACCTTCCATTACGTAAAGGTTACGGAACGACAATTATTTCTTACGTAACAGTTAAATCAGTAGTGTTACGTAAGGCTTCCGTAATGACTTAGCATTTTACGTAACGCGAGGTTAATAATCATTACGTAAAGACACATTCTATTACGTAAGGCTTCCGTAATGTCTTTTACAACGGTTACGTAAGATTATCATATGTTACGTAACCATTACGTAATGCCTAATGTATTTTATGTAATACAACCTGTGAAACCTGCTATAGTAGGTAAAAAAATTCAAGTTACCTTACTTCAAGTTACCGTAGGAAATCCCTCTTCTCATGACATTACACGAATGAACTAGTACATAATTATAGGCATAGAAGCCTCTACATTTTCCTATCTAGAGCATGACTCATACTTTCGTAAGAAAGCTACTATAACAATAAGACAAATCCTAATTGAACAAGGAAACTACTGATAAAGACAATAATAGTGAAGCGCTTGTCTCAATGGAAACATAAGCCTTGCGCCCTTCTCCTTGCTACCTCCTCTGGTGACATTCTTCTTGCATTAGGAACTCGTGGTGGTGTGGGTTGAGGTGGTGTAGGTATAGGTTCGGCCACCACCTCCATTTGGCCTTTTGGTGTCTTTCTTGGTGCTCCTCGATGTTTGGCCAACTCATCATTCTTCACTTTGGCAAGTAGAATTGTCTCTCGCACTGATCCTGGCCTAAACATACGTATTACATCTGAAATCTCCGGTTTAAGCCCACCAATGAAGGAGCCAACCAACGCCTCTTTAGTCCAACCATAGCATCGATTACCCAACTTCTCAAAATTTAAGAGATAATCGTTCAACGATCCAGTTTGTTTAATCTTTGCGAGGGCTTTGTTGCTAGAAGTGCTTTCCGAGTGCCCGAATCAAATCCACAACTCTTCTCTAAACCGAGCTCATGTGATTGATTTCCCGGTCGTTGTAGTAGTGCGATCCACCCATTGCCACCATTGATTAGCATCTTCTTCCAAATGATAAGATGCCAAAAATACCTTTTGCTCCTTTGGAATCGCTTAGAATTTGAAGAACTGCTCGACCCAAGCAAACCATCCAGATGGTTCCTCCTGCCTAGAGGTGGCAAATGGATTGGATTGGTGGATTGATGGATTGGATTGGTGGATCCATGGATCAAATGGATTGGATCTAATGGATTGGTGGATTCATGGATTGGATCAAGTGGATTGGTGGATTATCCATGAATCCAAATGACATCCTCAACCAAGGACCAATATGTAAAATGTAAAAAGTTTAGGTACTAAAATGTCATAATGAAAAATTTTAGGTACCAAAACGTAATTTTCCAATGATATTTTTCGTATAAAAAATTAAATTTTAGGTACTAAATCGTAATTTGCCAATGATCCATGGATCCAATCCATGAATCCACCAATCCAATTAAGTCTACTTCAGAGCCTTGCTTTTTGGTCCTTTGCCAACAAAGTAGGGGTGTTCAAATGGTTACCATGGTTATAACCAAACCAAATAAGGCTAAATTCCATTAACCATGGAATACAATATCATAACCAAACCGTCCAAACTAATACAACAACCAAATTAACCAAACTAAAGTTTAATCGGTTTGGTTAATTGGTTAACCAGATTAACCAATATAAAATCACATTATCATTGACGATGAAAATTTTCCGGTTAATGCAACAATTCGCAATTTATATAATGAATAAAACATAACAACCAACACGTAGTTATAGTTGACCCTTAACAAAAATACATGCAACTAAGATAATTATCTTATGATTAGTATAGAAGTATTCACCTAACACAAATTTATGACAATGGTATGTGTTAATGAATTGTTGTGTTTGTGTAAATTGACTTAGTCTCTTAGCAATTATCATAGGCTGGAAATGACCTTCCTTTCAAGTTTTCATCCATCATAATGTATGAAATTTATATAAATTAGGCGTCCATATGTTGTGGTCTACATTTTACATATACAAATATACACTATATGAGCAATATTGAGCTTTATATTTTACGAGTCTAAAAGGGATGAACGTTAACTCTTGAGTGGTTATGCAAAGTATTAAGTATGTGTATATAATATGTGTTAGATATATGACTAATTACTTAACTGGTTAATTTGGTTTGAGTGGTTAGGAGTGTCTGGAACCAAACCAAACAACCTAAACCAAACAAGCTAAAAACTTTAACCAAACCAAACCAATTATCCAAATTAACCAAACCAAATTATCCAAATAGTACCGGTTAAAACGGTTACCATGGTAACCAAACCGTTTGAACACCCCTACAACAAAGAGCACTAAGTTGAAAACAAAGAAGAAGGGACCCCATTGCTTCTTCCACTACCACAAAGACAAAGAAGAAGTGACTCCACTTCCAACCCACTATCCTAAAGACAAAGAAGAAGTGACTCCACTTCCAATCCACTCAATTTGGTTATGGAAAGAAGACCACAAATTCCTTATTTTCTTTTTATTAAAAATGTAATTTTGTTATGACATGTGACATAATCATATAAGTGTCCACATTGTCATCATTATGTTTTTCAATTTATTTACCAAAAGGGGACTCCATTTCTCTATAAAAGGAGACTCCCTTCACTTGTTGTAGGTAGAGTTGTTTTGAGTGGGAATTGCTCTCTTGCAAAACTTCCTCCCATCATCTTCTCTCAAGAATTCCTGTGTAAGAAGTCTATCAAATTATCAAGTTTTACTTCATCTTTTTCAAATCATCTTCAACTTTTATTTATTTCGTGCATAACTGGTCATCTCCAGTATTTATTTTATATGCAAAACTGGTCATCTCCAGTATTTATGTTCTGCTAATCTGGTCATCTCCAGTATTTACTTTTTGCTTTTATTTTATGCAAAACTGGTCATCTCCAGTATTTATCTTCTGCTAATCTGGTCATCTCCAGTATTTACATTTTGCTAATCTGGTCATTTCCAATATCATTTACTTTATAAACTATTTTCAAGTTAATCTCTTATTGGCTGTCTCAATCCGTCCTTACTAGTATCAGAGCCTTGCTTTTGCGTCCTTACTGGTATCAGAGCCTGGGGGGGGGGGGGAGGGTTAGTCTAAATCTTCTTGCTTATTGTTAGTTGAGAGATGGGTTAGATCCTAGCTGAGTCCTTTGTGAGAGAGTTGTAAGACCGTCTTTGGCTGTTAACCTATCTCACCCGAGTTGTAAGACCGTCTTTGGCTGTTAACCTATCTCACCTGTGAGATAGGTTAACAGCCAAAGACGGTCTTACAACTCTCTCACAAAGGACTCAGCTAGGATCTAACCATGGGGTACCCATCTCTCAACTAACAATAAGCAAGAAGATTTAGACTAACCCTTCCCCCCCCCCCCCCCCCCCCCATGAATCCACCAATCCAATTGGATTTGGATTAAATGGATTGGATTTAAATGGATTGGATTAGGTGGATATTTTTAATGGATTGATGGATTGGATTGGTGGATTGAAATTGCCACCTCTACTCCTGCCCATTTTATTTAGGAAAATCAAGTTGGGCTATCTTGGGCTTGAAGAACTAACTCTTTTCTTCTCTCCCATTAATTTATGGCACAGTTGGTCACACCTGGCTTGGCCCAGCTGCATTCAATTTCCCTGGAGCCCAATCATTGTCTGGATCATTCCCCCATGCTCGTCCCAATCATAGGAGAAACTAGATGGCCTCCTCCCTTCTCTCCTGGCCCATATTGGTTGAAATAACTAAGCCTGCCACGCATGGATCTGCCTCCCACTGAGCAGGCAGTCGGGCCCGACCCACCATCCAAGCCCATTCCTGTTGAACCGGACCACCCTACCGGCGATGCCCCCAATAATCTAGCCCCTGCTACTGCTCCCACTAGCGATTTTGAGAATTCCAGTGGAGCTCCTCTAAACATCATCATTGTTCGCGACGGCGGAACTCCTTCGCTGCTACCTACCCCCTTAACGATGAGGTTTCCCCAGGCGGCCCCCTTTGCCGGTAGTCCCACGACACCATCGCTTCCCAAGAAGCTAGCCTCGATGACCCTTGTACCCTCATTATTGGTTACACCTCCAATCCGATAAGCTGGGATAAGTTATCGTCGACCATGTCGGGTGTTGGCATTCCCATTGGTCCCTTCATCTTCTCCTCCGCGGCATATGGTGTTGGTTCATGGTTTCTGGCCGAGGTTTGTTTTGACTTTGCACTATTATCACCGCCCATCATAGCCGCAAACTTCTGATCCATGTTCGCAAGAGTTTGAGTTATGGTAAGGTTGAACATCCCCTACATTTTGGCAATCCCTTTGGTCACTGTCTTCTAGAGATCGCGTTGGTTTTGGTCAAAGTTATCCATTTTCTCCACCAACTGACCCATGTGTACTCCCGTAGCATCGTTTTGCTCTTCCACAGCTTGGAGGCAAAGTTGGACGGGACCCTCGTCGGTTTCCTCCAGACTTGTCGCAGCTTGAGTCTTACCCACAATCACGCCCGTCATCTAACCGGGATCTGATACCAATTTTTATGTAGATTCTTTGGATAGAACCTCCCATGCAACGTGTCCCGCAAGAACATAATGATAACTAAAGAAATAGACTTAGGACGAAGAGAATTAGGGTTAGAACGATCAGAAATAGACTTTAGGACGAAAAAAACTTTAGACGAAGAACGAAGCAAGACTCAAGAGTTGGTGATTTGGGTATAATTGTACACATTTTACCCTCATTTTACTTAGATGTTTGAGACATTTTGTACACCGTGAGGTTTTATTTTACGGTAGGTTGTGCTTGTTTTTAGTATGTTCCATATCCTAGCGAAATCAACCTCTGGAACAAAAGGTGGACGAAAAGTGGCAAAAATGGATCAACGAGGAGCAAATAGCAGGAGTTCATGGTGTAGGCCAGAAGTTCACGAAAAACTAGATCATGAAGACAAGGCGCGGGCCGGGAAGTACGAGGTGTCCAGGAGGGTTTCTTCCATCTCGCGGGCGTTCAGTAGTTCACGGCCACACGACCGTGATAATCAGCTCCATATCGTGAAGAGCCTTAATGAAACGAAGAGTTTTTGCAAAGCATCACAGTCCAGGCCATAGTTCATGACCGTGAACTAGAACCGCGAAAAGCTGTCAATCTAGTGTGAGAAACTTCTTCTTCAGATTTCTATTGAGAGAAAGTGACGAACAAGAGAAAGGAAGAAGGTTAGTGTTTCATCCAAACTCCAAGAATTGGGATTCTCATCCTCAAAGGTTGATCTCCACACCAAAGGAAGAAGGCAACCCTCTCATGATGATCTCTTCTCTTCTCCTTTGTGTAATCCCACTTTTTAGAATTATGTGAATGCTTGTATGGATTGAATGATTTGTGTGTGGTTGTGTTTTAATACAAGTATTGAGGTATTTTCATGAAGGTTGTGTCGTGTTTTTGCATTTCCAACTCTTATGCCAATTTGACCTAGGTAGAGGGAAATCCCCTTCTTGTTAATAGGCTTGTAAAAACTGGAATTCGTTAGCCAAATTGTGTCACCTGCTTAGGTTGAATTAGGGCAAACCTCATACTACGTATTATCACCTCGGGTAGGTTGTATTTTGGCCGTCCGGACTACGGTTCGAGGGAGAAGCCTAAGCAACCCTTACTCGATTGGCCAAAAGAGCTACCTTGGTAGCTTGATTTGATATCCCTTGGCCTAGTGATCAAGAGAGTGAAGCTTGTTCACCCTATACTAAGCAGCCCTTTCTCAATTAGTGTTCAAAAGTATTTACTTTTCCAATTGCTTTCAATTTTAGTTCATAGTTTCAACCAAAACTCGATTGCTAGATAATATTCAAACAGTTGAAGTAGGGGTATATGGACCTGCCAGGGTTTGACTTTTAAAACATACTTACCCTATATTGAACCCGGTTAAGGTTTACACTTGGGCCTTAGTCGGGTTTTTTATTGTGATATTCGGGACGAGTCAGTTGGGTTCCAATATTTACATGACATTAAACGAATAAACTAGTACATATTTATCGGCATAGAAGCCTCTACTTTTACTATCTAGAAAATGACTCCTACTCCTATAAAGAAGCTACTAATAATAAGACAGATCATACTTGAACAAGGAAACTACTAATAAAGACAATAATAATAAAATACTAAATAATAAACATAAGTAGGCCAAGATAATTAGCCCAATTGCTCCGATGGCCTAGTTCTTGTAACATAAGCTTTTCCACCGACATCATGCACATTCGGTTTCAGTATTTTAGCATAAAGAATGGGATGTGAAATATGTCACAACTGGATATTTTTGAAAAATATATGGTTCCTTTTGAGCCTAGACTCAAATAGATTTTGCTTTGCGGTGCATACCAAGATGACTTCCTGAGGTCACACTTTCTTACATTGCTCCACATAAGTAAACATGCTTAACTTCAGAGTTCGTAAAAGAACTCTTCTATATCAACCCAAACGCATCGTTCCAAATTAAGGTTGATTTCTTATTTACGAATCATGGATCTTTCCCGTGCTTTGCCGAATTTGTCTAATGTGTTACATACAACACCCCCCCCCCCCCAACAGTCAGGGACTCAACGACCTCGTCGAGATTTTCTTCACCATCGCTTAAGAGGGAGGCAGAGAGCTGATACCACTTGTAAAATCTTGAACTTTTTTCTGACAAAGATATTATCCACTTTGAGTCTAGACCCGCACGAGTTTTGCCTTGAGGTGCATATGAATGTGACTTCCTGAAAGATCATCAATTTTTGCAGTGCTCCACAACGAGCACACTTAACTTAGGAGTTCTTACAAGAACTCTTCCATTTCACCCCAAAATACGTGGTTTAGTTAAGGTCGGTTTCTTACTTATGAAATATGGATCTCTTATGTTCTTTTTCTATATGGGATTTGCCTAAATTGTTACAAAATAATAATCAAAATCCTCTTGTTTGATTGAAACTTCTTGTCAAAGATAATTCATAGTTTGTTGTTATCGCTAACAATGAAGTTGTCGACAAAATAAGTGCCATAGATAAGAGCTCTACCATGTTCAGTTGCCTAACGTTAACAATGTTTTTCTCTAAGATATTGCCAATTGAAGGCGCAACTAAAGAAAATCACCTTATAAGATTAACAACAATTACATGCGATAGTTCGTATATGTGACTGGATTATCGATTAAAGAGACTATTTTGATACTAAATGGGTATGTATATGAAAGTTTCGAGGAGCAAAAATACACTACACATACGAAGAAGAATGCAAATGTTAAAATAAACAAATAATCTCCTCCACAATAGCCCCACCGATGAGTGGGTAGTTTCATCGACAGAACATGTTGGATGCTCTGTCATTAGTCGGCACAAGTGGCCACAACCAAATATGAATCATTAGGCACCATCTCACATCATTTCAAAGAGCAAGTAGTTTAGCAATGAAGACATTTGAAAAATTATCCTTAAACCACTAGAACAATATGAGATCGAACCATCACAGACTCAAGAATGTCAGTGCAGTTAGGATTTCGATTCGAAGGGGCTGACAAGAAAAATAAAAGTACACATATTTTTTTTACTTTGGTAATATTGGATAAATAAATTTTTGAAGTTATATACAAAATAAATGTTTCAAATATTTTGATTGGATGGACCATGAAAAATAGTATTTATTTGTACCTAACTTTCATAGCTCAAAATGCATCATTAATATAAAGTAAATATTAAAGGAATCAAAAGAAGATAGTTATATCATTAATAAAACCTAAAGAAGATGAGGAAATCTTTAACCATGAACCAGAAAAGAAAAGAAAATAGTGAAAATAAAGGCTAGAAGACTAGAAAACTGATATTAGTGAAAGAAAATTAAAAATAGTGAAAATAATAACCTTAAAATAATGTGGGATAAGGTTTAAGTGAGAAAATGAAAAGGGAGAAATTTATTAATATGAAGAAAAATAATTAAAAATAGTGAAATTAAGAATAAAAAGAGTATGGCACCAATATATCTAAAAGAAAAATAATAATAATGAAAATATAACCAATATAAGTAAAAGGAGAAAATTTCGTACTTTCTCTCTGAACACTCGCATGTTCTTCCCTTCTTGGCCGATGACGACCATCACTGATGGAGCGTCAATAGGTACCATCGGTGACGGGCGTATTTGGGCTTCTATTTTGGGTATTAGTCCATATATCAAACTGGATTACTACTGAGTTGTTAGTGGTTCTTCGTTAATCCCTAAGGAAGTGATCGACAAAGAGCCGAAGCGGTGTTATATTTGGTAGAGGGAAACTGGATCACAAAATCATGCTAGATTAGCAAGAGATTTGAGGTTTTGAGATTAGCCGGACTAAAAATTTCAGAGAATTGGTCACTTATAGTTTTCAAAAATAACAAAATAATCTCTGCTTCATGATAATTCTAAAAATCTACACTAACTAATAACTCTACATCGCGTCACTATATTTAATACTGCAATTTGATATGCAATATTCGAATCAATGATATTTGTGTGCAATTATAAAATTATCCTCTATTTATAAGATTGAAAAAATGAAATTAATTATTAAACTCGAACTCAAATAATCAAGATATGAAATCAAAGTATCGAACACCAAAGAATAATTAAGGGGGGCTTAGTGGGCTAGCTAACTTGGTGGAAAAGTCCTCTGGTTTTGAGTTTTTTTGCACCAGTATGTTTTTAATTTTGAAAAATGCAATAAATTTATTTAGTTTAATTGCTTATTAATTTTTGTCTTTGTTTGAATTTGAAGAGACCATATCACCATGATTCAAATTCCAACAATGATGTATTTTTTTAAATAAGAAATAAATAACTGTAATGACGGATGTACCTTCCTATTTTCACTCTGCAAGTATTTTGAAATGAAAGAAAATAGATGGTTGAATCCAAATTATACACGCTGTAGATTGTCGATGCATATTAGTTCGAGTAACAAGTCTGTTAAATACCAAAATTTGGTGGGTGTTTTGCTACATATCCTAAAGTTTGCTGACCATTTCGTTAATTCACCGGAGCAGAAGTCGTAGTAATTAAGCGTCATTGCTCATTTCGCCCAGCGCAGAAAAACAGCGAAACCCAAATTTTGAATTGAATCCCGTCCCCCCTGCCCCGGTAGCGGTCAGTAGGGTTTCTCTCAACTTCGCCATCTCTTCTCACAAAGAGCTCTCTTCCTCCTTCACTCTCTTGTGGTTGTGGTGGCAAAATCTCCGGCGAAATTACAGGTACTCTCTCTCTGTCTCCCCTCCTTCGCTCTCTTGAAGTTCCGATTTGATATGCTTAGTCCTGAGATGGCGATGAATCAGCTAACCGAGAAAATTCTGCGTACGGAGATTTTTTTCCCCCCTTTCTTCGGTTCAAAGCGCCTAGTCGTGAATTCTTAGGTTGGTTGAAATTAACTGGGAAGCAGAGCGAAATTGAGCGATACGGTGTTTGCTTGGCTCCGTGGGCTAATCCGATTCTGGAATGGTGGTAGCCTTGTCTAAGTAGTGAAACTTTTTTTAGAACCCGTAGGCTTCGTAACGCTGGAATTTTCCATCCTGTTTTTTCCAGTTGGTTAAGTAGCGTTTGTGAGTACCGAGCAGGCTCTTGCAATAAGTCTGGCTGTAATTTGAGTTATTTAGGGATCATGGAGTGCTGGTTGTTTGATTGTTGTTTTTTTTTTTCCAGGCAGGAATCAAAGAGTTCTTGAATCATTACAGGATGAGCAGTCTTGTGCATAACAAAACTCCCAGGTCCTCGGGGAGGCAGTCATTGTTTTTCAAAGATTTGGCATCTCCAATCTCTGCTCACAAAGGCAAGTTCTCAAGTCCTGGACAGCAAGCTGCAGTTTCTGCATTATGGCGCGAGAATTTTGGGGCTTCGGATCTTCCACCTCCTCCCATGTTCACCTTGGAGGATCGTTCAGATTTCTCTCCTGAGTTTGGTATTCCAGATTACCCTTTATCTCCAGAAGCCAAATCAGACCCTAGAACTCCATCTCAAAGTTTTGGGAGGGAACTGATGACCCCAGCAAAAGGAAAATCAGAGGCTAGCACTTCATTTGCTTTGATGAGTGGACTAAAAGCTCAACAGGGTTCTGGAAGTTCAACTTGGTGGTCACCGGCAAAGGCTGCAAGCAGTGATCATGAAGATAAGGGAAAGAATTCTCCAGTTGAAGGTGTGGTTCAAAGTAATGCCTTGATTACCCTTCCTCCACCCAGGGAAGTTGCAAGGCCAGAAATTCAGAGGAACCACCTTCCTACTGGAAACATGGACGAGGAAGAATGGGTTACTGTTTATGGGTATGGTTCTACCTCTCCTTTCATAATCTGTATGTATGTATTGAGCTTTCTGGTTTTCATGATTGTTTCCTTGCATTTTAGGATCCATCAAACTTTTTTGCTAGCATCTAGCTACTTCAGTTTCCTTGATGTAGATAGCTAGATGATTGTAGATGTTATGCTCGGTAGAATGCCTATCCATGTTATTTGTTTTGGTGAAACGTGAATCGAATGTCTTGTGTTTTGTGGTTGTTCACGTCAGGATGGTTGATGCAAATTGCAAAACTCATTTCGGTTCACAGAGCTGTTTCTTTTTACCTTGGTTCCTTGAATGATGATTTGAGGCATGGTAAAAACTGGCATGGTTGGTGTCTGTGGCAGTATATCGATTGTTGATACTCTGTTATGATGGACGGTGGCTCTTTATAAGGCAGTTTTCATACAGCTTTTTTTTTTTATCTCTCTTACTGCCCATGTGCTCAGGATACTGAAAATGCACATGCAGATTCTGGTTCCTGATCTCCAGCTATAAGAATGCTTCATTAAAAAAAATTTCCCCGTTGAATTGTTTGATTAAATCTGCTATATGGAAATCAAATGCTTCAATCCAAGGGTTTTCCAGTATGGATCGTCAGATAAACAATCATTAAGAATTGCCTGTTACATTTATTATCTCTTCTTAAGAGTTGCCTTCATTTAACTGTCTTACTGTGTTTCACTTGAATTACATTTCAGATTTCCTCCTGGTGAGACAAACTTGGTGTTGCGGGAGTTTGAGAAATGTGGTGTCATATTGAAGCATGTTCCTGGTCCGGGGAATGCCAACTGGATGCACATTCTCTATCAGGTTTGTCTTACACTAATAATTTTTCCATTTCAATTGATTTTGGTGTTGCTTATATTAACTGATGGTTCCATCCTCGTGTGATCTACATCGTAAGATGTTTTTCTTCTTGCCTTGTGCGATTAGTGTACTTTCTCATACTCATGAATCCAGTAGTATTAAGTTCTGATGCTTGATTGAGGGGTGACACATGATAAGACGTAGAACAGACAGATATGGTGCTTACTTGTGTTGCCATGTCTTTCTGTTGGTGCAGAGCCGGTCTGATGCACATAAAGCTTTAAGCAAGAATGGGATGCAGATCAATGGTGTACTAATCATCGGTGTGAAGCCAGTGGATCCAATACAACGCGAAGCTTTGAGTGAAAGACTTAACAACAATCAGGGATTCATGACCATACCCCCAGCACCGACATCCAGTAGAACAACCGAGTTCAATGCATTGAGGCCATCTTCCCGTCCGTATTATCTGCAGAACGGCAGCACAAGTGCTCGACAAACAGGAGGTACCATTGCTTCCCCAAACAAGTCGCTGGTCTCCAAAGTTTTTGATGTAATGTTTGGCATTTAAAGCTTCCGATGAAGTTGTTGTAGTTGGTTGTGTTACTTGTGACTTGTGAGCTATATTCGGTCACTTGGGATCGTAGTAGTAGCTTTGTTCTTCTTTTTGAATTCTGGTTGTTTGTGCTCCTTGTTGGAGTTGTACACGAGTCAGCGGGATGAACTTAGGCCGTGAGAATGAGGCATGAGATTGGGTGCATTCTTGATTCTAGCCTCAACACCTTTTAGGTTGCGTCTTTTTTCCATTAGATTTTAACCCAATGCGGAAAGCTTTATGTTGTACTGGTGGAGCCTTTTGCCTCTGGAATTTGTATGAAACGTATCTCTGTAAATCATGAGATGTTTCGAAGGGCTATCCGTATATTTGCCAAATCTTCTTCAAATTGTAATTGGTAATTTTGACCTTGGACTATGGCAATGTAATCGGGTACATTTGTATATTAATTTTTGCGTTCCAAATTCGTCAAACCATGATTGAATTGTGCCTTACACTCTTACTAGATGGCAAATTACCCACCCATGGGTAATTATACCCAAACCCAAGTAGACCCATTGATAATGGGTTGGGTATGGGTGAAGTGCATATGGATTTGGGGGTTTATAGATGAGTTTGGGTTTGGGGCTTCCATAATCCAATTGGGTATGGGTTGGATATGGATATCCATTTACTTGAGGGTGTTTTAACTACACATGCAAAAATTGGACCTATTTGCAAAACTTGAAAAGTTTAGGTACCAAAATGTAAGACCAAAAAAATTTAGGTACCAAAACGTAATTTTCCATCGATATTTTGAGGACTTATATGCAAAAAAAATTAATTTTAGATACTAAATATGCATGTCTATTAAGTTTGGGTACCAAACTGTAATTTTGATTTGGGCATGGGTATAAACCCAAATCCATTTGATATAAACCCAACTCAACCCAAAGTAAATGGGTATGGGTACAAACCCATCAAACTCTACCCATATCCATCTATTTGGATTTCATACCCAACCCAATTGGGTTGGATAGTAAGAAACCCATGGGTATGGGCAAAGTTACCATCCCTACTAACCTGAATGAAATGTTTATATTTTGTACTATTCATTTTTTTGAAAAGAAACCCCTGCTTTTATTTAATGAGTGGTTAGAAGATAGGGTTAGTAACCATGGTTACTCACTCATAGTAACTAAAATCTGGACCTTTGTATTTAAGTGAGTTTAGAAAATTAAGATATAAGAGTTGTGAATTAAAAGCATTTTTTTCCTAGTTTTTTTAATTGGCTCTTATCTTATTCGTTTTAACTCGGATTTCAAATTTTTTTTCCACAGATGCAACGAGTTTGTTGTGCTCTACGAAATGAGATCAATTTTCAATATTTTTTGAGAAATTCTTTTTCGTACCTCTCGTTACTTAGGGGTGGCCAATGGGCGGGTTGTGTGGGTTTTGATCTTAAATTGACCCACCCGCTTACTAGAGGGTTGAAATCATTGTGACCCGCAATCCATCCACATACTTCTGCAGGTTGGGTTGGGTGGGTGACAGATGGGTGCGGTTGGGTCGCGGGTCAACCCGCAAAAGCAATTCTCCAACAAGCCATTAAGAAAGTTGACTAACATTTATAATAAGTTCATAGCAAAATTAGTAAGACTGTATCAATAATTTGTGATTTTGATACAATTAATAATTTATAGTTTGCATCGCAATATTTAATAGTTATTAACAATAATCTGCATACCAATATCCAATATCTAATATATATTGCACAACACAATTACCAATAATAGTAGTCAAAACTATTATTTATTCTTCACCTGTTGAAGTATATGGTCAGACTGTAGTGCATTTCGAAAATATGATGAATATTCGATACTATAAGAAACAACATTTTTTCATGTAAAAATAGGATGCTAGTCATATGGGTGACTCGCAATTCACCCACATAAGTGCGGGTGGGAGATTTACCCATATCAATCACCCACTGCATGCGGGTCGGGTTATTTGCGGGTGGATCGATATCAATCGGCGGATTAACCACTCACGTGCCCACCCCTATCGTTACCAACTCCATAGCATATGATATCTCCTTCGTTTTTAAGTCATTTTTTTAAAGTATTTGCACAGAAAGAACTAGTTCATCATATGATCTATTGGATCTATAAATTTCTGGACAAAAAAATATATAGAACCAAAAAATACCATACTATACCACCCTGGTATGTGGAGTGGTAATTTGTGGTACACAATGATGAAAGTCGTAAATGACAATTAGTATACTCCTACTATTATGTATTCAATCATCTTAAAATTTTGGTATGTTCATACCACGAGTACGCTTTCAGCCATATGGTATGCTCTTATTTAATACCAATCATTACCATATGGTATAGACTCGTAAAAAATGACTCAAAGTAGATATCATTTTAAAAAGCACAATCAATCTGATTTATCTGTGGAAAAAAAAGTTTGCTTGTAGGATTTTTAAAAATTAAGGATTTGGATAGAACCCTGGATTTTTTAATTGATGGATTATGTGAGATTTTATCATGTTGGATTTTTAAAAATGATTATTTGCTTGTTGGATTTCATATTGAATTTGTGTACTTGAGATTTATTAGTTAAAAGTCGTATTGCGAAATGCGTCAGGTTGCCGCTTCACAATAAAAAAATAACAAGTCTTAACAATAAATACTGAGGGCAATGTACGAAATTATGAATATTAAAAAGAGATGAAGATATTTTTTTCATGTACTCCAATGGATTTTTAGCCTACCACAAAATTCCATCTAAATGAGTGAGATTTATAATTCGTAGACCCCACGAATTTTAATCCCAAAATAATCCAATATGCATGGGTCCCACAAAGTCATAATTAAACACCACTTAAGCATCAAATATGAAATTTGAGCATAATCCCATGGGTGTGAGATTTTGGACCAAAATTCTTGATCAAAATCTCAAGAACAAACAACCCCTTAAAATTCCAAAAATATGGTTGAGAAAAACCAAAAAAATGACGCATTTCACAAACCAAAAAGAAAAGATTACATTGTATGACCTCCAACCCTGTAACCTTCCACCAGGGTCAAAATGAGTCAACTGCTTGATAGCCCCAAGCGTTGACAACCTTGCTTCTCATTAGGGGTGGCAACCGGTTTGATAAACCCGAACCGAACCAAAACCAAGTTAAACCAAACCAAAGCCGAAATAATGTTATTCGGTTCGAAATTCGGAAGGAAAATATGTATATTTCGGAAACCAGAGTTCTTTCAACCGAACCAAAATTCCGAATGCCCGACCCAAAAACCGAATTACTAAAATTGAAAGCTCTAAATGGTGGATTTTTATGTTTGTACTTGTTTTGAGACTTAAATATTTGAATTATGTTAGTGTTTTATGACTTTATGTGTTGAAATGTTTAATTTTATCATTGATGATACATATAATTGCATATTTATTGTTTACATTAGGGGTGAAAAATTATTTTAAAAGGAGAAGATATAAGTAGCCTCACAAATTTGGTTTTAGGTGAAATTTTGAATCGAATTATAATTTGGTTCGAATTTGGTTTGAGGTTTGGTGGGATTCGAGGACCCGGTATGTCGTACGCATAATTTTGATTCGGTCGAATTCGAACCGACCGAAATGGCTAGGGCTGGTAACCGGTAAGTCGGTTAACGGTTTAACTGATAACCAACGATTACATGTTAACCGACGGTATCAGTATACGACAAACGAAACCCAGCTGTCAGTTTACCGACCCATACCCGGTAAGTAACCGTCGGTTACTCGGTATAACCGAGTATACCGATATTGGCAAAAACCCTCCCCTATCGATTAGTTCACTCCTTTTCCTCTACCCTGTTCGCTCCTCTCTCTCCATCTCCCTAAAAAAATTCTCTCTTTCCTCCACAAACAGAAGCTTCACTATGAGAGATTCTATGAAATCTCCTCATCTCTTTCTCGATTTGTTGATCTGGACCATGGCATCGCCGATTCGTCGTCAAAGGGATGTGCCGTCACCGGAGAGAGGGCAGGAGCGATGGGTTTGCTGCTCGCCCAGCCACCGTCTTTTAGGACTCCTCTATCACCGTCGCCACTGCCATTGTGGAGAACCCAGAACTCGATCCGGTGACTCCTTCTCCCTCTCGAACCTAGAACCCGATCCGACGACTCCCTCTCCCTCTTGATTCCAGATCCGACACCATGCAAATCCCTCGCGTGACAGTTCTCTCTTCCTCTCAAGGTCAGATTTGGTGCGTTGCTGTCTACCTCCCGCGGCGGTTCTCACTCCGTCTCGATTCCAGATCCGGAGTCGCCGCTGTCTCCCCCAACTCTCTTCAGCCAGCCAACAACCCTAAGAGGCGCCGCAGATTGAGACCATCACTAGTCCATTATAAGCCGCCAGAAAGGGTCGCCATCACCACCGTTTGCGTTGGTAGATACTCGAAGACCGACTTCAGGTTCTGGGAGACCAACGAGGGACAAGGTTGTTGGCGGAGGTCAATATCTGCTCTTCCTCCCTCACCGTCGATCAAGAAAAGATGAGGTGGGCGGCGATTAGAGGTTTCTGTTGATTTTATTGGAGTTGCATGCGGATGGGTTTGAGGCAGAGCCGCCAGAATTAAGGCGAGGGAGATTCCTGATGGCAGGTTGGTGTGGAGGTTTGCCCAGGTGAAGAGGATGAGGATGCCAGCGGGGAGAAGGGAGTGGAGTTCTTGGCGAAGAAGTGTGTGGCGGCTGTTAGTGTTGTTTGTTGATGAGGAGGAGGAGGAGGAAGAAGAAGAAGAAGAAGAAGAAGAAGAAGAAGAAGAAGAAGAAGAAGAAGAAGAAGAAGATACCAGTGCTCTGGCTGTCACTGAGGCAAGGCAACCAAACCTCTGCTTTATAACATGGTATCAGAGCCTTCTGTGACCGAGAGGTCTTGTGTTCGATTCCCGGCGAAGTTGAAGAATTGAATATCTCCCTTTTCTTGGCGGGAGTGAGCCAGTTTTCTCTTTCTTGGAGAGAATGGCCAGGGTTCTATTTCTGAAAAATGGTCTGCCTTTCTTTCATTCATTTAAACGCATATAAAAAAAGAACAATAACAACTTCCCTAGAAAACAACCATGCATGCTACTGTTCCTACCCACAAGTTCCACTTAAGGTGGAAGTGCTTATTCCTCTAACAAACTGGAAGACTAATTCAACAGGGACTCAACTAATGAAATTCAAATCCTATTATACGAGGGTAGACTCCTAATGACTCAACTAATCATGGATCAAACGACTCAACTAATCATGGATCAAACGAATATTGGGCTGGCGAACCCGGGTGGAACGACGATGCCCATCATTACCCTCCTGTGGAAGAACATGCTCGTCCTCGAGGCCAAGATGAATGAAACTATCATTGAACACTGAATCTAGCTCCCACGTAGCATCCTTAGCAGGGAGGTTGAGCCATTTAACTAGCAATTCCTCGACTAGGCGACTCCCACAAAGAGTCCAACGAGTCTCCAAAATTGTTAGCGGCTGTAGCTGCAGGGTGCCATCATCACCAATGGGTGGAGCCACAGGGCTTGGAGCTGGGCAAGGGGAATGACACGGACGAATCAGTGACACATAAAAAACGGGATGAACTCGACTGCCTGGCTGAAGGTCTAAGTGGTAGGCGACGCGGCCAACCAGATCGGCAACCACGTAAGGGCCGAAATAGCGGCAGTACAAATTTTGCGAGGCACGGCGGAAAATGGAATGCTGGCGATATGGGTGGAGTTTTAGGTAGACCAAGTCTCCCACCTGAAATTCCAAATCACGACAGCCCAAATCAGCTTGTTGCTTCATGCTAGGGGTGGGCATTCGATCGGTTCGGTTTCGACCGAAATGAAATTATGAATACCGGGTCCCCGAATTCTCCCAAACCTCAAACCAAATTCGAACCAAATTATAATTCGATTTGGTCGGTTTAAACCGAATTATAATTCGGTTCGGTTCAGTTTTTCACACAAAACCGAATTTGTGAAGCTACTTATATTTTCTCACTTTTAAATTATTTTTAACCCTTAATATAAACAATAAATATCAATTATATGCATCATCAATAATAAAAACAAACTTTTCAACACATAAGTCATAAAACATTTCAAATATTTAAGTCTAAAAACAACTACAAACATAAAAATCCACTATTTGGAGCTTTAAATTATAGTATTTCGGTTTTTCGGTCGGAAATTCGGTTGAAAGAACCCTGGTTTCCGAACTATCCATATTTTTCTTCCGAATTCCAAACCGAATAGCATTAATTCGGTTTCGGTTCGGTTCGGGTTTACCGAACCGTTTGCCCACCCCTACTTCATACGATGTTGAGCAGCTTGGAGGTTCAACTGGAGTTCTTCGAGGATAGTGTTGCGGTTGAGGAGTGTCTGGTCGACTTCATGGACGGAGGTGGAACCCGGATGGTAGAAAGGGATGGACAGCGGAGGGTAGCCATACAAAGCCTGGAAAGTAGCCATACCAGTGGAGCTATGATAGGTAGAGTTGTACCAAAATTCAGCCCAAGGAAGGAAGTGCAGCCAGCTACGCGGATTTTGGTGCGCAAAACATCGGAGGAATTGTTCAAGGCAACGATTGACGACCTCAGTTTGGCCGTCAGTGCCATACCTGAGTCGGAATGGGCAGGGGCTACAAGAGATGTCGCCGCCAAGCGTTTGTAGGTGCTGGTCAAGCTGGAGTGGTCCCCCATAGGTGTTGCATGGAACTCATGCAAGAGTTGACGTATGTGGGACGATCCCGGAGGGATGACTACTCTTCTGCGATGATAGAGCATGTCGTTGCGGATGGAAAAAGGGCCAGGAGTGGAAGAGGATGCGCATTGCCGTTCGGCCTTCATATACAAGTTGGTGACAACCATGGTAGCTATCGAGTCCCACAGAGACGTATAGGGCATGAAAATAGCTAGGGAAGCCGCTTCATGGGGACGGCGGCTGAGAGCATCCGCCGCTTTGTTCTCGGGCCCGGACTAATAAATGATTTCATAATCGTACCCGAGCAGTTTGGAGATCCAATGTTGTTGTTCGGTCGTGGTGATCCGCTGGCCCAATAGGTGACGAAGGCTCTTCTGATTAGTCCAAATAATGAATTTTCGGCCTAGTAAATAAGGCCTCCATGCTTGGACGGATTTGACCACAACGAGCATCTCCTTCGCATATGTGGAGAGAGATTCCTTGGATTTGCCCAGATCTCGACTCAAGTAGATTATAGGGCGCTCATTCTGCATCAGGACAACCCCAATACCAGAACCAGAGGCATCCGTTTCCACAAGGAAGGGTTGGGAGAAATTGGGCAAGGCCAAGATGGGGGTTGACATCATGGCATTCTTGAGTTCAATGAATGCCGACTCAGCTTCTTTATTCCATGCATAATGTCCCTTTTTAAGAAGATTAGTGAGAGGTCTAGCAATAAGCCCATAATTTCGCACAAACTTACGATAATATCTGGTAAGTCCTAAGAAGCCACGAAGCTCGCTGGCGTTGGTGGGTGTCGACCAATCGATCATTGCCGAAATCTTGCGAGGATCCACCTTGACTCCTTGTGAAGAAATAAAATGACCTAAATACTCGATCTCATTCATGCCAAACGCACACTTGCTGAACTTAATGTAGAACTGGTGGTTGCGGAGAATCTGGAATACTCGGCGGATGTGGTTGATATGGGGCTCTTTGTTGGGACTATAGATGAGTATATCGTCAAAGAAAACCAAGACGGACTTGCGGAGGGCGAAATATATCATTCATGATCGCTTGAAACGTGGACGGAGCGTTACAAAGACCAAACGACATAACCAGATATTCATAATGACCATTATGAGTATGGAACGCCATCTTTGGAACATCCGCAGTATTCATCCGTACTTGATGGTAACCTGCCCTCAAGTCGAGTTTGGTGAAGTAACCGGCCCCGTATAATTCTTCGAGCATATCTTCCACGGTCAGGATGGGAAAGCAATCCTAGACGGTGACCACGTTGAGTGCCCTGTAGTCGGTGCAAAAACGGTATGTCCCATCTTTCTTTTTCACCAGCAGAACCGGCGACGAAAAAGGGCTCGTGCTGGGTTGGATAAGCCCGGCCGACATCATCTTATTTACTTGAGCTTCTATTTCAGCTTTTTGAAAGTGCGTGTAGCGGTACGGTCGCACATTCATGGCATCCGCGCCCGCTTTCAGCTCGATCTTGTGTGATATAGTTCATTGCGGTGGCAGCTGATCGGGTTCCTCAAATAAATCCCCAAATTCACGGATGAGTGAATGAAGCTCTGGTGGAACTTGCCTCAGGGGATCTTCTGATGTAATGGGAATGCAAATGGCTAGGAGCTGAATTTCTTCTTCGGTAATGCACTTCAGGTCAACCTTGGAAGGAGTATCTTTATTGATGTCGTTAAGATGATGGATTTTGCCTTTCCAAAAGAATTCAAGTTCCAACGTCTTCCAATTGCACTGGACTGTCCCCAATGTAGCTAGCCACTGGACGCCCAACACAATGTCGAACCCCGATAAAGATATTGCATGGAGATTGACTGGAAAGGTAGTACCTTGAATGTGGAGTGGTACGTTCTCGAGATTGCCCAAACATTCCAGAGGGCTGCCGTCGGTGATATGCATGACTTGACTCTACTGTCACCCTAGGAATTGGCCAAGTGAAACCACTTCCTAAAGCGTAGTATAGCGGGTTTAGGTTTAATTATCAACCCGGGTCCTAGATCTGATGACTACTCAGTGAATTCTTGTTATCTAGCAATGAAACTGGAATGCAAGTCTAAACTATCAAACTAACAAAGCAAACAAACGGTTGCATTCAAGTTAAGAGAGGTCACCTGGATATGGTTCCCCCTAGACTGCAGTTAAGCCGGATTGTAATTACCAAGTTCATTTTCTATGATGGTTATACTGCGGAAGGTTCTTAAACAGTCTGAAGTCTCGACTAAAGGTCTTCAGACCCTCTCAATCTGAGTCTCTAGCGGGCGACTAACCTCCACCGGAGTAAACAGATTGAGGCCTTAACAAACAAAACCTCCACTACCGGAGTAAATCCAGTACAGAATAGTGAGTTGGCTCCTCGACTAAAGTCACCAACTCCCTACCTTCAATCAAGGATGCTCTATCAACCTAGGCAGATATTCTCATTCTAGGTCAAAGCAGAAACAACAGGAATTTGATCAGGATTCAAGTCATTCAATCATTCAAACCTCAATCGAATATAATCAAATCATAGAATCAGTACTTGGGTTCATACAATCAAAGCCTAACATACAAATCTAGGGTTCTCCATACCCAGATGAATGGGAGAACTACTCCATGGAGAAAGAAGCAAAAGCAGAATCATACGCGGAATTCATACTGTGAAGGATGGATTCCTGCTCCTGGACGTTGATCGGTACTTCTCCAAGCTCAAACTGGCCTCCAATGATGTTGAAGATCAATCTAGGGCACTTGGAGACTTCTGTTTCGTCACTTTCTCTCTCTAGGAATCGTTCTTTCTCTCAAAAACTCGAATCCCCTCGACTTGTGGCTGAAAATCTGCTTAAAAGCAGAAAATCCCGACTCACACGGCCAGGGTGGCACGGCCGTGTGACTTACCCAGTTGCCCGTGTGAGTCAAAACGTTGCGTTCCAATTAGTTCGATTTTCAGGCTTCTCACACGGCCAGGGTCGCATGGCCGTGTGAGATTTCCATCTGCCCGTGTTTGCTCTCGGCGAAACTCGCACGGCCAGGCCACTCCTTCACACGGCCGTGTGAACATCAGGGCAGGCCGTATTTTCTCTTGCACAATCTCACACGGCCAAATTGGAGAGTTGCACGGCCGTGTGAGTTGTGGGTGTGCCCGTGTGACCTCCTTTGTGACTTGTCTCGCGCCCGATCTTCGCCCAATCGACCCCAAACTCGCTCCTAAACCTTCATTCACTTGCCAGGACCTGAAATATCACAAACAAGCACAACCTAGCATGAAATCGGTCTAAAACACGAGAAACCACATCTCAAACGGTGTAAGAACATGGGTGAAAACATGTGTAATTAACGGTCTATCAATGCACTTGGAGAGCCGGAATTTTGGCGATGGAGAGACGGATTTTCTCAGCTGCTTTATTACTGATGAAGTTGTGGGTTCACCCACTGTCGATGAGTACCATCATGCGGGTTTGAACCACGTCGGCCCACACTCGTAGTGACTTCCCACCGGCCCAGCCTGCCTTGCCGTGGAAAGAAACCTCGGCCTCTTTGATGGCGTCATCACCCCACATCATCCATAATTTTCCACCCTTGTAGCGGTGAGTGGCGGAATACGATGCGTCACAATTAAAGCAGAGACCTTGTTGTCGACGACGGTGCATCTCCTCATGACTGAGACGTTTTGACCCTGGTGGTCGTGGACGGGGATTAGTGAATCCTGCCGGGTGATTTGTGATACCCTTAGTGACCGTCGCCGGCCGATAGCGAGGTTGGAAGTTGGCGTCGAAGGTAGATCTTGGCTTGGGACGCGGATTCGTGGCATAATCCAACGTCGATCTGTTTTGCTGTCGAGGAGGACTGCTCGACGAGCAATTTGCTCGTCACGGGCACGAGCAAGATTGACCGCATCTTTCAAGGTCTTGGGCGCAAAGATCCGGATCCCGTCAACAATGTCCAGCTTGAGGCCACCCATGAAGGTGCCCACTAATGCGCGTTGGGTCCATCCGTGCACCCGATTTCCCAATCGTTCGAACTACGTGAGATATTCGTTCACATCCCGGTTTGCCGGATACGAGAAAGCGCTTCGTCGAATCCTGTCCCAGCCGTTTGACCAAAAAGCCCAAAGTTCATAGGAGAATTTTTCCCATGTGATGGTTAAGCCCTCCGTATGGTAGGTGCGTCGGAGCCACTGCCACCATTGATTTGCATCGCCCTCCAGATGATACGACGCGAGATTGACTTTCTGATTTTCAGGAATCTCCTGAAGCTCAAAGAACTGCTCCATCCTTGAGAACCATACTGTCGGATCTTCACTGGTGAAGGAGGGAAACTCAAGACGGGCGAGCTTAGCGCCAAAGAACGGTTGTTTGCCCCGGTCGTCATGATTCGAATGGTGTGGTACGCTCGTCCTCCGAATGGGGATCGTCGGGTTTAGCAGTTCGTGCTTGGGCAATTTGAGTCATGGTGAGTTGTAGCGCGGCTAGTTGATCTTGAAACATTTGGAAGTTTTGTTGATTGTTGGTCTCGGCGGCTTCAATAGCCTCCAATCGTTGAGCGTTGGTGCCCATTCCGGGCTCTGATACCAAATGATACGGATCGAAGTTGAAGAATTGAATATCTCCCTTTTCTTGGCGAGAGTGAGCCAGTTTTCTCTTTCTTGGAGAGAATAGCCAGGGTTCTATTTCTGAAAAATGGTCTGCCTTTCTTTCATTCATTCAAACGCATATAACAGAAAACAATAACAACTTCCCTAGAAAACAACCATGCATGCTACTGTTCCTACCCACACGTTCCACTTAAGGTGGAAGTGCTTATTCCTCTAACAAACCGGAAGACTGATTCAACAGGGACTCAACTAATGAAATTCAAATCCTATTCTACGAGGGTAGACTCCTAATGACTCAACTAATCATGGATCAAACGAATATTGGGCTGGTGAACCCGGGTGGAACGACGAGGCCCATCACCCCCATTTGTTAAGCACATGGTATTTTTGTCTTCAGACCTGTGCAAACTTCAAGCCCTTGTGAGTGGCTTTCGTTTGAGGGGGCGTGTTAGTGTTGTGGTATATGATCCACGATTGAACCTCTCCCAACAACTCGAGTTATTAGGACCAACTGGTTTATGACAGCGACGAGGTTTCTGAGGGAAGAACTTGGAGGAGAGAACAGAGGAGATGGAGAGTGGATTTGGTTGAGGGCTGGGGAGCCGAAGTTGCTGCAGGGAGAGGAAGAAGTATGGTATACGGCAGGAAGTCCGCCGGTTATTCGGTAACCAGGTTCGTAACCGTTAGCCGGTTAGACGGTAATCGATTAACCGGTTTCCATCCGGTTTCGGTTGTCAGCAGCCATTAGAAAGGTTTCTATAATACCGATAACCGACTAACCGGTTACCGGCTAAACGATTATCGATTAACCAACTAATCAATTACCAGTTAACCGGTAACCGACCGATTACCAGATCTAGAAATGGCCACCCCTCCTTCTCACCATCAACAGAATGACCGAACTGATATGGAAATACTGCGTTTTTCTAGTAGTTCTTTCTTGTTTACAGCGTCGACCGCATCTTTCCACTGTCAGTTTTCAACTAAAATCTTCACTTCACGGGAAAAAAGCCCAAAATACTCTAATTATTAAAAAAAATTCCCAAAATACAGTACTTATAAAAATATTTCCCAAAATACAGCAGTTTGGTTATCACCGCTGCAAACCAAGACAGTGATGGCAATCACCGTTTTTGACCAAAACGGTGATAGCATCACTGTTTTGGTCCAAAGCGATGATGCTATCACCGTTTTGGACAAAAACAGTGATAGCATCATCGCTTTGGACCAAAACAGTGATGCTATCATCGCTGTGGTTAATGACGGTGATTAATTCACCGTTGATTTGTGACGCGATGAAGGGATCTTCACCGTTGAAATAAAAAGCGGTGAAGTGGCGCGGATCGTTGACGTGGACGCGCGCGGGCACTTCACCGCTGATGACTAAAACGGTGATAGCCCCGCTTTCCACGTCAGCGATCCGCGCCACCCGCGCCTTCACCGCTGTCGTTAGATGCAGTGAGGCGCGGATTGTGGTTTTTCTCCACGATCCGACGCCTCACGCCGCGCCACGTCAGCTATCCACGCCTTCACCGCGTTCCTTTAAGGCGGTGACTTCACTGCCTTCATCAGAGGCGGTGATTGGTTCCTGGTAAAATTTCCAGCGCCCCTTTCCCCTATAAATACCACTCCCCCCCCCCCCCCCCCCCCCCATTCCAAACCACACCAAAATCTTATACTTCTTTCTCCCTCCTTTACTTTCCTCTAGTTTAGTTCTAAGTATGCTCTGTGGTTGCGGCTAAGTCCGATCTTCCGCATTAGAAAGAATTACTAGAGTTTTTGTTTTGTCGATACTCTCGCTAGCTTTTCGGCAAAAAATGGACGAAGAGGCTTTGAGAGTACGTAAATTAATTTTATTCTTTTGTGATTTTTTTTACATGGGTGCTAAAATTTAAATTGATTTGATTTTATATTTTTTTTATAGATGGGTGCTGAGATATACGACCCTCGATTGTATATCGATCCTGGCCCAAGGGATCGAAGGTATTTAACCGGGCAAGATCAACATCGCTCCCGTTCAATTTGGAACAATAATCCGGTAGACACACTAAATTTATTTCAATAGTTTTAAATTTTTTATTTTGCTTTCTATTGACTGATAATATTGTGTTTTTTGTTTTGTAGGAATCACTTATTCCCATCGCTCATCGAGGGACATGTCAATTGCCCCGTTGGCATGATCGACTGCAGTCCTATATAGAGAGGACGGGATTGCACATGCTGAGGCACTTTACGAGGCTTGATATTGACAACGATCTGCTGACGGCAATGGCAGAGCGATGGCGCCCCGAGCTGCATACCTTCCACTTTCCCGAGGGTGAAATGACGATCACCCTCAAAGATGTTGCCATCCTCACCAGGCTCCCGATCACCGGAGATGCCATCATCGACAGCTCGAAAAAACCGGAAGATGGTTGGGGGCCGTTGATTCTAGAGCGTTTGGGGTTAAACATGCCGACCACCACGCCCGTCGACGGGGTTGGGCATCCACCACTGAATGCGGGGCAAGTATCGGTCCCGTGGCTTGTTGACCACATCCAAATGGAGGTTAATATAGGCCCCGACACTCCTGAAGATCAGGTGGAGCGGTATGCACGTGTCTACCTAATTGGTTTGGTTGGTGGGTTTCTGTTCCCCGACAAGTCAAACCGGTGGATACAAGGCATGTGGTTAAATATGCTCCTCGGTGACTGGGACGAGATCGGGAAAAAAAGTTGGGGGTCGGCCGTCTTGGCTGGGATCTACCGAGAGTTGTGTACTTGCTCGAGGTTGGGAGCGAAACAAGCTGGTGGTGCGATGTTCATACTCCAACTCTGGGCATGGGAGCATCTTCCGTTTTTAGCACCTCGAGACCCTCGGGAATTCTGGTTGCTAGATGATGAGCTACGATTTGTAGCAAATCCCCCATATGGTTTCAAGTAAGTTTAATTTAAGTTTAATTTATTTTAGATATGCAATGGTAGTATTTTAGTGAATTTAGATCTATTCCAAGTAAGCGAATTTAGTGAATTTTAGTGAATTTAGATCTATTCCAAGTAAGCGAATTTAGTGAATTTTAGTGAACTTAGATATCTTTCAAGTAAGCAAATTAAGTGACATTTTAGGTCTGCAATTATAGTATTTTAGTGAATTTAGATATCTTCCAAGTTAGCAAATTTAGAATTTTTCTAACCAAATCGTATTTAGCTACTTTAGATTATTGCCAATAAGGAATTTTAGTTCAATTTAGATGATTCCATACAATCATACTTAACAAGTAAACATCTATGCCATAAAAATTGCTTATATACGTACTTTTACTTAATTAGGTGGATCGGAGCAAATACAAACGACCACCAGCCCGAACACTCTTTGCTGTTTTATCGTGCTGAATTCGATAAGCCTTGGAGGAACCAGGTAAAAATACTTAAATTTCATCATTATCAATTTTTTAGGTGGAGTGGATATAATTTGTACTAATTCCATGAACTATAATGATTGTAGGCGGTATGGGATCCATATAGTTGCATCGTCTTAGACATCCCGAGGATGAAGAGACATGGTTGTGCAAGGTGCCCTTAATCTGCTTCCACATGGTGGAATGGCACCTGCCCGATCGATCTTTGAGGCAATATCGATTGGAGCAACCAATTCCAGCATCCCCACCTCAAGGGTTCAGGGAGCTCCACGCCATTGACCTACGCCACACCAAAAAGGATTGGCAAAAGAAGCATGAATTCTACATCAACATATGGGAGAATCGAAATCAGTGGGTGGTCCAAGGGATGCCGGAGACAAGGCCAATGGGGTACCACGATGGCTACATGCGATGGTATCGAAATTTCACGCTCAGATGGGTGTCAAAGCAAGGTGCTGTTTGGGGCGCAGTGGTAAGTGAATTCAATTTTGGCCTCTTTGTCTAAATTTTTGGAAGTATGATTACATGCCTATATTAGCTAGAATGTTAATTAATTAGTTAATTTTTGGAAGTATGATTACATGCCTATGTTAGTTAATTTTGTACAACAATGTCTAAATTTTTGTATGATTACATGTCTAAATTTTTGGAAGTATGATTACATGCCTTTGTTAGATTTAAGGATGCCTCTTTGTCTTAATGTTAGTTAATTTTGTACAACAATTTATTAGGTTGACGGGTTGGAACATGCCAAGCACACTGTCGAGAGTGCACCCACCATGGATGAGCGGAAGACCTCTTTTTTGCGCAGGCTTTTCAACAACCTGCTCTGTTGTACCCGAGAGCAAAGGAGGGATGTCGTATTATACCCTCCAATGCCTACACCGCCCCGACCGTCATTCCGTGCTGATGAGAGGATCGTGCCCCCACAAGAGCCCCCACGGAGGAGCAGAAGAAGGGTGAGAGAAAACATTGAAGAGCTTCGTCCGTCTCAACAAACTCAACTTCCTGAACCATGGCCACATTGTGAGTGGGCAACTAGTACTGAGGGCACCGGAGGGTCGTCAAGCTATGCCCCGACTCAGGAACATGACATGTTCGCCCAAGGCACCCCTCACTTCCACCATCAGCAGCAAACTGCTCAGTATCAGACCCCGCTTCAACAACACACATCATCGACTTTCCACCACGCTTCTGGTTCATCTCAGCCTATTCAACCCCCACCACCTGTCTACACTCCGGTGGGTGGTCGGGTTAAGAGGAATCCGCGAGGAGTTGTCCAGCGGGCTCGTGAAGAAGGAGGAGGTAGAGAAGGCGGAAGAAGGGGTCGAGGAGGTCGTGGAGGAAGAGGAAGAGGAAGAGAAGGGGAAGTGGAGGAAGAGGGAAATGAAGAGAACCAGTGAACTATCTATGTCGTCTTAATTATGTTTGGTCTTGTGTTGTTTTTCCATGAACTATCTATGTCGTCTTAATTATGTTTGGTCTTGTGTTGTTTTTCCATGAACTATCTATGTCGTCTTAATTTGGTTTGGGATTGTGTTGTTTTCCAAGAACTATCTATGTCGTCTTAATTTAGTTTAGGATTGTGTTGTTTTCCCCCATGTTGTACCAAAGTAAACAACAGACACCATTCATTACAATCACTCAACAAGATTAAAACAAGAAGTCCAACTTAAACATCACAACAACGAAAATGAAAAGGAAGTGAACAAAAGAGTACTCAAGGTTGGTTTGTACTTGGCCCCGAATCTTGCTCTAGAGGTGGACCTGGACAACGCCTCTTGTCATGACCCGGTTGTCTGCACTTTGAGCAACGCTTTGGACCTCGTCGGGCACGTTGTGATTGATCCATTTCATTGTGAATCCTTTCGGTCCTAGGACGACCTTTGGTGCGCTTTAAGTGCAACGGTGGTATAATCAACTTCCCATTGTCTACAGGCCAATAAGCTTCATCCGGTAGGGGGCTGAAACTTGACGAGTAGGAGTTCCTGATCGCCTGTTCCGTGTAGTAAGGACTAACCAAACTGTAAGCGTTGAGGGTTATCGACTTAGCTACTGCCATTGCATGTGAACAAGGTACTCTTCTGTTTTGATACTTTTGGCATGTACACTCTCCGGTGCGAGTTTCTACGTGTAGAGTAACGGATTGACGATTATGCCCACGTCTTCCTCCACCCCATATACCTGTTTGCACAGCAAAAATACCTTCATTGCGGTTGAACAGAACAACTCTGTGCTTACTTGATTTCTCCTTGATCTTCTGCATGCCATCAAATATATGACGTGCTATTGAATGACCAGCACGCTCCCTCTCTATAGAGAGATCCCGTCTTTTCACAAACCACTCGTTTACCTTCCAGTATGTCACCTCCACTAGGACAGATACAGGCATTGCCCTAATGCCCTTGTAGACTCCATTTATGCTCTCGCCATGGTTGGTAGTTGCAATGCCGAATCTAGCCCCGTTGTCCATGTGAAATGTCCACATGTGCAGATCTTGACCTTCTGCCCATATTGCTCCCGCCTGGTGTATCTGACGGATCGTCTTCATCTTCTGCTCGTACTTCTTTGGTTGATGTGCAACCGCTACAAGACCGGAGAATAAATAATTAAGCCATAAGAAATTTCATTTCAACAATAAACCATGAAGAATCGACTGAACTACATTACTACCTGCACTCCACAATTGATCTCTTATGTCTTTCTTCTTGCCAAATTTGTGTTGGAAATTGGCAAGGAAGTGACGAATACACCAGCGCCATGTCCATCCCCATTGGTCGAGAAAACCATTGACGGCGTGTTTAATCCCGGCATGTCGATCCGATATAATTGTAATACCTATTATTTGTGTGACGTGGGCGTGTAGTTGGTCAAAGAACCATGCCCAACTTAAGTTGTTCTCCCCTTCAACTAATGCAAATGCTAAGGGGAAAATACTTAAATTTCCATCAACCCCAGTTGCAATGAGAAGAGTTCCTTTATACTTTCCAGTAAGGAAAGTTCCATCAACCTGTTAAAAATGAATAATTAGTTAGTAAAAATTTAACTTAGTAAGGTAATGAACTAGTACAATATTTTGAGTCCTTAATATACCTGAATCACTGGCATGCAGAAGGGAAACCCGTCAATGCATGGCTTGAATGTCCAGAACAGACGATGAAACATCAACTCGTTCTGTACTCGAACTTGATCTTCAGTTTGCACGTTGTTGTACCACGGCACGAAAACCGTCCCAGGGTTGGACTCCTCCATTGCGGACATTAGTCGAGGGAGTAAAGCATACGAGTCATCCCAATCACCGTAGACCTCAGCCATGGCCTTCTGCTTCCCATGCCACGCCTTCTTATACCTTATGGTGTAGGAATGTCGATCCTTCACCTCGTCCATAATAGCTTTTATCTTGATATCCGGTTGTGCCTCGATTAGGTGCTTAATGGTTCTCACCACCTTTTTTGCTTTCAGTTGCCGGTGATCCTGTGAAAGTATGGTTGAGGAGCATCTGTGGTTGTTCTCTACTGTTCGCATGACCCAGACGCCCTTTCTCTTCATATATGCAGCCCGAAGTTGCCACTCACAACCCTCTCCAGCATTCTTACAAATGGCATGCAATTGTTTGGTGTCAGAATATTTTACCTTCCATTCGAAGTTACGGCGCATGGCTTCTTCGCTAAAAGCATCTTGCACATCGGCTTTCGAAGTGAACGCCATACCCACTTCCAAAGGAGCATTCGGATTATACACAGGCATGGGCCGATAGTCAGGGGCATCGTTCTGACCATATAAAAATTGATCAGGAACCTCGTGTAGTAAGGCGTTGGTGCCTGACGGAACGCCACCTCTCTGTCATCGATATCGTCGATATCGTCCGTATCTTCCTCCTCACTGACTGATCTCAAATCTTCCTCACTGTCATCGTCACTAGAGGCGAATGGATAGCTCGACTCAGGATGGTCATCGTTACCAGCATAACCAACATCGTCTTGTTGGTCATGCGAAGAACGCCCAGATCGAAGGTTGTTCTCAATGTCAGCCCACTCTGGACCCCAAGCAGGCCATTGATCACCGCCGGGCTGAACGATATTGACGGCAGTCTCACCATGTTGCGGGTATTCTTCCCACCCAACACCTCCTTCATAACTACCTCCTCCGTAGTTGCTTGAAGTACCACCCCAGCCATACCCTCCTGCAGAAGTACCTCCTCCGTAGTTACTTGAACTACCACCCCAGCCATACCCTCCTGCAAAACCATAATCACAAGAATACTGGTGAGAATGAGTTTCACCGACCGGCTCGGTCTCGACATACACCTCTGCAAGCCGCAACCCGTTGTCAGATAGGAACTGTATCATCATGTTCACCGAGTCATCATCATTTATGACAACTTTTTCGTACATGACTCCGCCAGCACTCATGTTTGGATAGCGGTAGGCAATTTGACCAACTCTCCTTTGCCCGCCCGTACAAGTCCTTTCTGCACAAATGTCATGGAGTTCTTGCCACGAGAATCTCGACTCAATTTTTAGCATAGTGGATTTGCCATTTTCATAGTCGATGCCAATGTTCGAGTTTGTCACCCGACCATTCCACCGAATAATAAGCCGAAACTTCTTAAATTTAACCATGTCTGCAATTTATAATAATTAAGTATAGTATATAATTAGTACATTAGGGATACAAAAACAATATCATCCAAACCCATAAACAAACGCATGTAATTGATCTATCATGAGAAAACTAAACAAATTCATCTAAATTCATAACTAATTAACTAACATCTATCATATCATAATTAATCAAAATATATCATAATATATTTTCCAATAACCGCAATTCACTAAATACAGACATATAATTACTAACACATCAACATGTAAACAATACATAATTATAACATACCGAAGCCCGATCTATCATGAGAAAACTAAACAAATTCATCTAAATTCATAACTAATTAACTAACATCTATCATATCATAATTAATCTAAATATATCATAATATATTTTCCAATAACCGCAATTCACTAAATACAGACATATAATTACTAACACATCAACATGTAAACAATACATAATTATAACATACCGAAGCCCGATCTATCATGAGAAAACTAAACAAATTCATCTAAATTCATAACTAATTAACTAACATCTATCATATCATAATTAATCCAAATATATCATAATATATTTTCCAATAACCGCAATTCACTAAATACAGACATATAATTACTAACACATCAACATGTAAATAATACATAATTATAACATACCGACTCCCGATCTATCATGAGAAAACTAAACAAATTCATCTAAATTCATAACTAATTAACTAACATCCATCATATCATAATTAATCTAAATATATCATAACATATTTTCCAATAACCGCAATTCACTAAATACAGACATATAAATTACTAACACATCAACATGTAAACATTACATAATTATAACATACCGAATCCCGACGAGTTTCTTGAGCAGTAAACCAACTCCAAACCAGCTGAGAAAACGACTAATAAAACACTAATTTTGGTACTAATTTTCTGTAAGGTAGCAATAGGGGAAGTGGAGGTCAGTATTTATAGAAATTTTTTTTAGCAATCACCGCTTTGGACAAAAACAGTGATGTGTTCACCGTCATTGTCCTCAGCGGTGATTGCTTGGTAGCTGTGACCTAATTTCCACCTACCAGGACGCTAAAACGTGTCAATTATCACCGTTTTGGTCCATGGCGATGATATGATCGCTTTACACATCAGCGATGATAAGGTCGAGTATCACCGTTTTAAACCAAAACGGTGATTGCATCACCGTTTTGGTAGAAAGCGATGATGCTATCATCGCTTTAAACCAAGACAATGATTCTATCACCGTTTTGGTCAAAAATGGTGATTGCGATCACTGTCTTGGTTTGCAGCGGTGATGTTCAAATTGCTGTATTTTGGGAATTTTTTTTAATAATTAGAGTATTTTGGGATTTTTTTCGCACTTCACGTACCGGCTACAACGATATGGAAAGCTGAAAGGCAAAAACACAACGAACTTGATTGAAAGCACAAGAAGCAAAATTTCCGATTCAATAGCCAGAGGAAGGAATACTCGTGTTTCACTATCAGAATAGCGATTTCAAAATGTAAGTTTCCTCCCATAATTGGTTTCAGCTTCTCCTTCCTTCGTCGTTTTCTATTATCTCTCAATGGCGTGCCATTTCCCTTTCTCCTCTTCTCCATACTTCAAAACCCACAAATTCCCAGCAAGCCCCCGCCTTTACCCTTACATTTCATGCCGGAATCAATACCCAGATGCTGAGATTGATGATAAACACAAGAATTGTAGTAAACCCATTTCTACGCATTCGAATTTTCTCGCTATCCCTATCACTCTCACTGTAATCTCCACTGCTCTCGCTACAAAACCGGCCCTTGCTGCTGCAGCAACGGCGCGGAAGACTGGTCAGAAAAGAAAAGCCCAGAAAAAATCACCGGAAGCGTTGAGCCCTGACCAGCTGAAGCAATGGACTAAGAATTTACCTCTTGTGTCGAGTCGAATACCGTATACTGAAATTCTGAGTTACAAAGAACAAGACAAGCTTAAGCATATAATTAAGCCGCCCAGTGCGCGGATGAAGGAGCGGGCTGAGGCTGTTCTGGTTGTTTTGGATGACAATCAAGTGTTTAGAACTGTATTGCCTTCCATTGAGAGCAACAAGAGATTTTGGGGGGCTTGGGATGAGTTTAAGATTGATACTTTATGTGTGAATGCTTACACACCTCCTGTTAAGAAACCAGAACTTCCTAAGCCCTATCTGGGCTTCTTGTGGAAAGTTCCTGAGTTCATATTGACCAGATTTGAGCCTAAGAAGGAGTCGAAAAGAGCTATGGAAATTAGGAAGATGAAGGAGGAGTTCAAGATGCAACATAAAGAAGAACTGGCGAGAATGAGAGAGGAAAGGGAAATGATGGAGAGAGCAATAAAAGTTCAACAGAAAGAAGAGAGGAGGAGGAAGAAGAGGGATGCCCAGAAGAGGAAGTACCATCAATCATTGCGTGATGCCCGGGCAAATTATACCAGAATGGCAAATGTTTGGGCAGATTTAGCACAGGACTCAAATGTTGCAACATTGTTGGGATTAGTGTTTTTCGTGATATTTTATAATACAGTAGTGCTTAGTTACAGGAAGCAGAAGAAAGACTATGAGGATAGGTTGAAGATTGAGCAGGCAGAGGCAGAGGAGAGGAAGAAGATGAGAGAGTTGGAGAGGGAAATGATGGGCATTGAGGAAGAGGAGGATGAGGAAGGTGGTGAGCCAGGGAAAGCAGAAGAGAATGCTTACATGAAGATGGCTAATCAGTTTATGAGGTCTGGGGCACGGGTTAGACGGGCACATAATAAGAGGTTGCCTCAGTATTTGGAAAGGGGCGTGGACGTGAAGTTTTCGGATGTTGCAGGGCTTGGCAAGATAAGGCTTGAGCTTGAGGAGATTGTGAAGTTTTTTACACATGGCGAGATGTATCGGAGGAGAGGAGTCAAGATTCCAGGTCAGTTTGTGGTACTTGATAAGTGATACACTGTTGCTTATTGCCGAAATATGAACTTCTGTCTAGAAATTTTTGTTGATGAAATTCCTGAGATGGATATCCTGCAATTTCCCCCCTATTTGATGTCCTGATTATTTGAGCATTTTATTTGGAAACCGGTTCCATATTTCCCTAATAAGGAAGTGCACTTTGTCCTTCTTCTGAAGGAGCTAACTGATTCATGCACTATTAATAAAGCTCTCTCCCTCTGAATTTTCTAGAGATCAAATGAAAATAGAGTAAATGGTGGCACTTATAACTCTTAACACAAAGAACTATCAACCTCGCTTAACCAGATTCTTAAAGTTAGGTGTAAAAGCACGAAATTAGTGGTATTATTGCAGCTTAAGTTGCGAGTACTTCATGTGCCTTCTGAGTCACTAGTTCTTTGCACATGGCCATTGCATGTATTTTACTGGTGAAAGCATATATAATCAATGGGGTACTCAAATTTGTAATACCAGATTGAGCTTTGGCATTAACTGTTGTATGACGTCAGTTTGTTTTTCACTGTATGTTCTGGGATTATGCAGCTTGTTTTTCCGTATCTTTTAAGTGATCGATTTCAATTTTCAGATAGTGATAGAAACCGGAAATGGGAAGGAAATTTAGGGATTGACGAGGAGAATTAGTGATTGCTAATGAATAATAACTGCGTTTCTATCAGATATGGTTAGAGTTCTCTTATGTTAACCACGTATGAAGATGAGTATTTCATTGTTTCCTGTCCTTTAT